CTTGGTGTCTTGGATGTGGCCAACATGGCCAAAGGACTTGTTGATGTTTTCAATGCCAGTGTTGATCCAGCTGAATATCTCAATGGATTGGAAAAGGCATTGGCCCAGTTCACATCGACATCAAGAACCTCAAGCACCATCAATGACAAGAGACGAGGATCCTTCGACTGCACACTGCAAACCGCAGAAGCCGAGAGGGTGATGAAGATCATCCACGCAATCCCCGGGTATGAGACTCTGGCCAATTTCAGCTGCCTCACGGATTGGGAGAAGGATCAGGTGTTCTCTCATTATCGCAGGAAGAACAACATCACAGGGAGTGACGCCAGCATGGGCACTGATGCCGATGCCAAGCCAGGTGTCGAGCCTTCGGCTCACCCTGGGGAGGAGGAAGCTGATGAGCCAGCAAACGATCCCACTGATGTGGTCAGGGAGTCAGAGATGTCGGGGAGACAACAACTTTTGGATGCGTTGGGAAAACTCTTCACAGTCTCTGAGGATGTCAACGTGTGCTTGTATTGTGGTAGCACCAAACATGGCCATCTGGAATGTGAGCATGAGAAGAGAGATGAAGTCAGAAAAGTGCTAAAGGCCGTCCGAGCTTCGCTCGAGGCTGATAGTCCCACATCTGATGACGTCGATATGGAGCCTCCTGAGCACAAGAAGGACGGTTCAGGTGCTACTGAAGAGTCGGGGCAAACAGATGAACCTACAAAATCGAGGTTTGGCGAACACCAATGGTATGACAGCATCAGAACTATGTCTGAAGTTGGTGACCTCGATGAGTATGGCAAATTCTGCATTGAAGGGCGTGATGTTACAAAGCTGGGACCACAAAACGTTGTTGACCTCAACGAAGTGATCCGAGACGCTATCGTCAGAGGAGGAGGTGACACTTGGTCAGTGCCAGACTTCATGGCAAGCTACTCTGACAACAACATCAGGAAGACCTTCTACAAACGTGTCGAGGCGCCGCAAGATGGTTTCTTGAAAATCATCCCAACCACAGGGGCCCATTTCTTCAATTGCTCCTACTTTGGCGGCGTGGAATATGCGACCAACTACCGCTTCGAAACTGGCAACCGACTCGATGCCTACGAGGACAAGGTGAGTGCATCACTGAACAGGATCCTACGGCACAATGTGGGGAAGGTATCAGAGCAGCAGAGTCTGCCCTGCGATGACGCCGGCTGGGTGCCCATCGAGGAAGTGCTCAAATGTGAGTCCATCTGGAGGCACGACTATGCACGCTGGCCACATGTTTTCCTTGCCCCAAAGGGAAGAGCAAATGATCAGAGGGCATGGAATGTCGATGAAGCGAACTATCGCATGACATTGCTCTTCAAGATCATGTTCCACTGTGCCAGGTATGGACGTCGTATGCGTGAACAAGTTTTGGCATTTGGGATCAACAAGGATATTGATCGCCGCAGCCTGACGTGCATTGACAACAATGTCGATGCGGATACGCCCATTCCTGATGAAGGTCTACTGCTATATCCAGTGGCAGTTCGTGCTCCTACGGGGCACAAAGAAGGATCTTCGAGAGACGACGTTTCATTGATGTCCTCGCTGCTTTCACATCCAATCGCACCCAACACTGTTTTGTCATTACCGGTTTGTTTCCACATCACCAAGAAGACCAACCTTCGAAGCATTTGGAGGCAGGGATTAATTCCAGGAGGTCTTGGAGAAGGTCATCGGATGTTCACGTTCTTCAACCCGTACGTCCCATGGGATCACAGATCATGGACTATCACGAAGAGCGTTGATACGCGTAAGGGTGACTACATATGCTTGTTCATCCCGACCGAGACCTTGATGGTGGAATATGGCGGTCGACTAACTGACTCGGGACAGATCGTTTCACCAAGGATCATCCCATTCTCAGCAATCAAAGGTGGATGGATTCAGGACCCCAAGGATCAGTACAACAAGACATGGCTCCGGTTGTTCGTCCCTTCGGGCGACGACCAGGTAGTCCGGTCTGGAACTATCAAATCAAGAACGGTAGCCACCAAGGAGTCCATCCTGAGAGTTGCAAGTCAGTGCATCGACGCCGAAGACCAACCGTTTGACGAGACTGCCATGGATGCTATGAACATCGTCGACCAATTCAAGAACAACCTCATCAAGCCTGGCGGACAAGAACAATACCTGGCCCGTATTAAGCTGATTGACTACATAGTCGAACGCAAAAGGGTACAAACTTCAGGTTGCCGCCACTGTCCTCACTGCATCAATGAGACGCCGACAAAACTAGCAGTGTGCATAGTTTGCTGGACAGAACTCGAGAGTTGCGGGATTCGTCCATATCGGCTACAAGCTCCTGAAGACGATGAAGATGAGGCCACAAAGAAAGAGCTCGATGAGGAAGTTCGTCGACAAGAAGAGTCATTGTTCAAGGATACGGTCAATCAAGCACAAGAAAACGTATCCGAATCCAACGATTATGGTTTCAATCCTGACGAGGTCGACTACAATGAAGGCGACGATGAGGAAATGGACCAGGAGGAGGAAGCTCAACGGGAAGAAGACGAAATCATTGAAGAAGACGATGATGAAATGGACGTCGAACCTGATGATGAGCCCTCTACCAAACTTCCAGCATGGACCAAGAATCTTGAGAGCGGCAGCAAGGGTATGCCAGAAGACGGTCTTATCAACAATGATGTCTCCGAGGCCGCGGCTCACCTATATGACAATGCTGTAATGTCAAAGGTCATCACAATGTTCAGGCACTACAACCAGAGAGTCACTATGACCCCTGAGGCGTACCATGTGCTGATGACGGAAACCAGGCGAGTCCGACTGGACTTGGACGACTTCTGCCCCTACACAGGTGAAGACCCAGACGGCAACCTCAAGCGGCCGACAGAGCTGGAATTGGATGAACTCTTTCAGGAGAAAGGGAAAAGGAACTCCTGGTCAGAGGGGGAAAAGATGTACTCAGGACGACCAAGAAACATGATGATGCCTGTCATCAAGAATTTGGAGATCTATGAAAAGATGATGGAATTTCTGGTCTGCGCCGGGTACACTCCCGAATCATTGGGTTTCCTCATGCCAATGAACCGAATGCAGGCTGATGCCCAAGGGAAACAGGAGATGCGAGTAACCATCAGCAATTTCCTTCGACGACTGCTCAAAGGGACATTTCCGGAGCACGAGTCGTATACCTTCTTTCGCTCTGGGAGCCACGGCTTCCCCAACTGCATCGAACTCCCAGCATTCTCAGTATATCTGAGCCTGAGGGAGAAAGAACAGAAAGTAGAACTGCTCTTTGCCGCACAACAGTGTGGCATTCCTTTGCCTCAAAACTTTGTCAGCAAGATGGCTTATGCTATTCAGCTGGCCGAGGCTGAGGCGCAGAGGGGAAAGACCGAAATGAAAACGAAGATGGCTCCAACCCTTGGCGACGAAGTGGTGGGTGAAGTGTTCAAAGCGGTTGGACATACTGCAGCTTTAAAGTTTGCTAAACCACCCGCGCAACCTTCACAGACACCTGAAGGCACTGGTTCAGCATCATCATCATCGGCTAGTGCACCAAAGGGCAAGGCTATGCCGAAATCCCATGAACCATCAAAGGCACCGCCTGCAAAGCCTTCATCACCTAAAGCTGCTCCAAAACGTGCGGCAGGATGGGAGAGAACTCCGACAGCACCTCAATGGAAGAAAGTCCGCCGTGAGCAGTGAACTTATTACCTCTGTCCGCCAAAAATGGTCACTGAACTACAAGATGTGTATCGTCTTTGTGAACAGATGATCAGGAAAAGACCAATTGAGTGGACTCTGAGCGAGGCGTTAGACTAATTCGCTTAGGTTCAAGACTTTTGATATTCCCAATCTGCATGAAATTCTGCAATGTGCACGTGAATTCGTTAGTTAGCATTGTAAATTTTTGATAGCGAAGTGACCCATTTCTCCCTACGGGTGAGTGGCGAGCTTAGCCAGCGTAGATAAGTAGATGTTAGCTAGCAATAATTCGCGTTGTACAGCTTGATGAGACGCCGATGCATCGACAGCCAGGGAGTAGGCGAACCCTGAACCATTATTCCCTTCGGGAATGTGGGGAAGGGGGAACCGAATGGCTCGTTTTATGTAAATAGGCGTAATTCAAGTAGCAGAACAAATCTAATTCAAAGTTCCCTCTCTCGTGTCCGTGGCTCGAAGAATGCCACGGGCATGGGGGGTGTTAAAGGGAACAAAGCGCTAGTGCATGAATCAATGGACATTGATTTGCCTTTATGGCTCAAGCGCCCGTTGAAAAGGAAACAGCCGTGCGTCTCTTGCAATGCCTTGCTAGGGTTCGGTTACATTCAGCATAGCAGTTGCCACCAGTTGAAATAACACCCAGGACAAGGATCGATTTGTTCACATATATATATATAAAATCATATAATCACATAATCACATACATACATACATACATACATACATACATACATACATACACACATACATACATACATACATACATACATACATACATACATACATACATACATACATACATACATACATACATACATACATACATACATACATACATACATACATACATACATACATACATATATATGTGTGTGTTTATTTATAAATTTTAAAAACAAATATTGATGAAAAACATATATTATATGGCTCCCTTTGCACGTCACTGCTGGCATGGCAACTCAAACGCCCAACAACTTGATAAGAGTAAAACACCAAAATGGATTGGCAACAGGAGGGCGTGGTGAAAGATCTGTGACAAAATGCAATTCTCCGCCAAATCTTGTTTTTGGAGATTTATGATTCCTCCGGTTTCCTCCCAGAGACACAAACTTCAGTGCTTTCTCCCGACAAAGATGGAATGAAGAGAATGGACCCAAGAATCAAAACTCGAGAAATCAAAAACAACACCAATCCAACATATACCAAAATCCCTTTGTTGTTTCATTTTTGTTTGATGAGGTTTGATGAGGTTTGATGAGGTTTGATGAGGTTTGCCGGTTTGCTGTGCAGGGGAATGATCCTTGTACCTTTGGATCCACACGATCCCCTGGTGCGGCTGCGGCACGTGTTGTCTGAAGCCCAGGCTTCATGTTGTGTTACCAAAGACTGGGGCGATGCCAAGATGCTTGGGACTTGTTTTGATTTTGATGGATTTTATTGGTTTGTTTAAGCCTAAGCTTCTGGGAAAGATTTGGGCCATGGAATCATGAGTGAAAATAATCATTGGAAAATCCACAAGTTTTTTTTCCACATGGATTGTTCCCACGAATTTTTCCCCACCAACCCCACTGATTCCCAGCGCTTGAGGAAGCTGTTGGAAGCCTTGGAAGCTCCGGTCTCTGGCTATGGCTATGCATCCAATGCCATTGAGGTCATCGATCTGAACCTGGCCTTTCCTCTGACAGATCTGACAGAGGAACTGGAACTGAGCCAGCTGCAACCACTGCAACCACTACCAGACTCCGTGGCATACATGTGTCTTGGTGGATGTGTTGCAGTTTCTCAAATGGCGAATAGGTTAGCAAACTATGCGCCGCAACTGTTGAGATTCAATGAGATTCACAGATTGGTTTGTGCTTGGATTCTTGGAAGAATAGCCAGAAGTTGAAACGATATGAGACCATGATAGACCCATAGCCATAGACTGCCATAGACTGCCATAGACCATCTGAACCATCCAAGTTTTGTACCTCCCAATTGACCGTAGCGCCGTGGCGCAGCTCATATCCAGCATCCAGATGCATCCAGATGCATCCAGGTGGTTCACTAGCGGCTCAACGGGGCAACCGAAAGGTGTCCTGGTCTCGCATCGGGCTTTCTGGAACTGGCCACATGTCGAAGAATTGGAGCCCAATTACATGCTCATCATGCTGCCACAATGAGTTTTTGATCTTGCTATGTCCCTTACCCCCAAAAGGTTGAGTAAGTGAAGTCTTGTACATGTTTAAACATCTCATTCTATTCTATCGAAATAAATAAATAAATAAATATATATATAATTAATGTTATTTCGTAAGTTTCAGAATTTTTGGGCGCACCCCAAGCATATGTCATCCTTTGGAGTGGCTCAGGTGCATGGTGAAAAATGCGCCTCAAGGCATCACTCCCGAGAGCGTGGTGCTGATTGCATCAGCCTCAACCTTCGATCCCTCCATTGGCACCTTGACTGGATGGGCTCTCACGGTGTCTGTGCAATTTCTGTGCATTTTGGGAAGCTGACGACGGGAAACATGGGAAGATGACTTGACATTATTTCGGAAGCTCGGTTCATGTTCAACGCAGCTGGTGTCAACAGCAGATAGCACCAGTGATAGATGCCCTTGATGGATTTAAGGATTTTGACAGATTCGATGATTGCTGACCCGTTAGGTGATATTTTTGCTACCTGGGCAGTGGGCGCTGCAGTGGCTGTGGCCCCACGCATGTTGTTTTTCGCCAATCTGGGCTGGGCCATCCAACGCTTGGGGGTGACGCATCTCACCTGCACGCCGTCCTTGTGGCAATCCCTGGAGCACCTTGGTATCCCATCTTTCCGGCATCACGAATCTTTATCATTCTCTCTTCAGCATCTTCAGCAACACTAAAAAACATGTTACTTTCCACATGTCACCACCAAATCAGACCACCAAATGATACCAAAGTCATCCAAAGTCATAGAATATCAGCATATAGCAGCATTATCAGCCACCTCCAGGTAGTTTGTTTGGTGACTTTTTCACCCCAGGGACCTGGAGCTACCAAACCTCACAGTCTGCCTGGGTGGAGAACGGTCGCCACAGCCTTTGCTGGACCTATGGGCGTCCAAGTTGACCCTGCTGAACACCTACGGCACCACGGAGTGTCACTCAGCAATCAAGATCTCAGGTCGTGTTGAACTCACGGATTACTCACAGTTTAGATATGTGCAGACCTGTGTAGATGATTCTATGAAATATAATATATACATATATATATATTATTTAGATGATTTAGATGATTAGTGTTTGGATATGTTTGGATAGTACCGTAAGATGTAGTAAGCCTTAGCCGCCTTAGCCAATCCAATGACACTTTTGTGCCACTCCTGAAGCCATGCCTGGGCCATAGACGTCACAGTGACCGAACTTCGATGTCCTAAGGCACAGTGTGGCAGACTTTGCGGCGAATGAAGCCGGGAGACAAGGCTACTTTGGTGGGCTGCCCCTATCAGGGCAATGAGATCCAAATCCTTGAGCCGTGGCAATGTGGCAAGCAGGTTGTTTTATCCCGATGTGGCGAAGATTCTGGAGCTTAAAATATTTTAAACTGCTGGTAGCAGGCAGTCAGTATACGGTATATGGCATCATATGGCAGAGAAACGGCCCACTTATGGCCCACATCGCTGCAAGTTTTCAGGAACGCGACGGCATGAAGGTGATGGACGCTGGTGAAGTGGGAGAGATTGTGCAGGGCGGCGTGCAGGTTGGGATTGGCAACTTGTCCAGAAGCTCATCAATTCACCTGACCTACAGCAATCTAACCTAGAGATGCAAAATCCACTGTTTGCGGATACTTTCCTAGGGAAGGAAGCCATAGATTCCCGTAGCTATGGTAATTTAGTTTAATGTTAATTTAATGATGTTTTTCTGGAAGGTAGTTTTGCAGATCCAATATTCATGTTGGATGGTGTTGGATCCATCTATACACCCACCCTTTTCCTCACAAGATCCACAGTGGACAACTGATCAATATTCGTATTCTCAAAGTCTCAAAGGGATGTGGGACTATACATGCCAGGCTCCATCAGGCTCCTAAATTTCTAGTTCCATTCTAATCCATTCTAAAATATATTAGAATATCCATGAATATCCTAATTCTTCATGGTTCATCTCGGGCTTTTCTTGGTGTCCATGAGATTCCTTGAGGCTACCACAATCGACCGCAACTTACCGCTGAGAAGTTCATCGAGATCCCTGGCCGGGGGCGCTGGTACCGTACTGGTGATGGTGGGGTGCTTCATGGGAACGAGTTGGAAGTGGTGGGCCGATTTGACAGCCAGGTGCTCTGGGAATCTCTGGGAATCTCTGGGATTGATGGGGTTGGGGGAAACCATGGGAAACCAAACGACACGTGGCAAGCCTGGTTCAAAAGAATTGCCTTTCACTGCATTATTTTCCAATTTGTTTATGTTTGCTTTGTGCTTTCATATGGGTTTATGATTTGGCTTATTTCGCCAAACACATCAGGTGAAGATTCGAGGTATGCGAGTGGAGCTGGGAGAAATTGAATCCGGTGTAGTGAAGGCAGCTGCCGGGCTGCTCAGCAATTGTGCAGTGAAACTACGTGATGGTGGCTTCCTGGTGGCTTACTGCCAGGCCGGGTGTAAAGTTTGACAGTGACAATCAATGACGACCGACATCCAAATGATGTGTGTTGATGCGTGTTGAGAGAGCTTAATTTGGACATCAATGTGCAAAGCATACGGATCACTTGATTCAGATCATGCTACCCACATCTACCGTTTCTGTGTCAGGTTTCCACCGCTGCTGCCGTCATGATGCACGAGTCCTATTGCAACCTGCCTGAAATCTCCAGTGGTTTGGTCTTGGTCACTTGTGGATCTGGTGGTCCGTCCCAGCTGAGGCATTCTGCCCGTCATGAGTGACTTCCTGCTGCAACGGTCTAGCAAAGAACTGCCTCGACACATGTTGCCCAGCAAGTTCATCCTGATGCAACGACTTCCTTTGACACCTAATGGGTAGCTTCGGCTAGATGGGGCGGAAGTGAAGTATAAGTATAATTAGAGCAGTTTAATGAGATGCAAGAAACACTTCAGAACCATCATCTCAGTTCCAATACATTTCAAAGCTTGCACCTCATGGCCTCCAAAAAGTGATAGAACATGGACAACTCTCTTGAAACCGACCATTTCTATCCATTTCTATCCATTTTCTCATCATTTCTCCAGTCTGTTTAGACCACCAGGGAGTTCTTGTGTCGGCGAAGGAAGGTGGACGGCAAGGCGTTGCCGGAAGCGGTGGATGCTTCCAGTTGTGCCTCCACATCCCTGACGTCCTTGGAGCGAGTGGTCGCCACCGTCTGGGAGGACACGGTGGGTTGAAACGGTTGAAACGGTTGAAGCGGTAAGCAGATGATGCCATCAACCTACATCAACCTACATCAACCTGGTTCATTCGTTGATGTTTTCTCTCTTGTTTTGGGTGATTTTTGGGTATGGGATTAGCCAAGTATAATCCAAAAAGCAGCATTTTGGGCAGGAGGTCCTGGGCCGGAAGAACCAATCTATCTCGCCCAACGACCACTTCCTGGCACTGGGGGGGCATTCCATGTCTGTCCTGCAGGCAAGGCTTTTTGCGGCGAGATTTTCTGCAGCTCACGGGGGATACGGGGGCTTCAGATTGCCTGCTTCGTGTGGGGAGATACAGTAACATATTCTAACATTTTTGACAATGTCATGTTTTGCGACTCAAACAGCTCAAACATCCTTAGGTGAGTGAGATCTCCATGTATACTGTAAGTGAGATGACAATAGACTGCCATATATGTATATTTATATATATATATTATACATAGATATAGATGATGTGGTTATATATGTGGTTTATGTTTTTCTTCCAACGCTGACTAAGCCGATTTGGATGGTTTGCAGGTCTCCCGGCGGCTACTGAAACTGGCGGCTGCAGCTGGGCAAGATGCGGCTGGGCCTTGATATCGGTAATGAGTTATGAGGATTTCTGAGGCGTGATTGACTGGCCTTTCAGTTTCACATGTAAGAACATATAAGAACACACATATATACACATATATACACACATTATATGTATATATACATTATAATATACATATATATATATATACAGATTTAAATATATACATATATATATATATACATTATAATATAAATATATACATTATGTATCTATATATATGGTACCCCCCCCCAAGACCTACCAATTTCACAAAAGTACTGGTATTTACAGTAAAATTTGCTATTTTTGGTATGTAATTTTGGATTCCGGGATTTGGGGGATGTTATATAGTGTATATATACATATATATATATATACATAGAGGATTCAAGCCTTGAATCCAACTCTTGTGGGAATCTTGGATCTTGGATCTTGAATCTTGCAAAGAATGCATTCAGAATGCATTCTTTCGGCAGGATTCAAGATTCAAGATTCAAGATTTCTGAGGACTCTTTGGAGCAAATCTTGAATCCACCCCCTGGATTCAAGATTCAAGATTCAAGATTTCTGGGGACTCTTTGGGGCAAATCTTGAATCCGGATTCAAGATTCAAGATTTCTGGGGACTCTTTGGGGCAAATCTTGAATCCAGGATTCAAGATTCAAGATTCAAGATTTCTGGGGACTCTTTGGGGCAAATCTTGAATCCGGATTCAAGATTCAAGATTCAAGATTCCTGAGGACTCTTTCCAGCAAATCTTGAATCTTGGATTCAAGGATTCAAGATTCAAGATTTCTGGGGACTCTTTGGGGCAAATCTTGAATCCAGGATTCAAGATTCAAGATTCAAGATTTCTGGGGACTCTTTCCAGCAAATCTTGAATCCGGATTCAAGATTCAAGATTCAAGATTCTCTTTTTGGGGAATCTTGAATCTTGAATCCTGGATTCAAGATTTGCTGGAAAGAGTCCTCAGGAATCTTGAATCTTGAATCTTGAATCCTGGATTCAAGATTTGCCCCAAAGAGTCCCCAGAAATCTTGATCTTGAATCTTGAATCCTGGATTCAAGATTTGCTGGAAAGAGTCCTCAGGAATCTTGAATCTTGAATCCTGGATTCAAGATTTGCCCCAAAGAGTCCCCAGAAATCTTGAATCTTGAATCTTGAATCCTGGATTCAAGATTTGCTGGAAAGAGTCCTCAGGAATCTTGAATCTTGAATCCAGGGGGTGGATTCAAGATTTGCTCCAAAGAGTCCCTAGAAATCTTGAATCTTGAATCTTGAATCCTGCCGAAAGAATGCATTCTGAATGCATTCTTTGCAAGATTCAAAATCCAAGATCCAAGTTTCCCACAAGACTTTTGATCAAAATCTTGGATTTCTAAAGAAGTTTCATAGGGACTAGTAAGAGTATTCTGGCAAATTCCAAACCCAAGATTTGCACAAGACTTCTCCGCAATTCTTAGATCTTGGATCTTAGATCTTGGGAAGAATGCATGATCAAAATCTTGGATTCCTAAAGAATTTTCATAGGGATTGGTAAGAGTATTCTGGCAAATTCCAAACCCAAGATTTGCACAAGACTTCTCCGCAATTCTTAGATCTTGGATCTTAGATATTGGGAAGAATGCATTCTGGATGCATTCCTTTAGGCTGGAAAAGACATAAATACAATTCCTGCCATCCATTGTCACTGCTCCATTCTTGCAATCCATTGTCACTGCCCCAGTGCCATTCTTGTTCTCAGCTTTCATCGCTTCCCCTCTTATTTGCCATGGCGTTCTTCAACGTGACCGGCACGGTGAATATGTCGCAAGGCAAGGCCATCATGACATTGACACCAGAGCCTGACATCAAAGTGACCATGACTCGACCGTCAACATCTCAGCTCCTGGAAAAAATCGGAGCAGGAACAGTCAAGGTTCATGACAGCCGCCATCCAGTTGCAAAGAGAGACCTGACGACTATGATGGGCACGATTCAAAGGCAACTGCGCCTGCGTCCGGGAGGTGATGGTGAATGGAGCGCAGATGCCCAGCAGCGCTTAGAAAACTTACTGGCCAATCCGAAAAGGAGCACTGCAACTGTGCAATTGGCCTTGGAAGATGTGAAGCCATCATCCTCCAGTTCCACTTTGGAAGAGAAGAAGCCAGCATCCTCGTCTTCCACATCCGATTCCGATTCGGATTCATCATCTTCCGAAGGTCCACAACATCAGGCAGATGCTGAACTCGAGAAGAAAAGCAAGGAAGTGATCAAATGGAAAGAGGAGTTTGAGGGGATTTTCTCGGCATTGCATCACACCTCTTGCGAGCTTGCGAAGGCAACCGCTCAGATTGAGGAGCAGAATGAGATCATCGCAGGGCTGTCTCAGGAAAATGCCGCTTTGCGGCGCCGGCTACAGCCGGAAAACGCCGCGGATATCCCTATGGATATGGATGAATCTTTGGCTGCTGAAGCTTCGTCTCCTGACTCTTCTGATCATGAAATGGCATCCGATTGATGTCGCTGAGACAAGGGCATGCGGGTTGAAAAAGATGTATCTCTCATTGTGTCCGCTTGATGCACACTGAAAAGAAAAGCAGTCTGGCACTAGAGCCTTGAGCCTTAGCATTATATGTATACATACTTAGAGATATGTCCTTGGCATGCACGTGTGGCAGCGAAAGTACTTGGGAAGGTCTGATTGTTTTGAACATGCTGGCAGTTGACATTCAACATTCAATTCATGTGTGGATTCTTGTCACTCTCGTATTTCTTCTCTGCTGTGTCACATGAGCCCAAACCTGTCCGCCCCAGTCTTGTCTTGTGCACCGCGCCGTGCTCCCCTTTGATTGCAATGGCTGGAACATTGATGGATAAGGCAATCCAAGCATTGGGAAAGAAACCGTTATATCTACGACCCTTGGAAGAAGCCAAATGTGGGATTGTCGAAGTGGAAGAGCCCATCACATGCATTGGATTCACCACTGATGCGTGCAGACCTTTGCAAAAGGGTGTGAAATCCATTACAGTTCTCTTTGATTTCCACAATGACATACCCTCATGTGGCGAACCAGTCGACATTGGCCAGATCGCTATGCAATATCGATGGGATGATTTACCTGAACCCATCCGTTTCAAAGGCACTCCTCCGAGTACAACCAAAATGGACTTCGTGCATGTGACCATGGCGAATGGAAACGTAGATGTTCTCAAAGTGCTCTATCTGCCACGTCCGATGTCCTTTCAAGCTGCCGAAGCTTTGTGCAGTGGGAAAGCTTATATTCCAGTCTTTAGATCGGGGCCCTGGAACATCAAAAAGGGAGTGCAGTGGCTTCTCAATCATTTGGGAGGGTATCAACTTAGATGGTTTGCCCTTGAAGAGAAGACCCAGGCGGAGCATTCCTCAAAACCTACCTGGTCACCATCAAGGTCTGAGCTGGAAGAAGGCATCTACCATATCAATGCATTTGCCCCAGAATGTGACGCTCTCAACGAGCAAACACTGTGGATCCTGCTCAACATCAAGCCTGACTCAAGCACACCTATTGCAGGATGGCCGGAGGCGAAGGTACGGCAAATGTGCCAAAACAAAAGCAAGGGGCTTGGAGGTGCTGTGAGTATGACCGAGTTTCCCCTCACAACCTATAGCCTGAAGCCATTCTTGCACACTATCTTGCTACCATACTTGTATCCACTGCTCATCAACTTTGGCCTCTTGCTGCTGGGTTGTCCTGGTGTGGGGAAAACGCCCTTTGTGATCACTCTGGCAATGGCGCTTGGTCGTTACCACGTTCGTCGATCTGGATGTGAAGGCCTGAAGGCTGGTTGGCGCCGAGCCAAATCCCTGGACAACTTCAGGCACAAAGCCCCTCAGGTTCAAGAGGCTCTCTTTCTAGACGACCCCGATCGAAGCAAGGTGTGCATAGCCGACCTGAAGAGTTTCCTTACATGTGATGAGGATGGAACGGTTGAGTCCAGGTACAACGATACCAAGATGTTACGGAATCAAATGAGGGCCTATGCGTCCAATGACTTGGCAGAAGAAAGATTTGATTGCAATGCAGGTGACACAGTGATTTCTGAAGCCAACTTCTTTAGCTTGCTTGATGAATTCTTCCGCGGTGACAGAGAGAAAGATGTCTTGGCAGTACTGAAACGCTCCATTGTCTTCATGTTCGGCAACCACGCTCTCTACCTTCGTTTGCCAAGTGCACATAGAGATGCCATTGTGCATCGGATTTGCCTGGAGGACGTGCATCTTGACTTGCTAGGTGAGCGGGACAAACCTTTGTATGGAAAGTACAAGGGAGGTACGATGGAGACTGGATCAAACTTTGATGCAGAGATTCTCCAGGAACAGGAAGTCTTGGAGGAAGGATTTCAGAAGATTGCAGGATATGAAAACCTGCAGGATTATGTTGCTTATGTGAACCACAAGCTTCAGGACAAACTTCTTTTCCGCAGTGCCCATGTTGTGCCACCATCATCCTGCCCTTCTACTCCAGAAGCCAATATGGATGTGGTCTGCCCTGTGCCTCCCATTGGCACTCAACCCTCGGGGCGTCGCCGTGGCAATTTCGTCTATCCCGATCGTCGACTACGGGCCAAGACTTCTCCACCACCATCGCAGCACATTGAGGAGTTGGCTGAGGATGCAGAAGCTGCATACCAAGATCCCATGGAAGCGGAGCCTGAGGAACCGAAGAGTATGGATTTAGAGGCTGATGAAGAGGCAGCCCACTACATGGGACTGAATGGCATGTAGACAAGTAGCCTATAATTCGAATGCAGTAGATTCGTACAATAGCAAGATAGACTTGCGAAGTCGTGTCCGAGGGGAGAAGAAAAAAAAAGGAACATAGCCATCGCACGAAAAGGTTATGTTGTCGGTGTTGTGCAATCAAGGTCCGCTGTCTCCATCGAAGCACAAGTAATTGCAAGCGAAGCGAGCATCCATTCATGCATATTGCACTGTAGCATACAGCTCAACTCTTGTGTTCCATATAGCCATCACTCAAGGCCATTGCGCTATGCGTTCCAAATTCAATCCATTCCCGGCACCAAAGAAGGGCAAATCTCGTATGGTCTTGAAACGCCCAGCTTCTCAGAAGACGAAGGCAAAGTCTTGGCAGAATGTACCGTATACAAGGGGTGCTGCGGATGTTGGTCCGCGGGGTCTTCGCATGGACCAGACAAAGTGGAAGAGGTCCTTGCCAGACATCCTCCATGCGACCGACAAGGGGATCGTGCAGATGTTGATGCAGGATGGCTTGTTGCCTGATTGGCGTGGCAAAACTTGTCCTCGGTGTGAGAAGGGGAAGCTACGCGGTTGGGTGCAGAAGCCTGGTGACTCATCCCCTAAGCTTCGCTGCAATTCCAGGGGGTGCCAGGTCTACTTCAATCCGCATCACTTGCACCATCTGTTTACAGAAGGTTATGGTGTGGCAGGTAGCCCCTTGCAGACTCAGGCTGCCCTATTACTTCTCAAAATCAACAACATTCCAAACTCCACCATCCACAGGCTCATGCATGTGAATCACAAGGCCATCGAGGACTTGGACAAGCGATTGGCTTTACTACGCAAGGAGTATGTGGAGGAGAAGGAGAAAGAGATTGTCTTCGGCAACGGAGCAGCGTGGCAGGATGTCGAGGCAGACGAAACTACATTCGACAAGAAGACTATCACTGATGTGTCAGAGCTGGGCAACACCAAGAAGCCAATTGAGTGGGAACAATGGTGTGGTATTGTTCAGCGAGGGAAGCCGGAGTCGTTGGTCTTGCATCGTCTGAAGCCTGTTCGTACAGATGCACGTGCACCGGGACCCGGTGCAGTACGCAAAGTCGAGTGGCGTCCCCTTGCTGACCATTGGCTGAAGAACAGAAAGGTTGTGTTGCACACGGATTCTGCCAAGAGTTATAGGGTCCGTGTTGCAGGGGTGTTGCACGATCGAGTAGTCCATTGCAAAAAACGCGTGAAAGTACGCGGCAAATGGAAATGGCAGGCGCCACGATATGTCAAAGTAGTGGAACACAAGCTTCCAGGCACAAATAAAAAGATCCGTGTGAAAGCTGGCACCCAAGTGATTGACCGCTGCTGGCGTTTCTTAAAGGAGCGTCTCAGCCTTAATCAAAATACAAAAGCCGGGTCGAGCCTGCTGAGATCCAAACTCCGATCTGCTCAGTATCAGTATTGGTACAAAAATGCAGACATGTGGGTGGCGACCGGATCTCTGTGCCAATGGGCCGCAAAGCGCCTTATGGGCAAGAAGTGAGCCGTAGAGCTTTGGGGAAAAATGCATTGCAATATATTGCTTCGGGTCTTCCGTGTTCACAATCGTGCCGAAAGCTTCTTTTTGATCCAATTTCTGCCAGGTCTTCTTCATGGAATATGTCTCGATTGGTGTCTCGTTGTTCCTCGGTCCAATTGAGTTATGCGCTATGATAATGCTACACATGGGCTCATGCATCCAAAGCAATACATTCTCTGTCCTTTCCCACCCACCCAGGTGCTCTCAGTGTTCATGCACCTACGTGGTCAGTTTCTTCACATGTGCTATGCTACAGCTACATATGTGGGCAAGATGTGTCCAGGTGCATGCGTACAAGCTACTTTCCTGATGCAGTGTTACAATAGGTGAGAAGATAAGGAGAAAGACAAGGCAGCCAAGGACATATCTGGTACACAAAATGTCTCGTGTCTTGTTTGTCCTTTCCCACCCACCCAGGTGCTCTCAGTGTTCATGCACCTACGTGGTCAGTTTCTTCACATGTGCTATGCTACAGCTACATATGTGGGCGAGATGTGTCCAGGTGCATGCGCATAAGCTACTTTCCTGATGCAGTGTTGCGATAGGTGAGAAGATGAGAAGAAAGACAAGGCAGCCAAGGACATATCTGGTACACAAAATGTCTAGTGTATTGCTTGTCCTTTCCCACCCACCCAGGTGCTCTCAGTGTTCATGCACCTACGTGGTCAGTTTCTTCACATGTGCTATGCTACAGCTACATATGTGGGCGAGATGTGTCCAGGTGCATGCGCACAAGCTACTTTCCTGATGCAGTGTTGCAATAGGTGAGAAGATGAGAAGAAAGACAAGGCAGCCAAGGACATACCTAATACAAAAAATGTAGGTCTTGGGGGGGGCGGGTAGCATATATATATATAAAGTATATATATATATATATACAATAATATATATATATATATACACATAATAATATATATATATATACATAATAATATATATATATATACTATATATACATATATATATATGTACATTGTAATATATCTATATATTAATATATATATATACATTATAATATATATATATACACATTTTAATATATACATATATATAGATTATAATATATATATATATATATTATTATGTACACACAGACATATGTATATATATATATACATGTTTATTATATAATGTATTATATATATATATATTTATACATTTTAATGTACATATATATATATATACACATTATAATATATCTATATATACATTATAATATATATATATATGTATTACAATTATTATACAATAATAAATTTAATAATAATAATAACAATAACAACAATAGTAATTATATATATATATAATATATGTTTCATTTTTTTCAAAGCAGAAGCATCTTCTTTTCATTTCTTTTCATCGTCCAGAGATCGGTCCGGGATCTGGTGATGGCCGAGGTGAGCCCTGCCAGTCCTTTGGGCATGTTGTTGGCTCCTGAGAAGTTGATCCATTCACCGCGGCTGCGGATCTACTGCCAGATGTTGGCGCGGGGAGGTGTGCGCTTGATGGAGACGGATGGTGATGTGGTGATGGGTGAGCCCATCAAGGAAGAATCTCGGAGTTGGATAGGTTTCGTTGGATAGACTGGATAGACATGTGGATAATGTATGATAATGTGGTGTTGGCAGGGGGAAGATGGGGCAACATGGGGGAAGAGCCCGCAATAGCCCACAATTTCTATCAACTTTTTACAACATGTCAGCAGTAGGCAGTAGCTATTTATTGCTTGACTGGCATTTCATTGGTGTTTTTTTTTCAATCTTTTTTTTTCCAGGCCTACAATTTCGTGGCGTGTTGGGAGTGTTTCACTCGCAGTCTTCCATGAACACCTTTACTGAGGAAGATGCTGCTGAGCTGCGGATCAACTACGTGAAGCACAAGGTGAAGCAAAAGGATCAAGACCCAGAACTGGACCATGCCGCATGGGAGCAGGTGCCGAGGGTGAGCAGGAGAATCAATAAAAGATGGAGGTGAGCATCAGAAAATACTGAGTTTTTCACATGTTTTTGTTTCATGATGATTTTTGAAGATTTCAGACATCTTTTCAGAATGCCACTCATGCTTTTCGAGTTGTTCTTTCAGCCAGTCTTGTCCGGTCTTGTCCGCAGATTCTGTTTCAGGTGCCAGTAAACGGAAGCGAACTTCTGCTGTGCCTCTCGGCACGCAACCAAGCACCATCCCACCCGCCATGGTGCCAGCAGACTGCAGGTCGTGCTGCCGAAGCTGGGCTGTTGCCTCTGGTGCAGCTCCTGCTGTCCGAGGGAGCCAATGTGGAAGGAGGATCGCTGTGTGGTCACAGCTGTTGGTGTTTTGGGGCTGTGAATGGCTGTGAATTCTGGGGATGGGCTGGCCAGGCTCCTTGGAAGGCCAGTACGCAAGACATGGCTCCACACCACTGATTCTGGCCCGGCCCCAAGCCATGTCATTGATTTTAGTTCTCCAGAAAGTGGAATTCTCGTGATTTCCCATCATTTTCCTCAATTTTATACCACTTTACCCCACCATTTTCCCCAATTTTTCCACCATTCTGCAGTCATTCCGCGAGATCATGCGAGATCTGAGGCCGTGATGGGGAACCACATCTGCTGCGCCGAAGAGCTGGTCGCCCACGGTGCCCTGAGCGAGCGCCGGGACGCGCATGGGCAACCGGTGCTGCAGAAGGCGGCGGAGCGCTGTGGGGAACGCATGGTGGAGATCCTGGTGGAGGTGCCATGGCCATCAGGATTTGGGAGTCAGATGGGTTGACATGATGGATTTGGATGGATTTGGAATGATTTGGGCTAAAGTTGATTCATGTTGATTTTAACATGAATTTTCAGGAATGGTGATTGATGGTGATTGTTTGATGTTCCTGTATGATACGAAAGCGTACGGTGTGGCCAAGTCTTTGAACATTCAATAGCAGGTGGGGGTTCCCGACATCAAAAGAAACATCGCACATTGCCTGCATTGATGTGAGGGGATTTGGTTGAGGCTAGTTCATGATCACCAGGTCACCAAAGATTCGGTGAGACTTGGAGGTCTGAGCATGTTTTTTTTTTTTGGGGGGGCATTTTTCACAAGGAATACCGTGGAATACTGTTCCATGAAGATATACGCTTCAGATCGCTTCAGCAGCCCAGGCCCGTGCGGATGTGGAGTCAGTAGCCGGGAGCACAGTCGGCGCTCAAAGCATAGTGACATTGCTGGTGGCCAAATCACACGGAAGGATGGGATGATGATGGGATGTACCAAATAGGAAGATTATCGAAGTGGAGAACCCGCAGGAAACCAGATATTCGAAGTAATTAATTAAACACATCCCAAGGAAAACACATCTCAATGCCCATGGCCCACTGAGGACACTGCTAGCCGCAGTACGGCTCTACATGCTGCAGCCAAAGCAGGGAACGTGGCATCGACCCGAGCCCTTTTGAAGAGCTCCTTGTCCTTGTGTTGTGACATCTTTGTAGCAAAAAGTGGCAGCTTCGATGCCACCAGAGTGGAGTACTTTTCAGACATTTTTAAAATTGTTACGCAATAATAATGAATAAATGAATAGATACATAAACAAGTAAATAAGTTTTCATAAATAAATGTATCAAGGCAAAAAAGACAAACACACACACACATACGCACACACACACTACATATATGTATTATGAAATTCTCATTCCAAGTGGGCTCAACCACTTTCGGTGATCACGGATGGCCGAGGCCTGATATTTCTCACCCGGGTAGCTGTTTATTTCGCTCAGTGACTCAGGTTCCGCGCGAATGGATTGGTTGGACCGCTGGAACCGCACAGCGCTTCACTGGGCCATTTTCCATGGTCGCGTGGACGTGTGCCAAGCCCTGCTGGATGCTGGGGCCAAAACCACTGGGACGCTGGGAGAGCAGGGCGGCCGAATTCGGATGGCTGATGTGCCCTGTGGCAACCTGCCCAACCGTGTGTTGGAACCTCAGTTTGTGCTGTAGCTATAGCTGCTGAAGCTGGTTGTGATTTTGACATATTTTTGAGGGTTGCAGTGATGGTGTGTCGTTTTGGTAGGTTGAGCATTTTCCGTATTTCGTTGGACGGCCCTACCCAACCCTTTTCAGTGCTGAGATCTGCTGACTTTCAATCAGCCAATCCAAACTTAGGTCCAAGTTGGCCAACAGCTTTGTAACACCACTGGCGTTGGCGAAGGAACGCTTTCCCTCCGGGGGTCCAGTGGTGGATTTGTTGGCTTCCCGTCCCAAATCCTGACCTTCCGAAGCTTCGCCGGCTTCGCCGGCTTCGCCCATGCCCATGGTGTCCCATGGGTGTCCCGGCTCGACGATGTGACGATATGTGACGATGTGAACGGAGGCCAAGGTCATCGGATGTCGGTCGTGGTCCAAGGTCCAACTCGAGCAGATCTCGATCTCGGACTGCGATTTGCTGAGGGTTGTGCTGATGGACCTGTGCTGATGGACCTGTGACAACTGTCGTCTCAGAGCAGAGTGTACCTGGAGATTTTGGATCTCATCCGAGTCGCATCCGAGTCTCCGAGTTGAACGTGGTGGAAAAGGATTGCTCAAATGACAGAGCCTCTCACGGGTGCATAGGATTCATTGGCATATATTAGCATATATTGGCATTATCCCTGCCAACGTGACACCCAAACCTCAGTAATTAAACCTCAATAGACCTCAGGCCTTCTCCACGGAACGCCCAGTAGAGCGTTTTATAGCGTTTTCGAAGTTCGACCCTGAATCTGCAGCTGTTCTGGCTCCAAGCTGGAGACATCGTGATGTTTAGCCATGGGTTGGGTAAGCCCTCCACTCCTTCGAAGCCTCCTTCGAAGCCTCCTTCGAAGCCATCCTCGAAGACCCCATCCAAGGACAGAATATGACCGCTCCTGCAAAATGCGGAAGATGAGATGAAAGCGCCTCAGACTAGGCAAGAAAGCAACACAAGCAACACAAGCAACACAGAAACACTAAAACACATTATCACTGAGTGAAATGGATTAGTCTCACCTGATCGACTTGAGAAAGCAATGCCAAGGTTCATGCAGTGATAGAGCCGTGACAGGGTGTGTCCATGTATGTCCCATCTCTCTGACCAGGAGACAACAAAACCGCCTGGAACTCAAAATCGCTTCCCAGTCTCACTGGCACACATTTTGTGCTCGGCTTCAGGCAAGCTTTGACACCCGAAGAAGAGGACCCAAATGATGAAACTGATCAGATCATAGATCATATAAGATCCATGGATATCCATGGCATAGTGTAGAAACCTGGGCTAAAGAGAGGGAATCATGTGTCCGGTCCATTCTAGCCCCAAATGTTCGCACGAAATGACAAACGCACATGCTATTTTTCATATTTTCTGATTCATAACTGAAGGTTACGTTTTCACTAACTACTACTATGCTCTGAAGCATCTGTGACCATTTGTGTGACTACATTATATATGTTTTTTTTTTCCCGCTAGAATTTTGAGAAGTTTGTCTTGGAACCCGCCAAAAACATGCAGAAGCTTCAACATCACGAAAACATGAACCCATTTGGGTGTAGTACTTTTTCTTTTTCGTTTTACGTTTTCTCACTTGCGTCCTTGGCGTGCTAAGCAACTTACTATTCACAGACACTTCCCAAATTTCACCCCCAAAACGAAGCAGCCTATTCACTCTTTTCCCTGACCTCATGGAATCCAACCAATACACAATGAAACGCCAAACGTCAGAAAAAGAAAACACTCTGCAGATTATTTTTCCAACCTTCTTTTCTGACTCTGTTCGGGGTTTCTTCAGACTTGGATCAGAAACCTTGTGGATTGAGATTCCCCGACTGTGGATTACTAGCATCGTGATCGACGCAGTCCAAACATCACCTTTGGGATACATAATGGGATTATGAAGTGTTTCCTATATTTTTCCATTTTTTCCCCAATCTTCAATCATTTTGTAATTAATCATGGCCAATCCATTTCACAATCCATGATTAACTACGGGACCATAGTTCATTGCAGGAGCAGCTGCGACTCGATGAGGAACGTCTACGGCAGGAAGCGGTGGGGAGCCTCTGAAAACCTGGCAGCTTCAAATCAAAAAGATGAGCGATGAATCCAAGAATTGAGAGAATTGAGATGCTTGAAGTACTTGTATTGTATATATATAATATATATATGTACTGTACATGGTTTCCAGCTTCGAAGTCATGACAGGTTGGAATTTGTGACAGCTGGCTTAACCCTGTAGCCTTTTCTGGTTGAGTCGGTTTAGTCATTGGGTGACCAAGTTCCGGATGCATCAGAATGCAGAATGGTCCTTTCGCATGTTGAAACCGATGGCCCTACGACATCCAAAATGTTCAAAAACGTTTGTAAAACCTGAAGGGGTCTTAGACTTGTGAGTTGCATTGAGGTTGCAGTTGCATTATGTTACGCATTATTTTTGATTTATTTTGTATTGGCTCGATTTATTTTGTATTGGCTCAGCGATGCAACACATCCAGGTCTTAGCCCGGTTGGCCAATGCTGGCTGCATTTGTGCTGGCATCGCAGGACAAAAGAACCGCAGAGAGCGAGAGAGAAAACCAACTCTCAGATACTCTCACGTTTTTGTGAACATTTGGATGGTTTTGGACTGGATCACCCACTGGAGCTTTCTTGGTCTCAACGGACATCGAATTTCATTTCCGAAACTGAGGAGTCGATGGTGCAGTCCACGGCCAAACCTTGGCGCTGGAGGCGGACATGTGTCGCCGCTCCGTGCGTGCACGAAGTGAGGGCACGCAGGGCACGCAGGGCGGGATGTGGATGCCGGGGCCCAGCTTGGTGTTGGCCTTAGTTCCATTCGGTTCCAGGATTTGATCATATGGATATATATGGATCATACGGATATGGAGATCATATGGAAAGCCATGGGCATGACATGGCCAAAAAAAAACGGAAAACGGGGAGGGGTTGAGGCGCAAGCGCGGTGGCACTGCTGTGCAGCTGCTTTGGGTGATGGTCAGCTGCTGGTGGCGTGGAGCCTTGGAGCCCCTTACTGGATCGTACCTGGTCCAAGTCAGCCCAAAAGATTTCTAGGATCGGCAATCCCATTGATGAATCATGAAGATCCCCTTCACAAACCTATGGAATCTATATGAATATCTGAAATTATCTGAATATCTATTGAAACATATTGAAACATCTATTGACCGTTACTAATACCGTTACCATCCACACGATCCATCGACCGAGGTTGGAGGCTTTGACGAGTCTGGATTGCCACTGGACACCACTGAGCCGGACTCTCAGTGGATTCCAAAATGATCCATTCCCCCGGTACTGAGTAGAAAAAAACTGATGAATGATGAATTGAATGATTATGAATGACTCAATGACAATGGAGAGAGAGAGATTATGAATGATAGTGTTTTTATAGTGTTTGTTATATATTTCTATTTTTAAACTCGTCACAGTATGTCATAGTGATCTTTACCCAGCCATTTTTGATTTTGGGAACGCACCATTTCAGGGTGGTGGACTTTGTGACTGGCTCGGTGGAACCTGGCCCCAAACTGCCTTGCACCCAGGAAAAAAACCACGTGCCAGCAGTGCCATGTTGGATTTTTAGCGAGGGTAAACGGAAGGACCTATCCATCACAACTATCATCAGCTATCCAAAACAAAAATCCATCAATAGGTACTGTAGAATTATACAATACGTCTATGTTTATCTTCTGTACCTCTATGAGTCTATGAGGGATCAGGTTCACCAAAAGGGAATCACAAGGGGCCGCCTTGAGGGGACTTTTTGTCAATGACCAAATCGTTTGCTTCGCAAGAATATGGCTGTCACATGCTGTCACTCGTTTGTTTTCTCCATGTTTTTTATTTCTTGCTTTCCGGTGCATATCATGCTTTTGTGTGGCTGCAACTGTTAAAACATTGATTTCCTGGAGCATTTGGGGATGCGAAGACAACCGGTCAAGACGCTTAGAGGGGTTTTCTTCAGCCACATACAACAACATACAACATATACAACTTCTGTAGCTTATCTTTGCATGTTTCTTCTTCATAAGTCATAAGTACATACAGTAACCCCATGTAACCCCCAAAATTGATCGAAGAGTAAAATCCTATTGAAATAGTGATGAAAAAACTTGGTTCATTGCTGTTCTATCTTTTGTTCATTCCCATCAGCATAGCGACGCTCAGCGCGACAGCGCCCAGGTCCATTCCCAGGGCAGGATCCGCAGCGGTGACCCTGCCGCTTCCCTTGGATGAGGAAAGCGCGGAAAGCGCGGGCATGCCATGGGCGCCATGGCCAAAATAGATCACCAGTAACCCGAAAATGTAACCAATCACAACTTGATCAACTTGAAGCTGGCTGTTTTCACCTGAGATTATGGTGCTGGGTGGCTATGGGGCAGATGCGGGTGCCACCACAGAAGTTTTGGACCTGGAGGCTTGGAGAAAGATGGAGAGAACTATACCATGAACAAATCATCATAATCATCCAAAAAAGAGTGGCGCCATGGAAGCAGTCATGTGTTTTTCCTTGTGGAATCATGCGGCTTTCGATCAGATTCATCTTCTGGATTTCGCACTAAAAAGTGGTTGGCCGGTTGGATTTCGCCGTTTTTCGCTGCGGTCGCAGGCCATGAAGTCGCATCCAGGGCCAACGTTGCTGACGCGAAGAGCTTGCTGTGTGGCTTCTATGCCTCGGACTCAGGTCGGAGTCATTTCGATGGCCGGGAGGTCACCATTGGCTGTACAATGCTGTACATTAACATGGGAAAATCAATGGGAAAATCAATGAACATCATCAATCAATGATATGGATATAAATGGTTGATGCATGTTGATGGCCCCCCACTGAAATGCAGCCTTTTGCTTTTTTTTTTGGATGTATAAGGCATAAGAGTAGCGTATTGTCAGAAGCAGCTGGATCCTGCTGGAAGTGTTGGGGCGCTAAAAGCTCGCTTTTAACCTGAGGTACGGGGAGGATGAAGTCATGGTGGCTGGTGGGTCACAAACCTGGAAACTATGGGCCTGTGATATCTGTGATGATTGTGATGGCAAGAGAAAAGCGCTTGAAAATCTTGAAACATATTGGAATCTTGGAAAATATTGGGATAAAATCTTCCCTTAATATTGGGATGTATGAAAATAAGGGAAGTCCAGACCACCCATGCGATTTCTCGTCGACCAAACTTGAGTCTTGGTTCATGCCTGAGGTTTGATGAGTCGGCCCGGCTGGGTTAGCGACTGCTGCCATGGTATGACGAAAATTCTGATTCCAGTGATTGCTATTTGCCAGGTTTGCAAGCAGCAGCCTTAACTTGGAAAGTTTGGAAACTGGATTTGTTTTGAGTTATATAAATATTATATAGGTTATGGCATAAATGGCTCAACTCTTCATCGTTGAAGATATGGCTTGGCGGTGTTCAATCATCTCCAGCCATCTGATTTTGGTGCAGTCGGGCGTTTTTTTAAGATTTTTGAGGCGTGAGCAGCACTGAATTCATCAACCTCTTCAAACTGAAGCACACAGCGGTGGCAGAGCCTTGTTTCCAGGACCATGCTGTGAGAACAGTGGCAGCTGCTGCAGTTTTTGGAGGGATGTGATGCGATGTGTGTCATCAGATGATATAAGATTTGTGCCATGATAATCCATGATATGCCATGATGCAATGCTGCATGTTTATGGGATGTTTATGCATGTTTCACGTGTGAATTTCATGTGCCGCAGCGCTTTTTGTTATCCCCTTCAGGCGAGCTGCCATGTGCTACTAGCATTTTCAGACGCATAGGTCCGATTTTTTGTGTACTCAGTGTACCATAAAAGAGGCAATGGCGAAGGATGCGAAGGATGAAGCGAAACCAATCAAGGTCATGGCCTACATGAAACTATTGCTGAAGACCATTGTGGTGACCTATCCTTTTGCCCTGGTGGTGTTAGAACTGCCCGACATCGATCCTTTTTCGTTTCAGTCGTGCAATCGCAGAGCTTGCACTTTCATGCAGATTTTTGGCAAAGGTGTGGCCCCACCCAACGAAAATTGTGCCAAAGTGGGTTTGGCCAAGGCGTATCACGTGATTGTGAACGGGAGATTGAGTGGGGCATGTGATGATGAGTTCTTTCTTCATCCAACTTGTCCCTCTTACTCTCAGCAGCAGATGGCCGAGACCTGTGAGAGGATGGAGGTGAAAAACACCATTGTGAATCCGATGCGAGAGTCTTGGTTGAAATACGCATACGCCTGTGCCATAGCAGGTTGGGCATTGTTCAGCGTCCTCCATGACTTTTGCCTCATGCGAGGGATGAAGGAATTTCTGACCTTGCGACTTGGTTTCGCTTCCACATTCTTCCTGCTTTTGGCAGTGATCATCGCATTTTTTTGGAACTTGGGAGTGTTGAAAGTCTTTGCTGCAGAAGTCATTTCTGGCGTCTGTGCTTGTTACTACGTCTTGCCGGAGTTGCAGGCCATCCTGGCCATCCTAACTCCTTGCCTACTGTACTTACAGAGCATCAAGAGATTGCAACAGCTCAACCGATCCATCCTGGTGGGAGATCATTTATTTTTTCAATCCTACGATGTTCCCTTTGCTTTGGCCAAAGAATCTCAAGCCATCGATGTGGGAAGCTTTGTGATTGCCACAGCCCATGGCTTTCATCCAATGGAGATCCAGAAAAACCGGCTTTCTTTGTCGCAGATCCGCTGGTTATGTCTGCTGCAACGGGTCATGATCTTCACCTTCTTGGTGCCCCTGTCGTTCAGCATAGCCATTGCCACTGGACCAGCAGCTGTTCGTCTCCTGCAGTTTGCCAGCACGGAACAGCTGCCACAGCACATGGAGATCATGATGCTGTTGGGACTATGTGCTTTTCCCTGCTTCTTGTTCCTCAATCTGCGGAGTTTATCTCCTTGTGATTTGCAGGGCGGTCTGCACTTGGACCTGGAAACTTGGGAGAGGAAACGTCCATACTCCACGCTGTTTGGACGATTCGCATTTCTCGCCACAGTGGTGGTGGGCTTGGGCTGGGCCACCTGCGTTTTAGGCTATGAACTGCTGGCTGAAGAGGCCCCAATCTCATCATCACATGCTCTGTTGGTGTCTGAAGCAGGGGTGGTATACTTTGTCCTTGGCCTGCAAGTACATGTTTGGGTGGTGGAATTGCGGCCCACCTATCAGGCTGTCTTGATGAAGGCGCGGAAGGCGTACCCTCCCTCCATGTACATCAGCATGGCCCTGAGCCATCCAGAGTACAACTTGGATGCAGAGTGCAGATTGGCAGAGGAATTTCTGCAAGACGATCCGGGCTCAAAATTGAACGATGAGCTCAATTGGCAGATGTGGCAAGGCCGACTGGAGGAACTGCAGGAAACTCCATCCTTCAGCGACTTGGAGTCAAGCTCTTCGACGAGTGATGCAATGTGATCAACGCCAATGCATGTTTCTGGATGTTTTTGTTCTTTTTTATTCAATAAAAATAAATAAAGCACAGGCAGTATAGGAGGCATGCTTTCCTCAAGGGATAACGTGACTGACAGTGGCACCCGCTCTCATAGTGAGAGGAGCCAAAGTCGGTCGTGGACAGGAAAATTAGGTCCAATCCGAAGCTTTCAAAGAAGGCCGGAATTTCAAAAACATCCAAGTCCGCCAAGAAAAATGCTGCCGGTTTTTTTTGACGCGAACACATTCACCCCGTTGCCACGCACATCCGTGTGCTGTGCTTTGCTTCCAACTTGTGATTTGGAGGACAGCTCAGGACCAAAGGGTCCAGAGGACGAGGAGGCCAACCACCATGTTTTATTTCCCCTGTTGAAAAGGCTGCTGGTAATGTGTGTTGGCAAAAAGTGATACACCTCATATATAGAATCGTATAGATTCACATGCATACCACGAGGGGGTTCCTGGATAAAAATGAGTTTGGAAAGTGGAGTCTTTAGAGTCTAGATTTTGATTTGAACTATGCCCGGATTTCATGTCGCCGCTTTCACTTCCCGCTTTTGAATTCAAGTTTACTCTCCAGCGCATGCCTTCGGAGTCGCCTCATCACCATGCTCCACGAAGTCAACGAACACCGTGACTCGGTAAACTTGGTCAAAACCCATTGTGACCACCCAAGAACTGCCAAGAACCCCAATTTTGATTGCTCGTGTTTCGATTGAAACATCGATTGAAACTTAGATCTTCAAGCTGCTTCAAACCTCAATCCTAGGAGCTTGCAGGTTGTGCAGGTTGGGCAGGTTGATGCAGGTTGGCACGTACCTATACTGCCTATACTTAACATATCCTAACATCACACCAACATTGCTTCTGAGGTGAGCGTAGCCCCCGGCGGAATGGAGCGAAGCCGGCGACGTCCGGTCGGGACTTCCCCGATTTGGGGCTGAAAGTTCCACGGGTTTTGCTTCCGAAAAAAGGCCTCGATTTGACGAAGTGGTGTGTCATCGCTTGTGATCAATACACCTCTCAGCCTGAATACTGGAAATCCGTCAAGGACATTGTGAAGGATGCGCCATCCACTTTGAATCTCATCTTTCCGGAAGTCTACCTGGGTGATGAAAAATGGAACCAGGAAGTCATTCAAAAAATCAAGGAAAAGATGTGTGAATATGATCGGGACGGAATTCTGGAAGCCCAAGACCCCGGCTTTGTCTTGCTGGACCGCCAGACACCACATGTTGCCAGCCGCAAGGGAGTCTCGGCTGCCTTTCCGCATCTTTTCCCGCCATGTTTTGTGGCTTCTATCATGAGGACAGCCTTCAAGTCTTTCCCAGTATGCAGCCTGTGGGAACGGCACCGCATCAACGGACCATCAAAGGCCTGATGTGTTTTTCTTTGATATCTCTTTTTTGCAGTATTTATAAGACATCTACTTTATTCTACTTTCAAGATTTTCATCTCAATCAGCCAGGCTTAAATTTAACTTAAATCATCAATCCCCCATCTCCATCCATCTCCAAGGATTGCTGGTGGCCCTGGACCTGGAGCTGTACTGTTTCGACCGAAACTCACAGAGTCTGATCCGCCCCACGGAGAAGACGATCCCGGAGCGTCTTCCGCCGCGGATCGCCATCCGAGAGAAGTCCCCGCTGGAGCTGCCGCATATCTTGGTGCGGATGGGATGGAAATGCGGAAGGGATGGAAGGGATGGAAGGGATGGAAACACAATGAAACACAATGAAACACAGTTTTTAACATGTCAAAATATGTAAAAACTGTACCAGACGATGTAAAATGTAAAAACTGTATAAAACTGTCAGGCTGTGTTCTCTCTGTTCGAAGAGTCAACATGAGACATCATGAGACAATGAGTCCAAGAAGATAAATAACATTAATATATGGGACCCCCTGTTGATGTACGCAACGTGTGGCCGCACAGGTGCTGATTGACGACCCATCCAAGACTGTCATTGAGCCGCTGGCGGCGCGTTCCGCGTCATTTCCCAAGCTCTACGACTTTGATTTGATGAAGAGCAGTGGGCATTTGACAGGTTGGCATGTTGCAGAGATCCTCGATCAAACTGTCGACCAAACTGTGGACCAAACTCCTTTTGGATCCTTTTAGTTCTGGTCATTTCTGGCCCCGTGTGGTGAATCAGGATCAGCTGAACCCTCAACTTGGATGCTGAACTTGTTTGCACTTGATTACACGTTACATTGCACATCATTGCACGCAGGCACAAATCAAACATCATCAAACCATGAGATATCATAAGAATTCATAAGAATTCATATCATAACATGGTCGATTCATCGCATTGGTCGATTCTTGGTGAATTCCTGGATGAGGAGCGCTGCCATTGAGGGTGTGGCTGCGGCATTACGCACTCTCGCTTGCCCCGAGACCTTCCGAAGGAGATACGGTGCTCGGGAAGATCAAGAGGTCATCCTTTATCCCGTCGGGACCCCCAGGTTCCAGGCAACATCAAGATCATCAAGTCATTGCATGTCGTCAATGAGTCATTACCATTTAAGATACCACTCGTGGTTTCTGGAATCATTCTTTTCTCCGACAATTTCCTCAGCTTTTGCATCTTTTGCCTTGCCCTGCATGGCTGCCATTTTGGGGATGTTATATATTTTCTATGCGTCATGGCCCTTCTCCTCCCCTCATAATCATATTATTCACATAGGATGAATTAATGTCAATCAGCATCATTATCATCATTATCATCATTTGCCCATCATCACCATCATCACCATCATCACCATCATCACCACCACCGTTCTCGCCTCTATTATTCCGTCTCAGTCTCATCGCAATAGATCCTGACAGGCATCTACAAAAAACGGGTGCTCTGTGCTTCCATTTCATCACCTAGAGCCCACTATCACAATACATACCTTTCGTCCTCCTCCGTTTGCTCCCCAAAATATGCTAGATATATCATGATATATCCGTGTCACACACACACATACATACATACATACATACATACATACATACATACATACATACATACATACATACATACATACATACATACATACATACAGACATACACATACATACAGACAGGACAGACAGACAGACAGATACACATACAGACAGACAGACAGACAGACAGACAGACAGACAGACAGACAGACAGACAGACAGACAGACAGACAGACAGACAGACAGACAGACAGACAGACAGACAGACAGACAGACAGACAGACACACACACACACACATATATATATATGCCTCGGAATTGTTTTTGACTGCCAGACTGCACACTCTGCTGCTCTCAGGTGGGGGATGGCAACCACTCCCTAGCCACTGCTAAGCAATGCTGGGAGTCCTTAAAGAAACAGGGAGCCGATCCGGCCACCCATCCGGCGCGTTATGCACTCGTGGAGCTGGTGAATATCCATGATCCCGGGATGACGTTCGAACCTATCCACCGGCTGCTTGGTTGCAGATAGATGACTTTAATCGTGTGAAATCCCCATATTTCAAAACATCAACGGGCATTTTTTAATGATCTGGAACCACACAAGAATTACTTGGTCTGTTTTAATCTGTTTTAATCTGTTTTGTTTTTCATCGTTTTCCCATGTTTTTCCACCCGGCCTGGGATGGGGAGGACCAGTGAGGTTGCTGTTCAATGTGGATGTCAAGAAGGCGCTGGATGATTTCGCGTCTGCCATGAAGGAACGTAACTGGAGTGTTGAACTGAGACCGGGTCATCACCTACACAGCTGCACCAATGGCAACAAGGAACCTGGAATTCATGCCATTGAATTCCGGAGCAAGAACTTCAGTGGCATCTTGGCTGTGAAGAGTGACTTGGTCCTGGAGGTTGCGACTTTGACTGCTTGGCTGGACCCTTACCTGGCAGCGCATTCTGAGATCTCTGTGGATTATGTGCATGGTGAGGAGGTCATTGCAGAAAAAACCCAAGAGGATTCGACCTTAGCATTTCTCTTTCCCATCATGAACAAGAATGACCTGGTGAAAACCGTGGTGAGAGAAGGCGTGCTTCCTCGCAAGACCTTCTCTATGGGAGCCGCGGATGAGAAGCGTTTCTACTTCGAGTCTTGCCGCATCGTGCCAGAGTAGATTCAGCAGATTCCGATTTGGGGTCCATGGGATTCATCAAATCCATGGGTGCCAAGGTGGTAACATGCGGCAATTTCAGTCGGAGAGCTGAGAAACTCAGCTGAAGTCGCTCTATGGCTGACCACAGGGCCCCAAACCACTTGGCCCTGGTTGTTTTAATGGCTGATTCCATTTGAGATTTGAGCCTGTCAGCCGATATCCCGAATATCCTGGATGGCATGTTTCGATACAGCTGAGACATTTGGTCTCCTTGTGTGGCCTGAAGGTTGGCTCATCATAGTGTACAACAAAAACCGATAGGGTGAAAATGGCTTGGTTCTTAGTTCATATATGATATATATGTTCATATCAAAAACACCACACACACATAAAAAACACCAATCAACAACCACTTGGTACTTTTGGATGACACCACCTGACTGCCCACAGAGACATTGTCATCTCACCCATGTACAGGATTCCCTCTGGGTACTAATGGTACTAGCGTTATTGAACACGTTCTTCCACATGTTTGGTTGGGTTTGGGTCCCTTGATTTTGTTTCCAGTTTATCAGTTTATCAACAGCGATTTTGCCACGTGGAGAGATTGGAGGATTGGACTTTGGCAGATGGCCAGTGACAGTGGGATCAAAGCTCAACCACCAAGGGATGCGGTCAACCCTCATGGCACCCCATCCCTATCGCTTCAGTTGGACCATGTTGGACCATGTTGGACCGTTCCAACAGCCGCGAACAGACAGTGACAGCAGTGACAGTGTCGAAAAGAGACACCGATCCCACGGGGTGATCCTGGTGACCTCAGAGATAGACCTAGGATGATCTCACGGGGAATCAGGGGATGGGAGGAATTACGGTTTCTTTGGGATCTATCAGATTTTATCACTCTTGTTCAACTTGTTCCTCCGGGTGGTATATGTATAGTATATCTCGGAATAGTATGGAATAGTACAAAAAGCTATGAACAGCCATGGATTGGGATGAGCCGCGGTGAGTCTACAGTCAGATTTACTCCGCTTGTGGACATTGAAAAAGACGCTTCTGATTTCGGAGGTTCCTCTCCATCCAGCGGATTTGGGGCCGTTGACCCAGGGGCAGTGCATCACCATGAATCACCATGCAGATGTTGGAAGATTTTAATGGGGTCAACCAGGTGGTTGGGGTGGTCCCAAGGAAACAAAAGGCACCTGAGTTGAAGGGTCAAGCTGAGCCTGTGAGAATGTTGATCAGGCTGCCTGACAATCTCTTATGACTGTTGTGTATTCTTATGTATTCTTATGTGTTCTTATGTTAGTATGCCCGACCTGTTCCAAACATGGATTCCTAGATGTTCCTAGTCGCACACGCCACTTCCATCTACAAGACGTCCGTGGTTCAATGCAAAATGTCCGACATAGCCGAGCAATTTTCAATACCATAGCAGGCGCCAATCCAGTCGCAGCAGATGGTGCGCAGAAAATCGAAAATCATCCAAAATCAGCTCCAGCGCAAGTCTGGCCGTCTGGCCCACAGCCACTGACTTTATCCTCCAATAAAGGCGACGAACTCAACGGCAAGATAAGCCATCCAGACTGGGTCAAGAATTCTTGTGCATTGGCTCCCTCTCCCAAACGAAAATGGAAGGATGAAGATTCTAAGGTGTTTTAACCTGTTCCCCGCAACCCCCTGGTTCGCCCACACTCAAACAACACATCCAAACAATATGATATACTTATCACCAGAGGATGAATGAAAACACTAGCTATACGCAGTGATTTTGACTTTAAGTTTTCAGGATTTAGGGTTTTAATTTAGGGTTTAGGGTTTTAAGTTTCAGGGTTTTAGGTTTTAGGGTTTTGGTGTTTGTTGTTTTGGAAAGTAAACAACTTAAACCCTGCACAGGGATTTGAGCATGTCAAAAGATATGCGGGATTGGCCGCGGGCAAACCTAGGGGCTGCAGCGAAATGCAGCGAACCTGTTCTGAGCACCATTGAGAACCCAAGGCGTGCCTTCGCCGTGCCTGGCCCCGAGATGCTGGAGAGGCCGCGGCAAACTTTGAGTCCTTCAGCAGTGCCGTCGTCCCCGGTGGCTTCCCGGTGGCCTCCCGGTGGCCTCCTGGCATCCAGGCGGGCAGCTTGCACGGCGGTGGAGGTGCCGAAGCCGGAGCAGGAGAAGCGTGGCCGCAGCAAAGTGTGGATCATTGGCGGCACCAACGAGCGCGGCCGGAAGCCAAGGAGATTACCGATGTTTGGCTCCCGGGACACAACTTGAGGGATAGGGTGATAGTGGACCGATATATTGATGTTCTTAATGTTCTTGTTGTAGCAACTATATCATTGATCCTTGAGGATATCCATTCGAATCACTGGTCATTCGGTCCTTCTCGGAAGCCACTCTTTTTTGGCATCCTGCCCTGATGCAGATCGTCCGCTCCGAGGCCAGAGACTTGCGACCAGTGAATGGATTGAGGTGATTTTGCCTGCGCCTGAGTTGGTACGGTTGCATGGTTTGATGTTGGTTGGGTGTGCTTTTTGCTGATGCACCTTTCCTTTCAAGCTGTGGATGGAATCTGGCGAAAGCACCAGGCCCGACCATTTTGAGGACGGCTTTGGGTCTGTTGGGAAGGGTTCCAAAAGATAATTGATTGTGAGGGAAATTTAGCCGTTTTGCCTCTGTTGATCCATTTTTTAAGCATATCCAATTGAACATCTCTTTGGTTTCCAGGGCAAGCCGTAGCATTCATCGCAGTCGATAAAGAATCAGATCGAGCTGCAGGAGGATGGCCCAAGTCTCCAACGAAGGCTCAGCAGACGCAGCAGCCGACCCGAAGCAGTAGCAGCAGCAGCAGCCGCAGCCGCAGCAGCCGCCGCAGCAGCTGAAGCCCCGGAAACTGAGAACGCCGACGAGAACAGTGCGGAAAGCGCCAGTGCAGCCGATGCCTTGGACGCCTTGGGCGCCTTGGAGGCCTTGCAGGCTGTGGCCCAAGCCGAGGCGGATGGCGCCGAGGCCACGGCTGCGCCGGCGGATCCCGAGGATCCCGAGGATCCCGAGGCAACGGCAGAGGCGGCAGCGGCAGAGCCGGAAGCAGAGGACGAAGCCACAGAAGGCGCAGACGGATCAGTTGGATTTGGTGATTTTGGATGGGAATTTGGTCATTTGGAAGTCATTTTGGATCATTTTGGATCATTTTGGATCATTTTGGATCATTTGGCCAAGTTGGAAGTTTGTCTTGGTGCACCGGAGTCCAATCATAATATCCCCCCCTGTGGGCATGTTGGCCAGAAAATATTGGGAGAAATGTTGCTCGCGATCACCCTCAATCTGTTCTATGGATATCTAATGTCCGCCAAGCTTTTGCCATCCCACTCCAAGACGTGATGTCACATGATGTCACTGAGTCCTACTGTGGTGCCTTCCCAGAGCAATGACAGGAGAAGCTCCAGAGCCCGCAAAGGAGGAGGCCGGTGATCCCGCCGTTTTCCTAAGTCAGAACACTATTTTTGGAGTAATAGATTTACCCAAAATGTGATCATTACAGATCATTCATTCATGTATATCAAGTCAACAGAACGCAAGAAAACGCATCCGATTCCATCACTTCCCCTTCAATTTATTTAGCAAGAGGCTGGCATCTGTGAACAAGCTCAGTGGGACATTGGTCAGCATTGCAGAACAGTCCAGCGTTTTAGCTCCATGGCTCACGACAGGGCAGGTTTGAGGACAGCCTTGCAGGATGATTTCGCTATGCGTCCAGATTCAGCCCAAATAGGGCGTCCATGGCCTCGGTGTTGACATGGGAATCAGCGAACACTGAATACATAGCTGCTGGAGGAGATCGAACAAGACGAGCTGCAGGCCCCACTTGACGAGGTGCCCAGGAAGGAGACCTTGGGACAGCTGCGGTCCTCCTTGGACCAATCTGGACCTGTGAGAATCACTAGGCAACGGCCAAAAGGAAAACTCCCAACAAACAGGAACTGAGGGCCAAGGGCTTGAGGCCCATGCATTTTCCATCCATTTTCCATCCATTTCCCCATGATTTCCCCTAGGAAAATCATAGAAATTCCATGAGACCTGACCTTTTCCATGACACGACAGGCGGGCCCGAGCCACGTGAGACCTGGCGACACGCGCGACACGCGCGACACGCGGCACTTTGCGCCCGGGCCATCGATGCTGCTGCCCCGCTCGGGGCTGGCAGCTGTGAGGTGCAGAGCTTGGCCGCGATCATGCGATCATTGGATTATGGCAATTATGGAATGATACATCCAATAAATATCAATAAATAATAAAGATGATGTAATACGATGTAATGTATCATATTGCAATATATTGCAATTATATATCCATATGGCAATCTTATTTATATCCATCAATTATGGTAAGATGAATGATACATAAGGGTATATTATATTCCATTAATATCAATATATGATGGGTATATTCCATTAATCTCAGTATATGATATAAGATGGTGGATGATGGTAAGGTTTTGGCTTGGGGTTCACAACAGCGTGAACAGGGTGCCCCTCGTCCATCTAACCTAAGTGGGACTCGCGTGATCCCACGGGCTAGCCATAGCTGCTTAGCCTTGCTGCCTTTGTGCCTCCGCTGAACTGGTATTGCCCTGGCGGTGGCCACTTTGTGCAAGCGCGTGCTCTCGAGGTCCCGGCCTCTTTAAACCTCCCGGGCTCTGTACACCTTGGACCTGCCGATCTACTTGGGGAAGTTCGGGCTTGCTCCTTAAGGTTTCTCTGGTTCCTTGCATACTTGGCCACGATCGGGCTTGGCAATTGTGCATATTTTGTTCTCGCCGAAGAGCTGGACTAGTAGATGCACTTTTTAGTCATCCTCTTCATTGTCCTTGTGCGATTTTGCGTGGTTTCCAACGACTACTCCAACAAGGAGGCGTGCTTTGAGAAGAGCCCGTGCCTTAGCCCGACATCAGTGGTTCCTCCATCGGACTGGTGTGAGAAGGCTTGGATTTACGGCGCGTGCCAAAATTCGCTCGACTTTGGCGACTCATCACAGTCGCGACCTCAAGTTCCTTGCCAAGATCTCCTTCGCAATGGCTGCTACCAAACAGCCTTGGCGCTGCAGCATCTGTCACAAGATGGCCAAAGCTTCGATGCCTCGTTGCGCATGGTGTGGCAAAACTTGGCAGGAAGTCATGGATTACACGTATCAGCCGGGCAATGCTCAGGCACCGCCTTCCTCCTCTGGTGCGGCATCATGGAATCAGGGTGGATATGGCAATGCTCATGGCCGCAAAGCGACTCCGAGACGGAAATCCCGCAGGAGAAGCCACAATGGTGGTCAGCAATCTCAAGGTGGTCAACAAGGTGCTCCTGTTGGTGCTGCCCAGTATTATCCGCCGGGCAATTGGGCGCCCAATATGAACACTGGCCCCTATGCGCAGTTCCCGATGGCTCAGCCGCCTGCAGCGCCTCCACAGCAGTTTGCCCCACCACCTCCGCCGCCATTGCCGCAGGGGCCTGTCCCTGCGCCGGACCAATTCTGGACGCAGCAGATGCAGCAAATGCCAGTTCTCAACTCTGTGCCTACGACTGGTCCGACTACACCTCAATCCCCGGCCGAGGTGCACCTGCAGAACATTTTGGGAGCCCTGCGACAATCCGAGGAGACATGGACCCCGGAGATCCAACAGGCGGTCCAAAAAGTGGATCATTCCAATCTCCAGCTCAATCTGGGGCAGGTACACGCCAGTGTCTTCGAGATTGGGCGTGCCAAGACAGAGGTAGCCGAAGCAGAAGCTGCACGTCTGCGGCTAGTCACGTCCTGGCGGACTTTCCTCCAATACAGTGTCTCCCGATGGAAGGAATATGCGGGTTTGTTCCAATCCCAGGAGGCAACTATTCAGAATCAGATCTCGGCCGCCAAAGCCCAATTGGCTCAGGCACAGCGTCAATTTGGCAAGACGTCCGAAGTGGTTCGAGATGGAGCAGTTCAGATCTCCGACGAAGAGGAAGGCAACAGTCCGGAGCTCAAACAGACCAAGGACGAAGAGATGCGATCCGAGGCTTCACACAAGATCGCAGCCGGGTTAACACAGGTTGTCAACTCACTGCAGGAGCTCTCAGATCAAGCAGAAGCAGAAGAACGCAAGGCGAAGCGTCATCGCGGCTCTGGAGAATCACCACCTGGCGACACGCCGGCACCTTCGTCTACGCCTGCGCAACTGCCTTCGATGCAGCCTTTTGGCACGCCCGGTGTGAAGTGACCGACAGGTACACACACCTTGGGCCGCTAGGCGCTAGTGCCATTGCTGCCTTTGGAAGCTCATGGGCACATTCGGCATGTGACAAAGTTGATTTCCTCTCTCCTTGGCAAGCACTTCAAGATGCAGAAGATTTGGCGATTGATGTGGGTTCCAATTACGCCTTCAGAATTGAGAAGTCTGTGCTGTCTAGACCGAAGCGTCGACATTTCCAGCTCTCTTTTTCTGAGATGATCGAGATCTGCCTTATTGCTGATGCCACCATGCCATTGACCAGTTTCACTATGCCACAGACAGCCTTTGAGGTTTGGAATAGCAAGCCGTGGTCGTTGAACCTTTCACACCAGCTGTCTCAATCCCATAGCAGGACCGTTTCCTGCGATGTTCAAGACGTTCCGGTCTCCTTCATGCAAATTTCTCAAGTTAGACATGAATTGCCTCCCCCGAATTGGATTCGAGTTCCCAGTCATCCTTTTCAGACTGTTGATGGAGGCGCCCACATACCCGTTGCAGCAATGGAGGATCGTGATGCACCCATTGATGAGGTTGACACTGGGTCGCAGGTGGGTGCGTCCTCTTCGTCCTCCCACACCATGCGAGCTGTCTATTTGCATCATTTGGAAGATCCAGTCGTTTTTGGCCGCATTGACTGGACTGATTATGATTGCATGATGGCAGATGCTGCAAGACTCATGAATGTGGAGGTTGACGACATTGTTGCACTTTATGAGATCAATGTCCAGCTTCCTGACCTTCCTGACGATGTCACCCCTTTGATCGTCCATTTGGAAGCGGACATGGAACCAGGAGAACCTAGCCGTCTTTGCTTGGTTGACTATGAGATGCACGGAAATACACTGGAGGCCCACTATCAAACAGCCCCGGTTGTTGATCGAAGAGTGATGGTCACCCCAATTCATGCCTCAATGCAAGCCATCTTTGTACGTGCTGGAGTTGATGTATATTGTCATCTTGAAGATGATCGTTGTCTTATTTTCCACAATCACCAACCTGTTCTCTCACAGCATAATCCTTTACTGCGGCCTACACATGGTGATTACCTCAAGCTTGCGGTTCCTCCATCACTGTATTGTGACGAGCCCACACAGCCTCTTCTGGCTCGGCGACAACAGCATAACGAGCTCACCTTTGGAGACTCCCCTAGCTGGTCCGAAAGTTCTGGATACTCACCCAGCTTGATTGATCCTTCAGAACTTCGTGCCCAACTTGGAATGCAAGATCCTGCAGATATTGCACTTCTGCAGATTTCGGTTGACTTGAATACGGTTGAGACCTTGGGTGCTATCTGCCGGCAACCATTGTGCCTCCCACCTCAGTTGGAGGATATTCAGTCATCTGATCGCACATGTCCGGTACCACACTCCAAGCTTAGCTTTACGGAGGAGTTCCTCAGAGCCGTCAATGCAATGAGCACCGCCGCAGAAAATTTGCCAGAATTCCAAGAAGATGCTTTTGATCTGGAAGCTTTAGCTCCTTGGACAAGAGAGTTGTATGAGCACTGGAATCGACTGGCCACCGTTGGACCTGGAGCGGTAGAGAGACTCGGTCGTCTAGAAACCTGGTTTACAGATCATCTCAGCTACCAGAGGTGTCACCACACTCGCATCGCCATCCTCGGCCCGGACGCTCAACGCTGGGAGGAGCAGATCATGCACCTATGGCGGCAGCATATTCTCCTGGGTGCACCGATCGAGTTTCACATCGTGCACCCCTTGCCGGAAGACGCATCCGGCCAGATCATTGGCCAACTCATTGTGGTGCAACGCCCACAACGGTTCCAACGCTCTATTGTGCTGTCCATTTATGATAGCGAGTACGACCGCGGCCTTGCACATTCATTGGCGATGGTGATGAGCGATCGCATCGACCTCCTGTCGGTGATGATCATGGCGGAACTGACTGAGGAGTGTCCCCCGGAGGCGCCCCGCAATGACTGTTCTCTCTGGTTCGGGGCTCGGCAGTTTGCTCCCAATGAACGTGCCTATGCACGACATGGTCACGCATTTCGGCTTGTGCTGAATCGTGCTCGAGGGCCACCACCTCCAAGGCCTGTGGTCACCAATCTGGCACAAAGTCAGGCGCAACTGTCTCAAAATTCGGCTCTTCCGCCATTCTTGGGAGCAGAGGATACAGCACCTACCTGGCTGGTGGCAATGTCACGAGCCTTTCCTGACGGCGCTGCAGTGGAACGAGAAGATGAAGGGCCAGTTGCATATCTCACCACTTGGTTCCTTCATTTTGCCCTTCGGCCTAGCTGTGTACAGAACAGAGTTGTGCGTCTTAGAGACCAACCTTGGATGTGGCATCGAACATTGATTGAACGATGGGGAGATCACTTTGATAGTACACTTCCCGTTCAATTCTTTTGGGTTGCACCTATGCCTCCTTCCTCATTGACGCAGCACACCCTTGGCCATATGCTGATTGTGCAGGGACTTCCAGAGGACCAAGTTGCCGCGTTGCTCACCACACGTGTGCGTGATGACGAAGGCCAAGCCTTGCACCATGTTGCTACATTCTTGCCCACCTACGTCTCGGCAGAAATGGTCGTTGACATTTTGGCGCTTCCAGGGCCTCTGCGGCGTTTTCCTCGCAGAGTAGGATTTGGACAAGAGTACTTTGCTCCATATGCCACACAGCAGATCCACTCTGGAAGCTCACTTGTCTTGGATGTTTTAGGCAGCCAACGGTTTGTTCAACCTACTACATCTTCAACTGACGAGGCACTCAACTTGATTCAGACCATGGTTCGCCGCATCCCGGCAACTCATTCGGAAGCAGCTCCTCCCATTGAAGTGGCTACAGCTGAGCCTGCAGTACCTCTGACCGAACCTGCCGAGGCTTTTCAGCCAAGGGTTACGTTGAACCTGACTGCTTGCTTGGCCGACAACTTCGTGTACAAAGAAGAGCAGTATTCATTTCCTGAAGTGGCTTACATGCAAGTCCCAAATTGGCCTGCCTTTTTTGCCAGAGTTTTGCCCTCTCCGACCTTCATACCAGAGGGCCTCAAGTTGCACCCCACTACTTACTCTGCTCTTGCGTCCCCAGAAGAATTTCAAGAAGTTTCTCTGTGTGACTGCATAGCTTTGTATGTTGACGGCGCGGCTGATGGCATGCAGGCCGCTTGGAGTATTGTATTCGTCCATTTTGACTCAGATGGCTTGCCGTCCCTTCAAGGGTGCGTTGCAGATCAAGTTGTGATTGACACCACGCATGACAAGTGGCTTGGCGCCAACCGCCCTGACAACATTGCAGCAGAGGTGACTGCAGCTTGTGCCGCCATGGCCGCGTGCTTAGGGATGGACCAACACCTCCACATTGTCATTCGTCCAGATTTGAAGCTCAGTGCCCAATTGGCCACCCATCAATGGGGCTGCACAGCACATCCCCTTCTTTGCCAGTTGTGCGAAACGCTTGGAAGTTGGTTTAAAAAATGCCGTGGCACTTTTCTTGAAGTCAGAGGGCATTGCGGAGACCCTTGGAATGAGTTGGCAGATGGTGTTGCGAAGCATTGTATGGAAGTTGGACAAGCAATTGGATTTTTGGACTTGACAGGGTATTCAGATTTGATCAAGACTCCAGATCTGAACTGGGCTTGGCTTCTCGATGCGCCTACTACCTTGCATCAATGTCTTCCACCCGGTTCTCACCATGGAGTGTGGCAAGTTCAACCGAGCACCTTGCGTGTGCCCATACATGAATCGTATCATCCAGATGAGCAATGGAAACAAATGGATTTTCTTTGTATGACTGCCAATGTCCTTGCTCTCGGCTCTGTTGATGCTGACATGCCTACGTCCTCCAGCTCTGAGCGCGCACTTCGATTGGCCCATCAATGGCATCAAGATGGCATTCACGTGGCAGGACTTCAGGAGACCCGCCGAGAAGTAGGCACGTACACTGCTGGCAATTACAAGTGCTTTGCTTCAGGAGCTCAACGTTGCAGTCGTGCGCAGCACTTTGGTTGTGAATTGTGGATCCATCAACATTTGGTCCTCGTTCCTGATCTCAAGCTGAAACTTGCTGACTTCCAAGCGGTTGTTACCCATGCAGATCCCAGGCGCCTGATTGTCAATTTGACGCATCGACAATGTCGTCTTTCTTTCATTGTTCTACATGTGCCATGTAAAACATCGCAATGTGATCTCGAAGAAATTCGCCAGTGGTGGACCGAAACCCATGCAGTAGTGAGCAAGGCCGCCATTGCTCCCCTGACTTGGATTTTTATTGATGCAAACGCCCCACTGGCTTCACACGAGACCACGTTGTTCTCTACCCATGGTGCTGAACCTACAAATGGCCCTGGTGAACTCCTTGAAGCTGCTCTTACCGAATTTCAGTGGTATGCTCCTACAACCATGACTTGGTGCCATACAGGATCTCATGCTACATGGACCCATCCGCGAGGAGCCAAGTCTCGTCGTGATTATATTTTGACTTCAGCCGCAGCTCATTCTCTCTCCATTCAGACGTGGGTGGCACAGCAACATGATGGAGGCTTCAGTCATGAAGATCACCTTCCTGTTTGCCTGCATGCTCGTGGATGGATTGCCCTTGAACCTGCCGCTGATAAAGTGCAATGGGATTCCCTCGCATTCTTAGATCCTGTCAAATGCCAGCAGTTTCAAGACGCTCTGGAGACACTCCCCATTCCAGCATGGCCAGTCCATGTGGATGCGCATGCTGACCAATTTGAATCCAATCTCCTTGACTTGGCCAAGCAGTTCTTCACCAAAACCAAGCATGATCGAGTACGGCCTCGGCTCCGTGAATCCACACGCAATTTGATCGCGCTCAAACGATCTTGTCTAGATTACGGCCGCCAAAATGATCTCATGCACGATGATGAGTTCAAAGCTCAATTGAAGCTCTTGGAGAAGGACGTCCGCCGACGAGTTCATCTCGATCAACAGATCTTCTACGATGACCTTGTTCAACACATGGCGGCTGCTGGTGATCTCCATGATGCCCGTACAGTTTATCGTACTTTGACTCGACTTGGTGCCAAGAAAGGGCACAAACAACCCATTCGTTCCCTTCCTGCCCTTCAAGCTGAAGGTGGCCCAGTCACCTCTTTTACACAACAACAACAGCTATGGCTCAAACAGTTTGCAGATGTTGAGGCTGGGTACATTGTCGCCAGGTCAGAATTTCGGCGTGGCTTGCCACCCAATTTGGGCATTCCTCACGGGGATTTTGACCTCGAAGTTCTGCCTACTCTCGCACAGGTTCAAAAGCAGCTGCACAAACTCAAGCGTGGCAAAGCCCCTGGCCCAGACAATATCCCACCGGATGTTTTGAAAGCAGGAGGTGAACCCTTGGCCAAACATTTGACGATCTTGACTTCCAAGATTGCCATGCAAGCTCGAGAGCCAGCGGCTTGGCGGACTGGGAGACTTATTCCCCTACACAAGGGAAAGCTCCCTCGGGATGACCCTAAGGGGTACCGCTCCATCTTTCTCAACAATTACACGACCAAGATTTACCATGCCATTCTACGACAGCAATTGGTGACCTCATGGACTTCCGTGCTTTCGCACATCCAGTTTGGTGGACGCAAAGGCGTCGGCAGCGATTCTGCCCACCATATTGTGCAGTCGCATCTGGCACAGGCGGCTCTTCGCAAAATCCCTTCAGCTGTGTTGTTTGTGGACTTCAAAGCTGCCTTCTACAGTGTGATCAGACAAGGCCTTTTTGACCAACCGTTGGATGCGACAGGCTTTGTCTGCGCAATGCATCGACTTGGCGTACATCCTCAACACATTTCTGACCTTTTGACGACTGCTCAGAATGATGTTGCCATTCCAAATTTGACTTCTCACGCCATCTCTTTGCTGAAGGACTTATTACAGTCCACATGCTTTGAAATCTCCGGCCTTTCGGAAGTAGCCGTCACCACTAGGGGCACTCGTCCTGGTGATCCCATTGGCGACGCAGCCTTCAATTTGACCATGGCTCTTATCCTCCGTGATGTGACCCTGGACATGCGCAAGTCTGATGCCAGTTGGATGGGGGATTCTACTTCCGTCGATGATTTTACCATCAGCAATGACCTTCCCGTTTCTTCTTGGGCGGAAGTGGCCTACGTTGACGACCTTGCCATTTTGCTTGCTGCTCCAGACAATGACCATTTGATCACTTTAGCCGAGTGCTCCCTCTCTGCTATTCACTGCGCTGCCAGCAAGAGAGGCCTTGATCTTACGTATGGAGCGGGTAAAACTGAGCTTCTGATGGCATGGCGGGGTGCCCGCACCAGGCATTTCAAAGAAAAGGTTGCAGCTAGTGGCGGCAAGTGGACCGTGCACGATGCCCGCACCAGGCATTTCAAAGAAAAGGTTGCAGCTAGTGGCGGCAAGTGGACCGTGCACGATGAGGCTACCGATACTCTTTTGACCGTGCCAGTCGTCATCGCCTACAAACATTTGGGAACGTGGATTCACAATGATGCGAAGCCGTTGCATGCCATCCGTGACCGTATCACTGCTGCACGTAAAGCCTGGGGACCCTTGTGCCGACCATTTCTCAACAAACAAGGTGTTGCTCAGCGTACCAAGATTCAGGTGTTCAACGCACTGGTTATGAGTCGATTCTTGTACAATGCTCATACCTGGAGCTGGCTTACTGATGAATGGATTTCTACTTGGGAAGCAGGTCTGCGACCCATGTTGTATTCCCTTGCCCGACCAGAATTGCGTGGACAACCTCCGTTTTCGTGCTCAGTTGAGACCTTGTGTGGCCTTTGTGGAATTCTACCCCCTCGTGCCCAACTTCATCTTGCCCGACTGCGTTATTTGAGGCGCATGCTTTTACAGTGTCCTGAAGTGCACTGGAGAGCTCTTGCACAGGTGCGCAATGAAGCAGGATCATGGATGCGCCTCCTGCATGAATCCTTTGCTTGGTTGGCGCGATTTAGCCATCGCCATTTTGGCCTCACCTCAGATTCTACATGGATCGACTGGGTCACAGTCGCTCAACTTGACACCCGATGGAAGGGCCATCTTCGCCGAGCTGAACGAGCCTGCAAAGCTTATCATCACGCCAATGCGCACACCGCGATCTGGCAGATGTGGATCCAGCACTCCTTTCGGCACTTTGGGGTTGAGCCTTTTGCCGCCGAGCCTGAGGCCCCCCCAAGCAGTTGGACGTGTGAACTTTGTGATAAAACGTTCCCATCCAAACGAGCCTTGGCCATGCACGCGGTTCAGATGCACGACTACCAAACCATTGTCAAGCATTACGCAACAGATGGCACGTGCGCGAACTGTGGCCGACTATATCATTGCCGAGCCCGACTTTGCGCCCATCTTCGACATTCTACAGAATGTCTTCGCCGCATTCGTGCAGTATTTCCAGCGCTGGCGGATGACGAGTTGGAGGCTCTCAATGCGAGTGACCGTCAACTTGCGCGAGAGATGCGGCAGCTTGGCTGGTTGCCGACCAAAGCATGCGTACCTGCCACCCGCGCCTTTGGGCCCCATCTCCCTCCTGCGCAATCACCGGCAGCAGCCTTGATGATGCAGAAGTGGAAGCAACGCAAAGAGGTTTCTGGCAGCCTCCGCTTTGAAGGCTTAGCAGGCATTTGCACGCAGATTGACACCCAGGAGATGTTGCCTCATTCTTCTTCTGAAGTCTCTGCGGACCCTTCTGAGCTTTGCTTCATTATGCATTCTGTTACAGGCGAAGAACACGGACACCATGGATGCTTTTCCATGGTGGGACTTTCACGACTTTATGCACAGTTACATTTGAAGACGCTTTGCTTCATCCATTTTTTCTCTGGATACCGCCGCGAAGGTGATTTGCAACACCAAATCGAAAATCACGTCATTCAGGGTCACTATCACATTTTCTGCATTAGCGTGGATTTTTGTCTCCAAGGAGATTGCTGCGATCTTACAACGTCGAACAGCAGAATCTTTTGGACCAAGCAGATTCAAAGTGGTGCTGTTTTCGGAGTTGGAGGGGGACCACCTTGTGAGTCCTACTCGGCCGCCAGACTGATCCCTGACGGACCGCCTCCTCTCCGCAGCTACGATGAACTGAATGGTTTGCCCTGCAATAGCGCTCGGCAATGGCAGCAAACGCTTTTGGGCACAGCCCTTATGCAGTTCATGATTGAGATGTGTTTTTGGTGTGCTGTCACCGGCGGCTGCTCCTTCCTTGAACACCCGGCCTTTCCGGTGTGGGCCAGCCAATCTCGGCCTGCTAGCACTTGGTCGTCGATGGCAATGAGATGGATGAAAAGGCTACATTGCGTTACTTTTGTAACGTTTGACCAATGCATTTTCCATTGTGAAGGAATGAAACCCACCACCTTGATGCTTGTACGACTGCCGTGGCTGCGATGTCAAATTCAAGCGCTAGGTAGGGTAGGCAGATGCCCTCACCCGAAGGGCACCCACATTTCCCTGAAGGGCAGGGATTCAGCAGGGCATTTTCGTACTTCAATAGCCAAGATTTACCCTGCTGCAATGAATGCAGCCATTGCACACGCATTAGCCGTTTTTGTGCAACAGACTTTTGTTGGCCATGCTCCTCCTCCTGAGGCAGTGGAAACGGAGCTGGCTGCCCTCAATCGGTTGGATTTTGTCTCAAAGGACGTTGTACAGCCTGACGTCTACTTTGAGTAGCACAGTTCCGGTTGAGAGTTGCATGTTTCCAAGCAGTGACTTCTGCAGCATCTGGAAAGGAAAAAAGGTGGATGATGGTTTGGTTTAGTTTTTATTCTTTTTTTTTCTAATGTATATCACAATTATCAAACACATTGCCGCCACACACACACATATATATATATATAATAATAATCATAATGATAATAATAATATTATTAATAATAATAATAATGTACATGCTGAACATGTTGGGGAGATGTATATGAAGATGTTGGGAAATTTGGGAAGACATGTGGAAACTTGACGAAACACGACTGTGCCATTATGTCGCTTGGGGGTGGACGGATCCTCGGCCTGAGGCTGAGCGAGGTCGTGGTGCTTATTGCTGGAGGTGTTGGCCCAGAAGGTGAACATCTAGACTCCACAGAGGCGATTGGTGTCCATGTCTGGGAGAGATGGTGGCATGTATATACATAATATATATATATATATTAATATATAGCATCATGTAGCAAAACTTTGGGGAAGTTCCATCGGAAAATACCAAACAAAACCTGTCTGCGCATCAATTTAGCAGTCAATTTTTCCATGAATCTTCAGCAAATCTCACCTTTCCCTTGCCAGTTCTTCGACTTTGAAGACCGGAAAGAAACCATGCAGCAGGGCCCATGCCTCTCCTGGGGATGTGATGGTCCGGTAGCCCAGATTACCCAGATTGTGGCACGACAAACAATATCGAGCCATGTCAAACAATAAAAACGGATGAAAACTGGATATATTTGGATATGGTAGTCATGTAATAGTCATGTAATAGTCATTTGTCTTCTATATATATATATAATTAGAATATATATATATATGTTTGATGATGTTTGATGAATGAGAGTAGCGAAAAGCCGACATGTCTGCCATATGTCCAGCCTTTGGACCACATCCTTTGTTTTACCGGGATTCTACCTTTGTTTTACCCTAGAAATCCGCGAGATCCCGAGAAATCAGGGATTTTGTCTCCATGTGCCATCAGTTTCTGCCATCCATTTTTCCCCGCCAGGTCCTTCTGGCTTCAGCTACTGCGCAGCCGGCCGTGCGGTGGTGGAGTTCTGACACCGTTTCGATCGTTTCACAGCGCTGGCGAAACGCTGGCCGCAGCCCAAAGGCAGGCTGCACCACAGCAACCGAACAGAAAATGATCGGGTCGCCGTCAATAGCTCATCAATCAGCATTCAGTGATCAAAAATCAGGTGGATTGGATATGGTTGGTATATGGTTGGTATGGTTGGATTGTGAGCTTTGAGATTTGAACTTGAGAATTTATGAGAATTTGAGAATGGAATTATTGCATACTTATTGCATCATTCCTCCGATTTTATGGAAGGAACCCGGTAACCCCGCAGCTTCGGCCTACAGCAATTGGCCGTGGACGAGTCTTCGTCCAGAAAAAGCTCCGGCCCGTTTTTCGCAGCAGGCCAATGTCGCGAACTCAGCTGAAACTGGGTTCAATTGAAAGCTGGGACGTGCTGGGACGGATGGAAATCACCGAACGCTTGGATAACTGGGTGGGAAATGGCTGTAACATGCTGGAGGAAGTTGCTCCAGTGGCAGAATCTGGCAGATTTGTCTCAGGTTGAGGAGCCTCATTTTGAGACAAGCAAAGCCTGGGAGCATTCCATGGTACAAGAAGTTCAACTGGTACAGTTTCGCGCTTTATCGCTATAAGGCTGGTTGGTTTATCGTCGTAGTCAATGGTAGTCACTATGGCTGGGTGCACTAAAACACCCAGCCATCGTTTGGTGGTTTCTGAGCAGATTTATCTGATTTGCAGGTCTATGACGTCATTTGGAGAATCTCAGCCACAGCGACTATAGGCAAGATTCAATGGGCTTGAGCTGAAAGTCGAGCCCATCGATGTTTTTCATGCAACAATAACCGCACCCTGGATGTGAAATTTATATTGAATGATGGTAGTGATGGCAAGGTACACTTGAACAAGTCATAAGGAGTGTCAATGTGTCGTCAATGTTTTGTCAACATTTCCAGTGGCTGTGGCAGATGCGGCAGGTGCTTGTATCTACCTCAGTGTGGTGGTGGTTCAAACCTGGAATGCCTCCGTCCATCGCACCTGGCAGCACTACGCGCGAAAGGAAAGAGAGCGCGCGGAGCTGATGGATTTCATTCGCCAGGTGGGGAGCGGTGATCATGGATCAACCATGGATCAACCATGGATCAAAGATGGATCAAAGTGATGAACAAAAAACTTCAAACATGTTGATGTCCTATGTTGATATCGTATACGGACGAACATTATGATGAATCATATTGGGGAATATGCTTATGTTTTTTCTCGGCAAGTTATTTGCCCGTGATTGCTGCATCTCCATGATTGGTTGGACACATTGTGTTGCATTTCCTTTACTGTTGGTTCTATCATATCCTATCATCATTCCTATCACTTTGGTTGACCAACATTACATGACATAAACCCTGGGTCATGTTAGGTTTCAGGTTTTATGTGTGAGGATGGTTGTGGAGATTTTTTTTTTTAATTAGATCGGATCTAGATCGGACCCTCTTATTTGTTGGTGAATCTCCCCCAGAAAAAGCAGAGCCAGGCCCGCGAAAAGGGCACGCTACCTCCCAGCAAGGTGCAGATTTGGGACCTGCTAGTAAAGCACAAAGCCTTCATTTCTGGGGAGAAATTCACAGCTTCATGGGGCGCAATTTTGCTCATTTGGTGTTGAAGCAACCTTCGTTTACCTTGAAATCATCAATGACATCGCAAAGACATCACAAATTCACGTTGAGTTGATGCATATCCGATATATCCGGTGAAGGTCACAGGCTTCGAGTGAGCCAAAGTGGTGGCACACTTTGACGCCATTTCCTTATCCCTTTGGGATGCGAAAATGACCCGTAGAAGAGAGCCTGGGAGCAAGAAAAGATCGACAGGATGTCTCCCTGAAGATACTTGAAGCAGAATTATATAAGAAAAACGATGGAAAACGCAAGTGGCGTCAAAGAAAACTGTGATTGAGTGGAATCTTTCTATGTATTGTTATGTGCGATGGATAGGGTTTGGCCGTTTGGCCGTTGCGGAAAGATGCAGCAAAGCGGTCCTTGCTCCTCTGCCCGTGGGGCTTGCAGATAGTTTCACCAGACGTGCAGCTCTGAGGGCAAAGGTCGGCAAAGGTTGGCAATGGCTGCTGTGATAGCAATAGGCAATAGCAAGCACATATTTGACAAAAGAATATAACATACAAAACATACCCGCATTCTTTAATGCATAATGCATATTTTTTGCACGATCGCCGGTTGTCGGAATAATCACAGTGACTTTGGATTCTTTTAATTATGTTTTTGTCCGGAGACACGCTGAGACACCTGGGGGCCACCTTTTTTGGCTCAAGCTCTGCCCAGCTGAGTTCGCCCTTAGCTTTGCGGGCGACCAGCCGGGTGAACATGAACAGTCCAAGCTTCCAACCCATGGACTAAAAAGGCTTCGAAATGCAACACATCTCAAGAATTCCAGATCATTCCAGACTCAAAAAAAAGCAGAGGCCTCGACTTCCTACCAGGGACCCAGGCCAAGTATCCACAACATGGCATAACATGGCCTAACATGGCACAACCAACAGGTAGCCCAACAGGTCGCCTGGCCATGACGTCTACTTAGACGGCAGAAGCGGCGCGCCATGACGCCATGGCGGAAGAGGAGGTCGCACGCATCAGTGTGGCGGTGCGGTGCCGCCCGCTGTCGGAACATGACGCTGGGAGTGCAGGGATGGGAAGGGATGGGAAGGAGGGTTGAAGTCATGGTGGGTCGTTGGATTTCTTTTTGAGACTGAAAAACACCAAGAAACAGCGATTCCATGGTATATTGGTAAATGATGTGGAACATCAGAAAATTCATGGGATGGCAAGTGATGATTCGTGGCAAGTACAGCCAGAAATATGTCATAATATGTCTGAGCCCCTTGCTACGCTATGCTACGCTATGCTACGCTATGCTACGCTATGCTGCACACCGCACTCAGGAGAGAAGCAACATGGTGCAGAGCATTTGCAGGGTTATGGATGGACGATTGGTGATTCTTCTGGATCCAGGTGCCATGACATGCGATGACAAACTGAACCGATGGGTTTTTTGATGTTTTTTGAGCCCCAGATTGTGCTGTCATGCTGTTTGACTCCTTAGATCTCGATACCGGGTAACCGTTAGTAACCGTTAGTAATTATGTGGGTTCTTCACCGCGTCACCATGCTGCCAAGTTTCAGCACCAGGAGCATCTGCAGCCCATGACTACCTCCGGCAAGACAAGTCCAAAGAGAAACGCTTTGCATTTGATCAGGCCTTTGGTCCCGATGCGGACACCAAGACCCTGTTCACAGCCACAGCCGAACCGCTGATTAAATCGGCGCTTTGGTGGCACCATATCATGGTGAAATATGGCAAAACATGAACTGGTGATTCGACTGTAGTAACCAGTAGTAACTCTATATATATATACATGTAACGTCATGTAGCTATAGTATAGTCAGTCACTATAGTCTATACTCATTCAACCAGCTATCCATGAATATTCATCTGGGTTTCCGGGCAGCTGGTTGAAACTTACTGTAGTTGAAACCTAGTTGAAACCGAGGTGCTTCAAGGCTACAATGCTACTGTGTTCGCCTATGGTTCCACTGGTGCCGGCAAGACCTTCACTATGATTGGGACCCCTGTGGAGCCTGGGATCATGTTTCGCTCAGTGGAGGAGATTTTCAAAGGGGTGGCCACGGTGGTGGATGAAGGGACCGAAAGTTTCTCCATCTCATGTTCTTTTGTGGAGGTCTACAATGAAAATTTCCGTGATTTGGCTGGGAACAGCGATCGTGAAGGCATCTTGGACCTGAGGGAAGATCCCGTTTCTGGCAGTTATGTGGCAGGAATTCGGGAGATCCAAACTGAATCGGTTCAAGAAGTCATGGACCTGCTCCAACATGGCAACCAACGTCGTACCACCGAGCCCACAGCTATGAATGTCACTTCCAGTCGTTCACATGCCGTGTTGCAGGTGCGTGTGGAGCGGAAGGGAAATCCTTCCAATCCTTCTGGCAGTTTGTTGGGTAAGTTGTCCATGATCGACCTGGCGGGCTCGGAACGGGCGGCTGAGACCAAGAACCAAGGCGTCCGCCTGTTGGAAGGTGCCAACATCAACCGATCCCTGTTGGCCCTGGGCAACTGCATCAATGCCTTGGCCTCGGGGTCGCATTTCGTGCCGTACCGGGACTCCAAACTCACCCGGTTGCTGAAAGATTCCTTGGGAGGCAACTGCAAAACGGTGATGATTGCAACAACATCACCCGGTCATTTGAGCTACGAAGATACCTTGAATACGCTGAAATATGCCAACCGTGCCAAGAACATCCGGGTTCGCGCCAAACAAAATTTGGTAACTCCCGACGAGCACGTCAGCCAGTACGAGCACGCCATCGCTGATCTGAGAAACGAAGTGGCGATTCTCAAAGCCAAATTGGCACAGCGATCAGCCGCGCCGTCAGATGTCATTGAAGGAGAGTGGCTCAGTGAAGCTGAGTAAGGTCCATTTGTATTGGTTAATATTGGTTGGTTATAGTTTGGCTAGCGGCTAGACGAAATGGGTACAGCGCAGTGATGATGTGTAAGATATTGATCAGAAATGTTTCTGACCCAGCTCCTAGCATTGTGCTTGTGTATGACTTAAACTTGAACAGTGTTTGGGTGCGTTCTGATGTGCACCCAGTGTCTTTGCACTTCGACATACTTCGACGCCGCAGGAGCGGATGAGAATGTACTCAAGGAAGCCAGTGAAAACTGGAAACTGGAAGTCATCAAAAATTTGGAGAGCCGCACTTCAATGCAACGTGACCCGATCTGCAGTTGGAAGGGATGTTGTCTCAACTTCTCATTATATTTTCAATATATTTTCAATATATATATATATATACGTATATTATATATATCCATATATTTCCTATGATTTCTATACATTTTATACCTGATTTATACCCACTGGCCCACTCCAAGATCTCCAAGTGGCCAGCAGACCAAGAGACCACTGCCTGGCCACATCTCGAGGATCTTTGATCGATGTGGAGCGGGGCTTGGTCCAGTGGAGAGTGGAATTGGATCAGGCCAAGGCGGGACCATTCTGTGACATGATGTCACCTCTGACATTTTTCAGGATATTGAAGGGTTTAAAGGTCCATTTCAAGTCAAAGTGAATATGTTTCAATTCAAATCACATTGTAATATTCAACTATCGAGTTCAAGGATGTTATATCTGTTAATGATGTTATTTCTGGATCATCTGGATCCATTTCTCAATTTGTGTCCTGGATAGTCGACACAAAATCGCACAGAGCCATCCTGCAGGAGATGATCGTTCACGAGGAACGTGGAGGAAGCTCCCCGTCCAGTCGTCGCCTCTGGGCACCGTTTAAGGGCACAACGCTTTAAGGGGTCGAGAAGGACGGGGACCCGATGGAAAATGACTTCGGGCCCGAAACTCCATCCATTTCCATCCGTTTCCATCCATTTCCATCCATTTCCATCCATTTCTCCAATGTACCACAATGGTATCATATATCAGAATGGTATCAATCAGAATGGTTTAACAGCATGTTTCTGGGGATTTTCGACTTGCCCAGGTTGTTTTCCACAGTTGTTGCACCTAGGATCCGATGCTCGGTCACTGGAAGATTGGAAGGATGCCATTGCCCAGATCGAGGAGAACATCAAGGAGCTGTTTGGTGATGTCGGGGTTGAGCCATGTGGCCAGGATTGGCCAGGGGTACGTTTCAGGAAACATCACAACATCCAACACAGGGAATTTTTGATGGATTTTGATGGTTTTGATGCCAGTTTTACATGTTGATTGAAGGAAAAACATGGAAACACATGGTTGACAGTTTGTGGATGTTTGTGGTAAATCTTGATGCCTAAGGGCCAGGGGGCCATGTACCACTGGGTCCCGGTTGTGCACTGGGTCCCGGTTGTGCGCTTTCCGGCCATGTGGCCATGGCCAAGCTGCAGGAAAACATCGAGACCCGCAGGTCTTTAGCGGAACGCTTGCAGCAAAACAAGACTGCAGGCAGCTTTTTTTTTTTTTTAAATGAAGTCAGAGATGAGTCCCAAGTTCAGCATGCAGATGTTGGAATGCAGTTGGGATGTTACATTGCTTTTTTTTTTGTTGTTGTTGTTGTGGTGTGTGTGTGTGTGTGTCGTTGGTTTCATTTCCCAACTCTCATCCGCACCTTCATACTGTAGTGTCATGATGTTAGATCTGTTAGATGGGCTCAGCATTTGCAGATCCCAATCCCATCCAATCCCAATAGGCAAAGAGCTGCAAAAGCAGCTCTCCCAACGAGTTCTGAATGAAGACCTGCGAGCTTTCCTTGAACTGATCCAAAGGGTTCAGGCCATCAAATCCGGGGGTTATCCTGGGTTATCCTAACATGGGAGTTATCAAATTTATCAGATGTGGCATGATGTGGCCATCAAATCATGGAGAGAATGATTGATTATTATTATGTATTTATGATTATTTATGATTATTTTATCTATAGTTGATCAGTGTTTCGAAATTGGATTCAAGTAATCGCTGTGACTCGATTTCCAGACTTCTCCGGGAATCTTCGACATTTCAAAAAGCGCAAGAGTGTTGAACAAGTCTCTGATGTTTCTCCGTGTTTCTTCAGTTCATTGCCATTTCATCAGGTTTTTCCACAGTTTCTCAGGTTTTTTCATGTTTTTTTCCTCATTTTTTCCCATACTTTCGCGAGGTCCTGGAAGTGGAGCGCCTAGAGCTGGATCACTTCTGGGAGATTCATCGGCACCAGCTGGAGCAGAGGGATCAGGTCAGCGTTTCAAGGGTGGGAAAAATGGTGGGAAAATCGGTAGGGAACTAGGGAAAATCAAGGAAAACCAATTGGATCATGGGGATTGAGACATATTTTTTTGTAGGACACCCTCCCAAGAAAATTATGGAAAATTGGATAAAATTGGTAGGAAACCACGATCTTTGAGGGTAAACATCATGTAGAAACCCAATGGTGTTCTATAATCTTGCTTCTTTGTTGTTTTTTTTTGGGTGGGTGAGGGGGAACTTGTGATTGATGATGGATCATTTTTCGATTTATGATTGGTGATTGGATGTTGAATGTTGGCAGATCTTAGTTGTGACGATGTTCGGGTTGTCGTCGTAACGAGTTCCAGATTTCCAGTCTTCACGTGGCTACTCGGTGGCAATCGCTTGCGCCAGGAGATTGCGATGCTTCGTGAGCAACTGCGCTTGCGAAACCAGCACATCCAGCAGCAACGGCAGGAGTTGTCCGACGAGAAAGTCCCCGGCGACTTGGCAAATTGGAAGGGACCATAGCGACTTGCCGGATAGCTGCCCACAATTTTAATACACCTCAAAAGGCCTCTAGGTGGCATTTTACTTTGATGTTTACTTTGATGTTGACAGCTGCTAAGGACATGTCTTTCTGCTGGGAAGTACCTTGGCAGAGTCTTCGCCCGTGCAACAGCGCGGCCCCTTGCGGGTAATGCAAGCTTGGGCGCCAGCGCAACTCGGCTATGGCTCCGCATCCAAAGTGATGAGCCAGAATTTTCAATTAAAGTTGGGATATCAGATTGTTCATCTCATTTTTATATCATTTTGATATCACACACACACATATATATTATATATATTATATTATATTTATATATTATATTATATTATATATAAATATCACTTTACTATCATCATCATCATCTACAATCATAGTAATCATAGGATATCATAGGATGTCATTTTAGGTTCATATTATTTTGATCATGTAAGGACAGAAGGTATCAGGAGGTTCTTTACTGAGGCGCGAGGACGATGAGGACCGGGTCACCGCAACGTTCTCCGAAGAGGCGGAGGACTTCCTTCAGGACAAGATCAACTGGAGGGCCTTAGAGGTGCATTTTTGTGGGGCCCTGGTGAAAATCTCTGGGAAAAATGATGGAAAATTATGATATGGAATGCACGAAAGGATTTTTTCAAGATATCTAAAGATAACTGGTTGCTGAAGTAAGAATGAAACAGCAATGCCTTAAACATATCAAACATCATTTAAACACTAAGGTTTTGTGCTGTTTGTTCACCTCCAGTTACAGCAGCAGGTGCCCATGGCGTCGCAGATCAAGGGCCTGGCGCAGCTTCAGCAGAATGCCGGCACCTCCCGGTTGATTGCAGCCAAGGCTTGGGGCTGAGGTCGTCCTGGGAAGTTGATAGCCTTTAATAGACTCCGACTCCAACGACTCCAAGGACTCCAACTCATTTGGCTTCAACGACTCCATGTTTCGGATGATTTTGACCATCAATTTGTCCCAAATTGGATGATTTCGGATGATTTTCCCCATCTTTCCCCATCCTTTGTGGACGATTTTCATGGGAAACATGGGAAAAATGGTGGTTTTCCAAGGCCTGGAAAGATCCTTCCCTGCGCAGCATCCCCGAGTCTCGCGCCCCACGGCGGCCCTTGGCGCTGGCGCAGGGCGGTGTGGCGCCGCCCCCGGCGCGGCCGCCGCCGCGGGAGCCTTCCCTTCGGAGCGAAGCGCGGGAAGGCGCCCCAGATTGATGGTGATGACGGGGGGAAGGTTTATGGCATTGTAGCCACATTATAGGTATACCCTGTGGTAATCATGGAAAATCCATGAACATCACCTACACATGAAAGTTTTAGGTGGAAAAACATCTGTGAATGATGGATTTTTCGTTGCCATGTTTGATTACCAGAGGGTCTTTCATCGAATTTTTATGAGGATATTGGTGGGGTGGGACTGGGGACATTCATGGGAGATTAATGGGATTTGTAACCAACCAATATCGATGGATTGATCAGCAACTAGAACTGATGGAGGAAACTTGCTGATCATTTCGATCAAGTCAATCCAAACTTTCTTGGCGTATCCTGTGTTTCGGACATGCCCTTGAATGTTGGTGATTTAGGGCTACCAGCTGACAGCTGATAGCGTTTAATATCGTTTAATTAGTGTATCCATGGGTCAAGATTAAAAAGAAACAGGGTTCACAATATTGTCCAATGACTTCCGCAGTATCCAATCCATATTTTGCTGTGGGGTGTGAGACTCATCGGCTAGCCTCCAGGCCTTACAGACCTGCAATACGCTCAAGTGTCACAGTCACAGAGCTATTCTAGGATTCTTGCCATATTTTACCATAATTCCGGCCAGAGTTTTTGAGGCAATTCCAGCCCATCACAGACACGCGGCAGCACGTGCCCACCCTTGCGGCGAAAGTCCTCCCTGGAAGAAAAGACCTTGGCTCCTCTGGCCGGCCGTCAGCCCTCCATGGGTGACATGCGTGGCGCCCCCCGGGGCTTGCTTCGAGCCCATGGTGTGGCGGTGCCACAACGACAGCACCTTGGCACCAGTGGCACCAGTGGCACCAGTGGCACCAGTGGCACCAGGAATGCTGGGAGACGTTCATCGAAGTTCTCGACTCTACATCGCACTATAACTATCTATAATAACAGGGATACAAATACCATCAAATACCGTATAAGCCATTATAAGCTGGATAATCATATCATGGACTATGCTGTGCTATGCCATAATAGTCATATGGCCGATAGTCATTGGGGTCAAGTTGTCAAAGTGTGAACAAAAAACATAAAAAAAAAAAAAAAACATCAAGCCTTTCAGATCTTTCACCCAATGTGGCCTTGACATGGGATCTTACCAGTCTTACCATCCCATGGTCCCATGGTCCCATCATCCCATCCCAATCCCTACGGCCCTACGCGGAGGTTGGACAAGAACCTGGGCGGCGTCCGTGAAAAGAGCCGGCTCCGTGCGCGCAGTGAGCACTCGCGTCTGGGCCGTGTAGGACGTGCCCTGGTGACACCTCAGCGCTTCTAGATCTGATTTCTGTTGTATCTGTGGTTCCATCTGCTTCCCCAAACTATGGATGCTTCAGGATGCTTCAGGATGCTTCAGGATGCTTCAGGATGCTTGATCATTAAACAAATCAAACAAGGCAATGAGCCGGTAGCAGGGACCGAAAATCTGTTCACAAACATTGACAAACCTTGTGTGAGTGAGGAATGGCGGAAGAGCTAGAATCAAACAATATCCATAAATTATAACATCCATATTTGTAGTATTCAATCTTGCGTCTGTTTCTTTCCCGGTGATGTTTGAACCTCTGGCCAAGCTGTGGATTTCAACGCAGCCTGGAAAGCCTTATGTTTCACCCCACTCATCTCAGCACACTCAGAGATTCTTTTGCCAAGCCACAGAAAACATCAGTTCGATGTGGTTTCACCATCTCCAACAAGAAAAACCATCCAAACTTCCAATGTTTTCAAAGCGAATTTGCCAAGAACCTGTGCCTGGGAAGATGGATCCAATGAATGCTGCGAAGAAAAACAACCGGCATCCGCTGTGTTGTTTGTCACCTGTGGTTAGGTATCCTGTGGTATCCTGTAGGCCACTTCATGGGGCTGGGTTTTTCGGATGAACTCGGATGAACTCGGATGAACTCGGATGGACTCGGATGGATTGATGATTGATGCACTTGAAGCACTTGAAGCACTTGAAACACTTGAAACACTTGAAGCACGAAAGCCCTCCTGCTATCTGCAATCGGCCTGGCGGCCTATCCTATATCCTGATCCGCAGCAATCTGGCTGTGGCAGCTGGGCCAAGGGTCTTCCTTCGCCACAATGGGCTCGTCAAGTGGAAGCATGGCTTCGGCACCAATGCGTGCAGACACCAGAACCCTGCACTTTGATGATGCCAATCAGAAGAAAGCAGCCCAGCTATGCCAAGACTACGCCAAACTATGCCAATCTCAAAGATTTCATAAGATTTCAAGTTGTATCTTGAGTGTTGGAATTGGAATCAGTCACTTTCAGGAGAAGTAGATTGAAAGATGATCACAACTAGATGGTCTATTTGCATCTGTTTGCATCTATTTTCCACTTGGTGCTATCCTCGAGGATCGACCTTTCTTCTGCTGGGACTGCTGCGCCGTGACGATTGAAGCCCCAGAGATTGTTGAAGATGGCCGTGGCAGGACCAGGAGAGGTCTGGCATGTTTGCTGGAGGAACTGTCCCCTGGCCCAAGTGTCCACAGTGTGGCTACTGGTTGAGGTTCGCTTCAAGTGTTCCACATCCTTTAACAGTTTTTTTTTTTCCCCCTACTTTCTCGCTGCTCATCAGGGTCAGGATGGTCAAGGTTTCATACTAAACCAGCTGCTGTGCTGTGAGTTATGTGCTGAACGCCAAGGTTCAACCTCCAAGATCTCAACTCCAATGGTTTACTCGAAGAGTCTGAACTCATTGAGTTGAACGAGTTCATTGCTGTCCTCCATTATGGCACAGATTTCGATCGCGACCTTCTTGAAAAGAAGTACCGAAAGATTTTTCGAAGCTTGGAGCAGTTGGATCGCTCTTCAGTCTCTTCAGCTGAATATCTCAAGATGCTATGTGTTATTTAACAATTACTCATGCACCTACATGCACCTACAGTCATTTGACTTGGATATATTTTGATACACTATAGCCATCTATAGCCTATACTTACTCATACTAACTCTATACCGTCTATAGCATTAAAGTTTAAATAGAATATTAGATGCCTTCACTGCTATAGCTATCCTCCAGGCTATCGGCCAAGGCCAAAATCTGGATGCCCACGGCAGACCGGTGGCCTTTCCCACATTTCTGCAGCACATGACCAAGGCAGTCGGATGTTGGCCGGTTTCGGATTCAAAGATGCCATGGGTGAAATAGGTTTGGTATGGCTTGGTATCCAAAATTATATGCAAACTACAAAAAACCATGACAAATTGACAAATTTATATTTTTGCCTGGAAGCTAAACTCAACTTCCGAACTTCCTTAATTTTCCGGTTAGACACTTAGACCTTCCAATGACTTGTTGCTTGATGTCGAGCGGGACGCAGATCCACAGTGCCAGGTGCTGTCCGACTATGACCCCGATGCTGCAGCGCAGGAGATGATCGTGGAGCAGTTCATCGCAACCTGGAGACGGATCAACGCGGATGGATAAAAAGAGAGAGAGAGAGAGATAGATAGATAGATAGATAGATCGATAGATAGATAGATAGATAGATAGATAGATAGATCGATCGACAGATAGATAGATAGATCGATCGATAGATAGATAGATCGATAGATAGATAAATAGATCGATAGATAGATAGATAGATAGATCGATCGATCGATAGATAGATCGATAGATAGATAGATTGATCGATAGATAGATAGATAGATCGATAGATAGATAGATCGATAGATAGATAGATCGATAGATAGATAGATAGATCGATAGATAGATAGATAGATAATTAGATAGATAGATAGATAGATAGATAGATAGATAGATAGATAGATAGATCGATCGATAGATAGATCGATAGATAGATAGATTGATCGATAGATAGATAGATAGATCGATAGATCGATAGATAGATAGATCGATAGATAGATAGATAGATCGATAGATAGATAGATCGATCGATAGATAGATAGATAGATCGATAGATAGATAGATAGATCGATAGATCGATAGATAGATAGATAGATAGATAGATCGATAGATATATAGATAGATCGATAGATAGATAGATAGATCGATAGATAGATAGATAGATAGATCGATCGATGGATAGATAGATAGATAGATAGATCGATCGATAGATAGAGATCGATAGATAGATAAATAGATCGATAGATAGATAGATAGATAGATCGATCGATCGATAGATAGATCGATAGATAGATAGATTGATCGATAGATAGATAGATAGATCGATAGATAGATAGATCGATAGATAGATAGATCGATAGATAGATAGATAGATCGATAGATAGATAGATAGATAATTAGATAGATAGATAGATAGATAGATAGATAGATAGATAGATAGATAGATCGATCGATAGATAGATCGATAGATAGATAGATTGATCGATAGATAGATAGATAGATCGATAGATCGATAGATAGATAGATCGATAGATAGATAGATAGATCGATAGATAGATAGATCGATCGATAGATAGATAGATAGATCGATAGATAGATAGATAGATCGATAGATCGATAGATAGATAGATAGATAGATAGATCGATAGATATATAGATAGATCGATAGATAGATAGATAGATCGATAGATAGATAGATAGATAGATCGATCGATGGATAGATAGATAGATAGATAGATCGATCGATAGATAGATCGATCGATAGATAGATAGATAGATATAAAAATCGCATTTGTTTGTTTTATGAATGGATTTTACCCCAAACACTCGAGAGAGGATGATGTGCAAGTACTTGGCATGTTCATCTCCGGAGCTGATAGATTAGCTCAGGCAGAAGCGCAGCTGGCTCGGAGATTAGCTGAGGAGAAATCTGCTGACAAATCTGTCAAAGATTGGTCGGTTTTTGGTGGGGCTTGACATGGCTTGACTTTATTTGACCCAATCTGGGCGGAAATGCAGAGCTGCAGCTAGAAATGCTGGCAGCAACGCCTTTTTGTGCATGTGCCCGTGAGGGGCAAGGAATTGACCCATATCCATTCCATATCCGATATATCCTGATTTTGATGTGCAGTTGGTCAGACCAGCTGACCAGATGCACTGAAGTCTGGCACGGAATCACTGGCATCGTGGATCCTGAAGGTGACCAGTCTGTACAGATGTGAAATCTGCCGAGTGTCATACGGAAAACCATGAGTCTCCAGGACATTGTGAGGTACAGATCTGAGGTACAGATATGAATCTCCTCCACCTCCTCAGATCTCCTCAGCATTGTGATTATCATATCGATTATCATATCGCATGCCATCGCATGTCATTGTTATCTGGATGTGATGCTTCGCCGTGTATCTTTGGATCAAACATGCCGGGCCGCCGGGCCACAAGATCGACTGTGTGGAAGGTGGTTTTTTGAGACACCGCCGGAGCCTCAAGGAGCAGAGAGAGCTGAGATCTTCTGAGATCTTCGCAAAGATGACCTGAGCAACGCACTGAACATCAATCAAGCAGTCCATGTCAAACTGTCAAACTGTCAATGCCTGTGTTGTGCTGTGCCACCCCTATCCACCCCTTTTTCGCCAGGTTTAGAACAGATCGACCTCGTTCCGTGAGGAGATTCTGCGGGAAGCTGAAAATTCTTGAGACATGGAAAGGCGACAGATGAGCCACGGATTAGGGTAGCACGTGATGACGTTGATGTTTCGCAGTGTTTTATTTGAGGCCAAGATGAGTGCAGCAATCTCCATTTCCAAGGTACATGGGCCCCCTTTTCGGCCCCTTTTCGGCCCCTTTTCGGCCCATCTTGGAGTTTGCTTTGGTTGAAGATGTGGTTTCAGCTGACTCGTAAAACCGGACATGAAAACAGGGCAGGATCACTGCCAACTCAGAGAAAATGACATCGCTACCTTTTGAGGCTCGTGCAGATGCAATGCTTGTGGAGCTTTTGCAAGGCCATGCTTTGGGATCTTTGGGTCCTTGGGCCCCGCCAGGGATGCTGTCTTCAAGTGACAGCTTTTTGCGTTTGCCATCACTGCCATCGGGAAAAAACACGTCTTTCAAAGTGTGCCCAGGTTTCAAAGTGTCATCCTTAGACCTGAGAGTGTTTCAATGTGAGATGGAGCCACCAGCTGCATTTGTCCCACCGTCCCACCAGCAGTACCTGAGGCTGGATCTTTCCAAAAGAAAGTGGAGCAGCTGGCATCCAAAGTAGAGGGCAATGTGCGACCGAAGGCCGGCGCATCATGGCATTTTCATGGCATTTTCTGTTTTGCTCTAAAACCATGTTGAGCATCCCATATGAGTAGAGACAGAATTTCGAAGATTGTATCTTGGTTATTCATGGTTATTCTTATATATCTCTTCTGTCAACCATATGAATATCATATATCCGCACCGTCCGCACCTCAACTCTTTTACGCTGTGCATCTACAGTTGGCTCACCATGCACGCAGACCTGAGATCAGGAGCTCAAAGACGTGCCCGGCTTGCCACGCTTGGCCAAGCGCGTCTACGCTGAGGTGGGGCGTAGGCTCAGGAGTTGCCCGTAATTCTTGAGAAATAGAGGAGATACTTATGGAAATATATGGAAAATTATGGAAATCTAATGACATCTATATCATCTTATATCACTTCACCATTCAAGTCAACAAGATTTCCATAGATTTCCATGATTTTCCCTGGCTTCTGCGGCAGATATTCCCCATTCATCCCCATTATATATGCCCCATAGATCCCCATATATGCATATATAATACAGTTATATTTTATAATCATACACAGAATTGTATAAGTATATACAATGATATATATATATATATGCCCTAGGAATTCTTAGGCTTAGGGTGCATCAGGTAGTTATATATATAATTTTCTATATGGATTCGCGACGATTGCGCTATGTCAGGTCTTCCAGCGCTATGGCCTGGCCCTGAGAGGAAGCAGGAACTGCTGGGGTTTAGGGTGCACCACACATCAAAAAAAACGGCATGGAAGACATAGAATAAGCCATAGAAATAGATGGTTTACCTGGGATTACCGAACTTAAAAATGGGTGGATCTTTCCATGGCTATGTTAAATAACCAGATGGTAATTGATACAATGTTATATACATATTCATATATTCACACACATATATATATATGTTCATATTTTCTATGAAATTTCATGAAATTTCTATCACCGATTTTTGATGTTGAGAAGGGGTGTCCGATATCCCCTACCCAGGCTTCAGTGGTGATGATTCTTTGCCAGCTGTGCTGGATCCTGTGCCCGGAGCCTGAAGATCTCGATTTGAAGACTGCACTGTATCTGTATAGCCATATGTAGCAATGTCATACCGCAATGCATCGTAATGCCTTTATTTGGATATTATTTGGATATATGATACATCATGATAAATGCACCCCAAAAACATGAGCACTAATATGAGCAGCTCAATCTGTTCATTGAACCGTTCTGAGGTTGAAGACTCATCCACAGCTGAACAGCCAGGCCTTTTTTTATTTTTATCATAGAATTGGATGATGGGACAATTTACAGGAAAGCCCAACCAATTTGATGGTACTCGTAAAAACCATGGTTTCCTGTAGATTTTCCCAACAAAACCAATCCATTGATTTTAACATGTCAGGGTTTTTCCAACGAGCGACGAGTCTGACAGGTCGAGGAGATCTGGCAACTTTTGCGGCTCCCTGGTGGGCAGAAGGAGCGCGCGCCGGGAGGAATTCAAATTTGATAAATTGGTCAAAGGCCAATTCCCACTGGAATTGAAATTTGGCATTTTTCTTCATTCCGAATCAATTCAGCAAGAAGTATCCAAGAATGTATCCAAGAATGCATCAGAAAGTGATATAAAGTGTCCAAAGAATAACTGAGGAGTTGAGGGTTTTCAGATGGTGACTGCCTCGCCGTGCAGGATGGTATTGAATCGACCAGCGAGGTCAGTTGCCTCAGGTGAAGCAACACTGTCCCAGTTGGATTTCATCCAGATATGTGGAACATTTTGGAACATTGTGCAGCTTATGGATGCTTGTGGTATAGATATGTATAGATCATAAGAGCTATATGATGCTATATGGTCATAAGATTTTCAATGCTTGGTATCTGCTCAAGGCCAAGGCTTCAGATTTCCATCCATTTTTTCCACCCATTTTCATCTTCATTTCGTTATTTCGTTATTTCGTTCCCATGGCCTGGCACTTTGGGATCACCGCGCTGCTAAGCTTCGCGGCAGCGGTTTCACCGGTCCAGGATGCCATGGATGCCATGGATCCAAGGGCTGAAAGGCAGTTGCTGAGACTGGGCAACACCGGAAAGGTCGCGAAGGATGTCACTTGGAAGCACATGGTAATATATGGTAATATATGGTAATATATGGTAATGCATGGTAATGCATACATAAGTCATCGTAAGACTGTGCGAAACAATAAGGAGGACACTTTAGTCGCATGATCTATGAGTAAAATGCCCGTTGGAGCCCCGTTCTTGGACATGGACCCATCAAGATGGTATAGCCATGCGGCCATGCGACCATCCATGCATATCCACCATGGCGTCGAGGCAGAAAAAGCCAAGGATGCTTTGTCGAAGAAGATCTTGAAGCAGATGATTTGGTGGAAGGCTGTATGGCTGTGAGCAAAATATCCAAAATCAGGGTGCCGTAGTTCTGATGTTCCGATGTTTAGACATGTCAATTAATATTGATTATGTTGTACATTTTTCCCCCTGCATTTTTTGTTCCATTCTTTCGACCCCGCAAATATGCACTGAACTCCGATGCCAGGCAGCCCCGGATGACATGAAGAGGCGATGTTGGGGTGGGGTATGGGATGGTATGGGTGGGGTGCACGGGAGGTGGCCACCACCTGTTTCGGAAACCATGTGCAGAATGACAAATTGATTCACCATGCTGGCTTCAGACTCATGATATTCATGGTTCCATGATGTTCCATGCCTACCCTGGACAACCATTTGACTCGTTGACTAGTTATCTCTTGGGGAAAGGATGGCTAGCCAACACTAGCCAGCAACCACGTCTATTAGTAATAGTAAGATGGGAAAATCTGAGCGATCTACAAAAGTTCTGTGCTCCCAGGACCCCAGAAGATGTGCAAAGGAATGTCACGGTTGCAGATGTATGGACGTTGGAAGGCGAGCATATTCCGAGTTACATGGTTCGAGGTGGATTTCTTTCCCATGTTGAGGACTGGTGTTGTGCATTGAGACGCTACGGGATGCTTTTGTCCATTTTGTTCTCGTTTTCAGGTTTCATAATGTTTCATAGTCATGTTGTTGACACCTCCTCAAGACATTTGGATCACAGATACCAAATTGGACATAATTGGACATAACTCCCCCCACCTTGGCCCGATGAATGCTCATGGCGGATAAAAGCTCATGCCATGCCCAGCACCATGGTATCAAGATCATTTACACCTTCGAAAAAAACAAAAAATCATATCAGGCCAGAAACGCAGCAATATATATATATAATATAGATCTCCATCATGTTAAGGGTGATCCATGTCACCTATATCCACCCACCAGGAGTATCAGGATGCCATGGCGGACATTTTGTCCGTGGCTTCGGCCAAGCAGAAGCACGACCAGCTCAGCGAGATCCAAGAAACGCTCGGCGCAGAGCTGTCGGAGCTGTCGAAGCTATCGGAGCTGAAGCAGGTCACCTGGGGGATGCCATGGGTGCCATGGGTGACCAGGACCCGGATTCAAAAAAGATCAAACAGCTGGAATGAGACTTATGGACTTCTGGATACTTATGGAATCTTATGGATACTTATGGATACTTATAGTGATGTATAAGTGATGTAGAAGTGATGTATATGTGATGTACTGTATAAGTATCATAATTTCATGCACTGGATGATGTGATGTGTAGATGTTGCGGATGTTGATCATAAGGTGAAGCAAAGCAGCTCTTCATCATTTGGCTCCGATTGAGGGACCTGGATTTCATATATTTCATCAGCACAGGTGGACGAGCCGAAAACGCACAGTTCAGCTCCCTGGCTGGCGCTGCTGCTAATTCTCCTGGTCTTTGCAGCTCGACCAAAACTTTCCCCCAGCCCTCAGTGAGTTGGAGTTTGAGAGATCCGTCCAACATCATCCAACATCATCCAACATGAATCTAACAGATTCTTACGGAATCTAACATGACGTGAATGACTTGGGGATTGCACAAGTAGTCAAGCAAAGGCATGTCTGCTTTGAGGCCATCATGGGATTGGCCGTGTGGCGCCTGAGCCGACCAACGCCGAAAAAAACGAAACGAAAGGAGAAAGGTGAGAAGGCCGCGTAGATGTTGTAATATTTTGTGATGCAAGATCTCAAGAAGAAAAACACCTGGATCATCAGCATGCTGAGCAAATGGACATGGGACCCTGCGGCTTTGCGAACAGTCGGGTGCTCACTTGGATGCAGGGTAAACTTAGCGAAATCAGATTTGCCATTTAGTTATATTCAGTTGCATTTTAGCGGCCAATCGACCAATAAACTCAATAAACACATTCTGAAAGCTCATTGATCAGTGATTCAACTTCCCTTGCCGCTGAGGTCAGACACGGTGAGTCGTGACAGTCGTGACAGTCGTGACAGTCGTGACAGTCGTGACAGTCGTGACAGTCGTGACAGTCGTGACAGTCGTGACAGTCGTCACCATCAACCTTCAGCCGTGGACACAGCTGGTGAAGGAGGACGAGATCGAGATCTCTGATGCCGGGGCTCAACCTCTCGATACCACCCGAAAATCAGGGCAGAAAACGACCGCCTGCTGCAGTGCCGTGCTCCTTCACACTTTTTATGTTCATGAGGTAAATATATATATATATATTTTCTTAGTGTCTTACTGGTATTTAGTCAACAAAAATTGAATACTGTAGAATACTGTAGATAGGTAATTCAAAACTGCACATGTTTGCCTGTATATATATATATGATATATGATATATGATCAATGATATATAATATATGACATATAGATAATATAGATATAGATAGATATTCAATCGTTTATGCGAAGTACTAATAGGCCTCAAGTTCCAGTGGCGCCCAGGCTCTATCTTCGGACTCGTCGCCGGTGCTGCCAGAGAGCACCTCGACCGTTGCGACCTCAGAGAAGGAACCCAGCGGATCCCACGTTGAAATCTGATGGATACGCCGTGGACAGGACGTGGATAGGACGGATAGGAATGATTTCCATAGAGATTTATGAAATTCATGGAGATATGAAAGATTGTGAAAGGGATTGAAAGGATATCATATCTCCAGAGAATGGAAGGATTAATGGAGATTTACGAACAAGATTGATGGAACCACTTGATATCCTGACATTTTTCTCTATCTTTCCAAAGGTGTTATTTGGTAAACTTGGCGGTGTGTTTCCTTTTGCACCCCAAGGACACCAATGTCGTTGAGTCAGGGCCTGCAGAGTTTCAACACGTGGTGGTTTGATGTGGCGCTGTGGCTCTCTGGCGCTGTGTTTGGACACCTTTCAATCGCTGCCCCTGGCTCCAGCTTGTGACTGTGAACAGATTCCAGCTATGACACAAGGATTCAGATGTGACATGCAGAAAAATAGGATTGATTGAATCTAAATCTAAACATGTCGAAAGAGTCTAAGTCTAAACATGTCTGAAACTTACAAAAAAAACAGTTTCGCAAAACTTAGCAGCCTGGCGAGATTGGGCGAGATGGGATGAATTGGTCAAAGTGCTTTGACCAGTTCCATGGCCAAGGATGGGGCCCCAAAACCCGGGTTCTTCATGGTATTCATTGTAGACTATTGTAGGTGCAGCTTCCATGGGTAAGTTTGGATCTCCTTCATGGACCTCTTGGAAAAAAGTCCGACCGGAAACAGCAATGCACCATTCATCCCCAAATCTCTCACATTTCTATCATTTCTCACCGGGAGCACCCCACTTTCAAATACGTTTCCATGTGGCATAGATTTGTTTCACCAGGACACTGAAATAGTGGTGACTTTGCCAAGAACTGGGGATCTGGATGAGAGCTGCACAGCTGACGCTTGTCTTGGAATGGAGGTGTGGCTGGAGGTATTACATGGTATTCTTGAGAGGCACTTTGTGTATGAGATTTTTTCCTTGTCTTTGCACAGCGTATTTCGGTGTAACATGGCATGGGCAATGGCAGCGTTGACTTCAAAGATGGACGGTGGCTTGTTCCATCGTGTTTCCGTGTCATTTCCTGTAAACTGCTTGGAATATGTCATGTTGCATGATTTTTGGATATATTTTTGACCTTCTTGCAGATTCTTGCCAACCAAGGATGTGCCATTACCTTAGCATCTTCAGGCAGAGGACACGGGGGACTGGTCTTGACCATCTTCACCTACGCTGCTCAGGTTGTCAGACGTGCCAATGGTGACATGGCAGCCCTCTGGTCCTTCGGAGGACTGAAGTTCGGTAAGGCCTTATGACACCCGCCGAGCAGCTGGTGAGATGTTTTGTTTCAAATCCCCAGAAAATCCAGAAAGGTCTATTCAATTCGCTTCAGGGCCTGAAATTCTAGAAGTTTGGAGGATTTAAAACATGATCCAAATGAATCCAAATGATTCCAGATGGGACTGCCACTTCCAGTGGCAGTGCTGGGCAGGAGTTGTTTTGCCTGGTGGCGGTCACTGAACCTGAATCCTTGGCGTTCATCTCCCACTTGGCATGGCTGGTGGTCGACATTCCCGGGACCCCTTGTTGCGAGGCTGGAAGCGAAGAAAGCATCGAAAAGGGAAATTTGAAGTTAATATACGTAGTATAGTATTATATAGTAATAAATAGTTAAGAGAGAGTAATATATATATATATACATATATAACAGTATATAGTCATAGTAATTATAAAAGTCAATGTGTGATGCGAATATATTTTATTTTGTTTGTGGGGGCTTCCACTCATTCCGTCCCTTTTGTTCAGGGATCAGGTTCACATAATGATAAACCTCATCCGCCAGTTCGAACTTCGTCCCAGGATGGCGATCGATTTGGTTTGGCAGGCAACTGCCGGGCCGTTGAGCTGGGCCAGGACCGTGTCAGCTGTGATGTTCCTTACAATACCCAGCATTGTGGATACAAAAAATTATAAAAATGCCACATTCTGTGGGATTTTGCCAGGAAATCATGGCTTACAGCCCATTTCCAGAAGGTCATGTGAACTTCGAAGGTCACTTTCGGGTGATTCTCTTCAGGCAAGGCCAACATGTTCAGCCAGAGACTTGGCAAGCCCGGTCCAAGTTTTCTCTGGAAACCTTTAGGGCTCAGCATGAGATGAAAACCTTGGCGGAGAAAAAGGTGCGGATCGCCTCTCAGAAGCCATTGGAGACGGAGATGGAACCCATGAAGCCCAAGGCCTTCAGTTCTGGAGGCTGGATCTGAATTCCAGTAGCAGGGGCTACATATCGACATTGCACCGACATTGCTATCCCAAGAATATTTGAAAGATTGAAAGCTTCGCAGACGATCAAAGACATCGTGCTGTGTTTGATGTTTGATGCCGAGTTCAACTCCATACCAATTGAATCCAAATTTGGGTTTTGGTCACCTGAAATCATCTGAAGTCCGATTCCATCAGGCCCCCATGGATCCAGGCGCCATCCCAGTGGCCCAGGCCCCTTGGCTCCAGACCCCACGGCGCCAGCGACGTTGACGGCGGCCCTGGCGCGCACGGCGTCGGCGCTCGGGCAGCGCGGGCTGACGCTCTACGGCGGCGACGCCGCGCAGCGCGCGCAGCGCCTGAGCTACGCCGAGCTGCTGCAGTTGGCGCGGCGCGTTGCGGCGGGGCTTTGCGGCCGGCGGAGACTTGGGCTGACCTGGGGACATTTTTTTGGAGGATGGAAGATGATGGAAGATGATGGAAGATGATGGAAGATGGGGATATGATATATGATGATATATGATATCATGAACATATATGATGGAAATTGATGGAATATGGATGATGCATAGATATGGGAGAGAGAGGATGGAGTGAAGATGAGTGGAATGGGAATGATGGCATAAATCACGGGCATCAAAAGTGGCACTGGATCCATGTGGCACTGGTATGTTGTTTATCCTTTTCAAGATGGGAAGGTGAAGATCAGAGACTTCAGCACCTCGTCACCACTCTGAACACTGACAAATTGGAACTAGTCAGCAGAGAAGTGGTGGGAAGCCAAGGATTGGGGCAGCTGCAGATAGCATTGCTTCCTTCGCCGTTCTTCAGGTGCTGGTTGCTGACAAACATTTTGGCCAACTGTTGAGGAGACAAGGATCAAAAAGCATTTGCCTTGAGATGCTGAGTACAGCCTGTTCTTTTTGCATGTGATTTCTGCGGAAAGATTGCTGAGTTCTTTGAACATGTCCTGGTCCGTGATCATTTTTTCCTTCCACATGGAAATGTCCCGGTCTTCTTTGGTGCCTCGCAGGTGCCAGTGTTGGCTCAGCACTTTCCATGCTTTTGGGGTTGCCTGCTGTCTGGCACAAAGCCGGTGACAGTTGCAATCCCTCCAGATACTTGTAGCAAAATCGAAGGAGTTGGACCAGGAGATGTTTCGTGTTGTGTGGTAGAAGTTTGTTCAGAAGGCGTTTTGGCCTCCAAACCTTGTGGCAGTTGTTTCACGTTCCATCTTCACAACCAATGATACCAATGGTCGAAAGGGTGAAGAATTGGCCGACCAAGACTTATGTTCTATGTGGATTGAGTTGGGATGGTTCAAAAGATTTTGGGGGAACCGGGAACCACGGGAACCACATTCCTTCGGTCATTTCTAGCCCATGTGGCGGGTTTGCAAGCCAACTCCGACTCAATCATATTCTGTATGTTTCTGCGCTTCAAATCCGCAACTCGGATTCGAGGATTATTCAGATCGAAGTCATGCGGTGTGCAGCAAACTATGCAATGTTTGGCAGCTGTTAGAAGAGCCACCTGTGATCACAACAGCTGCGCACCTGGAGAAACTGAAGCTTGGCGGCAAAGCACGGATGGCAACTTTTTGCTCAATTTTTGTATAGTGCCTTCGACATGATTTTGGCGGCTTGGACTATGACTATTCCCCAAGATTCTCCAAGTACTTGGCATTTCTTGGCGACCAGGAAGTTGTTGCAGTTGGCCAACGCGCAGCTCATTGCCCTAGAGGAGTTTCTTGGATGCACCGTCCGAAGCGTCGATCCGCGTCGAAGTGATGCACCGTGGAGTCTACGTGTCACAGAGCATCCAAGGAATGATTTGTTTTGATTTGTTCCTTTTCTTTCCCCAAGTTGGCACCTGAACGTGGCAAAAACAGACTAAAACCCACGTGTCTTTTACCCTTCGCAAATGTGTTAAGGTTGCTGGCCACAGAGCCGCCTGGCACTCAGAGATCACGTGAAATCGCAAGACGCGTTTTCAAAAGCGTCTTGCTCAGGTCGAGTGGGATCTGGACCGCAGCTCCATCAGATGTGGCTTTTTGTCAGTCTCCTGATTGGCCGAAAAAATCTGAAAAACATGTGGTTATATGATGTTATATGATGTTACATGTGGTTCTTGCGCTGTCTGTTTTAAATTCCTCCATATTTTTTCCATAAATTTTCTTGTGTCCTCAGTGGCGAGTTGAGGTTGAGCAGCGGGTCCACTGGTGTTCCCAAATGCATCCAGATTGCTCATGGAGGTGCCGTTCCCTGATGTTCCACGGTGAATCGATATGAATCGATATGAATCGATGCGAGTTGATGTGGAATGATGTGAACGTGAACTATGTGCCGTGTAAAAATCCGTGTTTATCTGGTTTTTACTGCCAGGTTAGGTGTTTATATAGATCATTTAGAATCTTGACCTGGCAGAATAACACCCCGGGCTTTCCACCTAGTGGCCACCATGGCATCATTGGCATCCCAGCGGTACCGGCAGTACCAGGAGTGGTAGCGCATATCCGTGGAGAAGCGCAATTCTGTGGCTATGACTCCTCAGATGTTCACGTGAATTTCTTACCCTTGGACCATGTGGTACCAATCCTCACAGTCTCCAGGCTTCAAAAAGCATGGATGTTACATGATGGTTATTTAACTCAGCCATGGAACATGGCCCATTTATAGATGATTTTCCCATTAAAACCTCCATTTATGAGGGTTTTCCATGGCTATGTTAAATAACCAGATGGTACATGATGGTTTGTGGATGTTTATGGTGATCTGTTATGAATTTGATTTCTGAAACCTCCAATGACCTCCAAGATGGCACTACCGCCTGCCACTTTGCCTGATCAAGCATCATCCACCAGCCACCAGCCCATCAATCTGACTTGGTTTAAGTGAACAGAAGGGACACCCCCATATTGGCATATACTACAAATATAAATATTAAATATAAATAAATAAATAAATATATATATATATATGATACAGGCTATTAAATCAGGAAGGTTCTGTAATTTTTCTTCCTTAAACCACATCAGTGAATCAACCATGCCAAGCTAGCTTTTGTAAATCCCCATTCTTTCCAATATCAATCACCATCCGCCATGGCTTAATGTCACCCCCCGGATTAATCCTGACAATTGATTGCGGTTCCATAAAACTGAACGCAGAAAAATCGGTGGAACAGTGAACATACACATTATCCATCATTATCCTCTTGAATCCTTTACCATCCCCTTATCAATCTTATCACCACCACCATCCACCATAGCCACCAGGTCGCTCCATCCCCATCCAACTCCCATCCCCAGGTCCATTGCTGCGATGTCTACCACGGCTGCGAGGAGGTTCAAGCGGAGGTCGCTTACGTCTTGGCGGAGCCCCTGCGCTGGTTGCGGCTGGCGGATGAGCACCGCGCCACGCGCACGTGGGCGCCCAACTTTGCGCGGCTGGGATGGAGCTGGTGGAACTGGTGGGGTGGGCAATCCAATGGTGGACCATCCAATGGTGAAGCATAATATCAGACCAACCCATATTGATATAAGAATGGCAGTGTTTGAAGATTCTGTTCTTGGATATGCCAGACCCAGTTGGTCTTTGTCCTTGGGATTGCCACATAGAGTGCTCAAACAATTGGATTAATCGGGTTCTGGTCGAAACTTGTTGCCGGTGTTCTCAACACTGCACGGTCTTTTTTGTGAAACTGGATCCAGTTGTTGTTTGGGATCAGATGTTGACACATGTGCAAACAGCTCCTCCAGATCCTCCAAGGCCCAAGGCCCAAGGTGCCTTAAAATCGCAATCCGAGGTTCAAACTCGTAGCTGATGCCTTGCTGAAAGATGAAAGTCACTTCGATCTGTCCTGCTGCAAATTCTGGATGAATGCCGGCGAGCTGTGTCCTCAGAGATTTCACCGCGTCAACTGACGACGTTTTCTGTGACAACAAAACAGGATAGGATTCATAATATCAAATCATCTCAGATCAATCAGATATACAGTAATCACACATGCATATATATATATATAATATGATATATATATATATTACATACATAAATAAATAAATATATATATATATATATTAAGTGATATAATCAGATCCAGATCCAAGTGATCTAAGTCCATTCAGCCCAGGCAGGTGACCATCCCCGTGTGCGAAGCCTTCCTGGAACAGACGAAGCGCTTCGGAGTGGCGCGCAACGCCATGCAGCCCTCCTTTGGGATGGCGGAGGTGCAGAATTTCGCCAGCGACCCCTGGGGTCACATGAACACATGAAGAAAGGATAAAGGATCTATATATAAACATTGTATATACAATTATATTTATATATATATATAATATATATATATATATCTAACTCTAAATGAGGAGAATCATTGAAGGATCAATAAAGATTTGAAGGTTACTAAGTAGGCTTCCATTTCCATCCAACTCTGCCTTGACCCAGGCGTGCACGTGCATGACCTACAACAATCACTTTGAGGCCAGACATGGGCACGGATGGGGCTCGAAGTCTGATCGAGCTTCAAACTCCTCATGCACAAAACACATGTAGAATGGGCACACATGAATCAATCAATAGACACTGACAAATATGAATGCAGATATTGATATAGATGTAGACTTGGATGATATATACTTAATAATTATCTTATTATACAAAATTCAAGTTTAGTATAATAATGTAGATAGCACAACATATATATATATATACATATTCACATACATACATATGACATAGACATGACATGGACATGTAGAATGGCAGGTGGCAGCTGCCAGCCGCCTGGGCCGCTCCGCCTTTGTGAATCTGGGGCCGCCGGTGCCGGGCATCGCCATCCGCATCGCCAGCGACGACAACGAGACGTTGCCGGAGGAAGAGGTGGGACGCTTTCAGATCCGAGGAGCGGTGAAGGGATTGAACGGATTGGAGGGACCTGGAGGGATTGGACAAATGGTTGGAGGAAAAGATGCTATGCAACTTCACGAACTCTCTCTCTCTCTCTCTATGTTTCATATGGGAATGAACATGAATTAACGCGACATATTAGAGAATATGCGATTATAGTTTGTTGGGTTAGTTAGTTAGATTGTTTGTTTTTATTGGGGGATTTTTCATTTATTTGTTTAACGACAGCATTCCGGACAGCACACGTTTTTTTTTGTTTTTGCTGAAGGGATGTTGGTGTGGGGGGCTAGAAAACATGGGAATTGGGACGCATCTCTTTTTTTTTTGGAGGAAAAACTGGACATTTACGAAATCATTGACAGGTTTTATGGGAAAAACTTATAAAAACTTTTCACCTTCTGCCAACATGACCCAACAAGATGTATTTGTTCAGCTTGGTTCGAAACTCTCAGCGGCATTTTCTATTCCCATATTCGACACTTGGAGATCTTCATATTCTGCCCATATCCAGTATCCAGGACCAATTTCTTCAGTTTTGCCACGTTGGAATCTCCAAGTGTTGCGTGGCATAGTGCCTTAGAGCCTTAGAGCCTTAGAGGACGTGTGATCACACCCGGATACCTCAAGAACGAGGAGGCCAATCGAGAGGCTTTCATGGAGGATGACTGGTTCAACACCGGGGACATTGGATTCATCAAGGATGGTCAGTTGTACCTGACAGGTCCCTGTGATGCATTGGATCACCTGGTCTCACCATACCATCTGATCTGGTCACAGGAACCAACAGTTGGATCAGTTAGGACCAGTTAGGACCAGTTAGGACCTGGGGACCTGGGGAGTTGAGGACGGGAGAAGGAGATGATCATCATCCGTGGTGCCAACTTCTACTGCTACGAGGTTGAAGATGTGGTGAACAGCTTGGAACAAGTGTTGCCAACCTTTACAGCCGCGGTGTCACTTCATGATCCCAGCTCTGGCACAGAAGGCCGATGCCGGATGCCGGCACGTCCTAAATCCAGGGGATGTGGCACTAGTGAAACATGGTGAAACACTATCATTATATAACAATGCATATATGGCATTCAAAAGGCACAGGAAAAATATATGATATATCCCAAGATTCATCAAGATCCCAAAAAAGAATTTCCCATGATAATCTTTGTGATTGCTGTTGTGTGGTCAAATTATCCAAACAATACACAACAATAATCAACAATACCTTTTCTGGCGGTGTTTCATAAGATGTATTAAGATGTCATATATATAACATTTAATATCACATATCAAACTCAGAAGCATTTTGGTTGTGTTTCTGGTGTTTCAATGGTGTTTCTTTATGGTGTTTCTTTAGTGGATCCCATGATCCTCAGGTCTGGCCATTTTTTTCGTACCCCGACGACCTCAGCAGCTAGATGGACTGGAAGAGGTCCCTGGCCGAATGCTTCAGCTGGCTGTGTCCAAAGCTGAAATTTCACCATGACTTGTAGCTGACAACTGTGGCAGGTTTTTTGTAAAAAAATTGAAGGCAGGTGCCAAATTCCATTCGTCCGTAAATGCCATTGGGACTTCGAGATACTTCAATGACTTGAAGCATTTCCATGTTTTTTCAACCAATTCACATCAATTCCCAGCAGTTCTGGCATAGTTTCTATAGTTTCTACATCAGTTCTACATCAGTTTCGACAGGCGGCCAAGGAGATCCGCTTGAAGTTGGTACGACACATGGGTCTCGCTCCAGGCCCGGACCGATGTCCATCCTGGCTTCGTAGCGGCGCACAGCGGCGCGGCACAGCTGAGGTCTAGTGATTCCCCTGGAGCAGGAGGAGTTTCCCAAGACGACCAGTGGCAAGATCCAGAGGAGTCAGTTGAAGATCTTTGGCGCCAAAGTTTAGGAATATTTTAATATAAACATCACTAATTATAGGTAATTATATAGTCTACAATTTATAGATATATAGACTTATATAGATGATTACACGATTTACACGGACATTTTGATTTCGGAAAATGGGTTTGGGGGTTCCAAGTCGGCTGCATCCTGTGTCGCAATCATGTTGGCCCTGTGGGACCCCCAGGAAAGCCTTGCAGAAGGGTGCCTTTGAAACCCGTGTGCTCAAAGTCGGCACTTGACGGATGAAAAAATAAGCTGTGGATTGTTTGGCTTGGCACCTGCAGTTCTGGAGGGTTTTTATGTTTTTTTTTTTGATTTTCATCAGCAAGTTGTAAGTTCTTTGTTTCTGCTGCTTTTTGATCTTTTTTGCATGTCGAGCTTCAGCTTGGAGCTTTTCTGAGGTCACCAGAATCGCATGACTTGGAGAGTTTGGGACTTCAGGTGCCCCTTGGTGCCCCTTGGTGCCGGCCCCGTAATCCAAAAACCAAAACCACCCGCCGCCCTCCAACTGCTGGGCCATGCTGGGCATTGCTGGGCAGGCTGCGCCTACCCCCGCTCATCGTGGGCCCCTCAGAACTGTCGCATGCGAATCGACCGAAGATGGGCAGATTGGGCAGGTAAGAACAATAGCTCCGCTGTCCCCATCTCAGCATGGAGCATGGATGCCCTGCAGATTCAGCAGATGTTTTTGTTGGGCGATTCCATCCTGTGCCCCCCCAAAAAACAGCCACAGGTGCTGAGCAAGGCTCGTGCCCGATGCTTGGGGGAAGGGGCATTCAAGAGGATCGCATCAGAATGTGTCACAAATTACCATCCTCATAGGATGAGGATGAGGATGATGATGATGATGATGATGATGATGATGATGATCCATTGGAATTGGGAGCTCCAAGGCATTGGCACTGCAGAATGAATTGCTTGCAGCCTTCTCAGTTCGCGACCCAGTTGGATTTTGGTGGGCAGACGCCTACTGGACTTGCGCTCGTTAAAGATCGTCCCTGAATGGATGGAAAAAAAGGTAGACTGGTGGCACACATCAAACAATGATCAACAAGATCCATTTTGGGCACCATTGCGTATTTCATGTCATACGTATTCAATACGTGAGATTGCTTGGATCATAGCAAAAATGGCACATGAGAGCCCAAGCGGGTACTGGTAGCCGCTACCGGGTATCAGGCAGCACGCTTCCAGAAGAAGCTCAACGAGCTGTCTCGCGCCGTGATCCAAGTGCCCCGCCAATTTCTGGTATTATCAAATAGATCTTTGATGGATTTCTGGTGGGTTGCTGATAGATTGTTGATGGATTTTAATGGTAAAGTTGTTAAATTCGAGTGGCCAACATTCTTAATTATACTCATCCAAGTCTTCGTCGATTTTGGCTTTGATCCTCAGGAGTGTGGCGAGGTGGGGCGCCCTCTGATTCCAAATTTGGTTGATGGCAATGACATGTTCTGATGTTATTGTTTGTGTCGCATTTGCAAGTTCCTTCCACCTACCTTCACCGCCTGTTGGTGTTTTCATTGCCACAACCATCGTGCAGGGCAAGGACAAAAAGACTTCATACCACTCAGCGCGGCGCTCTGATTTGGGCGATTTTGGGCTACCGAAGTATGGAGATACCCTCTTCCTGAAGCAGTCGAAACCGTAGGATCAAAGCGCGGCACGTTTGAACACCTCACAGTGCAAGGCCTTGAAGAGACTGATTCGCAGGGAGCAAGTGAAGATCATCCCTAGGTGCGGTACTGCACCACTCATTGGCATGGATACTGCACTGGGTCATATGGGATAAATATGGCCTATGACATCCTACAAGAAATGCTTTGGGATTCCGGGCAGATTGTAATGATTACATCCTGATTACATCATATTACATTGTTATTACATCCAGAACTTGCCATTTCCTCGCCATTTCCACTCCACTGGCCCCGGCCACGTGGATTTTTTGCCAGTTACGGCTTTGATGCTAGTGACGAGGGCGTGGGGATCTAAGCGTTAGGCCGTTAGGCATCAGCCATGGCAGCCATGGCCTCACAACTGCCACGCTTGTTCTGCAATGGCTGTGTTGACCAAGGTCATCGAAATGCTCACAGCCTTCCAAGCTTTCGAAGAGGACAGGGGTGCCGGTGCCATGGCGCCATGGCCCAAAGCCATTGGTCCCCGACTGGATCTGGCAGATGTAATTGCCCCTCGAGGATCCAGACGTGTATGTGAACTCCGTCGCAATCCAAGAAGCCCTGCAGCAGAGGAAAATGGCCAGGCTGGGGACGAAGGGAGAGGTGGTCAGTTTTGGTTACTTTGGATCGAAATGACTGTAGCGGCTAGCGACGAGCGCTTCTGGGAAGGTTTCCAATATTTTCCAATCCTTCTGGTGTTTTCACCCCCAAGAAGATACGTTGAAACATGTTGAGACCACCCGACCAGACGATTTATTGCGTGGATATCATGACTCACAGAACTTTCGACAGTCAGCCTGCGAGCAATCATTTGTTCAAGCAGAATGGCAAGGATGAAAGCAGCCGCATATGTAGATGTTTCTGTGAGATGTCGTTGAATATGCTTGCCAGTCCTCGAAATGAATGCAGCATTCGACAGGGTGGCGCCCTTAGCTGTGCAGATGCCAAGGTAAAATGTTAGAGTACAACGCAGCTGGCAATAAAGCATGTGGAGCTAGATGATGTGGGAAGAAACATGAGCACAACGAGTGTACATTACGTACTTGGAAAAGGTTCAGATAGCAGGACAGCAGATTGAGAAAACCCTGCTGTCTTTTGAAAGCCTGGGGCACTCGTTCCAATCGATATCGACACCAAATTTTCAGACAAATCAACTCTAATTACCAACTACAGCAGCAGTACTTTTCCATAAACTTTTTCACTTATCCTGGGCAGTTGGGAATGGTTCATACCACCACCTTGTATAAAAATGGTGATTTTGGGGAATGGTTTTTGTGATTGGTAAAAACTTAAACGCGTTTCCCAAGGTTTCCCACCATCCCCATCGCTCCATATCGCTCCATCTGCTGAGTTGAAACCGCAGATTGCAAGACCTTCGTGATCCTGTTGCTGCGTGCACAGCTGGTGGCCTTCAGCCATCCAGCCTTCCAGAAATCCATCAGGGCCCTCAAGGCCAAGGCAGGACCTGTTTGTTGGACGTTTCCAGTCGTTTTTTTTTGAAAAACTATGGGAAAACAACATGAACCAATCTGAACATATGATTATGACATATTATGACACATGAATATAAATGAATATAAATGATAAATATAATATTTGCTTGAAGAAATGCACGTACCGGTTGGATGGGTTGGATGTTTTCTGGCGAACTAGCTAACAAAAAAACATGCAGATATGTTTGATCAATTTTGGTATTTGGCATTTTGGCATTTTGGCATTTTGGCATTTTGGCATTTTGGCATTTTGGCATTTTGGCATTTTGGCATTTTGGCATTTGGTGTTTGGTATGATGACGATGACGATGACGATGACGATGACGATGACGATGATGATGATGATGATGATGATGATGATATTAATTTTCGATGATTCAAATTGTATGTGAGGTCTGTGCAGCATGTCGATATGTGCATGGCCATGATTTGAGGAAAACTGCTGACTGAATGATGTGCATTTGTGAATTCCGCAGGCCGCGACAGCTGACGGATTCTACCATTTGCCAGGTTGGATAGCCAGCTGGTCTAACTGTTTAACATAACCCTTCCATCAAGAGTCAGAAGATGTCAGAAGCTAGTGGTAAGAAACTGCGCGAGCCACTGCGCTCTTGGTGTTTCTTTTCCTGCCTCAGGTAATTTGATCATATTATCATATTTGATCATGTTTGCAAGATTGGCCCATCATTCCAACCAATTTCGGTTCACCTTCTAGTCTTCTAGTTTCAATTCCTCACGAAGGTCGAGCAAAGCTAGCCTTGGACGTGCAGAAACTCATTCTGCCAAGGCACAGTGATGTATGTTTTTGGCCTGGACTGAAAACCAAACTGTCCAAAAACAGCATCTTGGAGTCCTGGAGTGTGGGTGTAGATGGTGTAGATGGTGTAGGGTGTCTTAGGGTCTCATCTCATGTTCTTTTCATTTGGAAATTGCTCCCCTGTCCATGTCCTCTCGACTTGGTCGAGACTTCGAGTCACTTGGGATCAGGTTCGGCTTTGAGCCATCTCGTGAAGGCACTGGGAGAAGCGTAAACTGGAGTAAACATGGAGAAAAATGCCTGGGGGATATATATATATATATATCTATGTATAGTCTATATCTATATATCTATATATGTATATATCGTGTTGGTTTTTTCGGGTTGAACATCCCCTACTTGGCAACCAGATGTGGGTGGTTTGCGGTCTTCTAATTTTTGGGATATTTTTGGGACATCCATCCCCTTCGAAACTGGTCAGCGCAATGCCTGACGCTCTGAAGGCGTGCAGGCAATGATTGGCCACTGCTCCCAATTCATCAACGAGCCAGAGGTGCACAGCTTTCAGTATGATTGATACATGTTGATGCATACCCAGCAGAAAAACCGAATCTAAATGGATTTTGCATATCTCCACTATAATACTATTAGAGAATAAACATCATAAACATGATAAAACTCAGTGACTGAATGTGACATTCACCGGTGCCACCAGTGATTTTCTGTGTCGATGTGCCAGGTTGCCATCTTGCTGGACAGCATCAATAGTAGGTTGGGCATGGACGCTTCGGCGTGCCATCGCTTTCGAGACATGGTTTCCAGCCCGGGGCCCGGATGGGAATACACATGGCAAATCATCCAGCAGCAGCATACATCGCAGATAAGGTCCATTCGAATCGCTTTCCTTTGGGCATCTTTAGTTAGCTCTTAGTGCGGCAAGACCAAGACAAGTGTAAGATATATCGGTGGATAGTATGTAACGACGAACACAAGTCACAAAAAAAGTATAATCAAGTCACAAGAGCTGATCCCATTGAGCTTAAACAAACGCATCATATACCCTCTGGTAATTTAACATAGCTATTGAAAATGGCCATTTATAGTGAGTTTTCCCATTAAAAATGGTGATTTTCCATAGTTATGTGGCTGTTTACCAGAGGGTAAACATCACAAACGCACAGATATCTTCAGCTGGAAAGTCGGGCCCCGAGGCTTGGTGGAGCCATGAGGCAGCGCGCCGAGCCCCAGATGGCGTTGGATGGACAAAAAACAACTTATGGAAAACTGATGGAAAACGTCCCCAAAAAACAGAATTTTTAGACTTTTGAAAGATGTTTTTGAGTGACAAGAATTGGGTGATTAGTGAAACAAAACGTCCCAATGAAACTCAGAACATGTTCTTGCTGAGGATCTACATCCTGTTGCTCCTTGGATGCGAACAGCCAAGGCAACCCTAAATTCACAATCCATGGAACGTCCTACTGCGAGAAATTTAAGACGCGTAGGATGCACCTAGAATCCCATGCTTCTTGCAGCCAGCATTGAACAAACATTAATCAGATCCTACTTTATTTGATGTTATAGAATTGATATTGATATTATCATACAATTATTCCAGAAGTGGTTGTGATATCCATTGAAATCCAATGATATTTAACAAAATCAGAGGCTGGCTGCATGACTTTTTCTGATCTTTCAGACTGTTCCATGGAAGCTGGTCCATCCAGCAGCCAATGCTGCTGCAGCTTCCTCCGAACGGTGCCTCGAGCGCGCCGGAGCGCGCCAGAAATCAACGCAACGCCAGAATGGGAGATGCCCAGGTCCAGTCCAACGGCACTGGTTGAAGGTTTCAGGACTTCCATTAGTTGGATGCATTATAGGTTGGTTTGATGATACATGATATCCATGTCATGAGAAATCTGGAAATGTATCATAGTACATCATAGTATATCATAGTAAATCATAGTAAATCATAGCAAATCATAGTAATTCATAGTAATTCATAGTACATCATAGTAAATCATAGTAAATCATAGCAAATCATAGTAATTCATAGTAATTCATAGTACATCATAGTCAATCATAGTAAATCATAGTAAATCATAGTACATCATAGTAACATAATGTAACATATAAAACGTATGAATTGGCCATGGCCGCCCACGATTTCCGTGGATCCCGACTGATCCCACCAGGCGTGTTTCCACTGCCCCCAGAGATTTCGCCCACGTCAACCTCGGGACGACCGGGACTCTGGACAGATGGGGCGAAACATGTTTAGACTACACCGGTGACCCCGGTGTTTGTGCCAGGGAGGCCGTATCCTCCGTATCCTCCGTATCCGTGGCCGAGACGGTGAAACCATGTGAGATGCGCATCATTTTTTATTTTTTTTGGTTGTGGTTGTTGTGTCTTGAAACTCTTCGGAGTACATTATGGTGATACTGGGGTAATGATGGTCATGCTGGCAATTATCCATTTCATTCCATTTCTGTTCCCCTAATTGGGTTTCATCATAATTACCATAACATCCACTTACAATAATGTAATTCATATCATCATATATTATCATACTAACATATTATATTATAACTACCGGAATTGCCATCCATTATCATATTAACATATATTAACATCTATTAGGATATTAACATCTATTGACATCTATTCGCATTATTAACATGTATATATATATATACATATGTATACATATGATATAGCTCCACAAGATGGTGATGGCACCATGAGCTGCTCCACTTGGTATGCGTCCAAGTGGTGCTGCCTTGGCGTCCCGCAGCACCGTCGCAGCAACGGTCACCTTTTAGCTTCGGACATCGACCGTCCAGTTGAGCTCGTTTGCGAACTTGAAAATGGCCCAGTGGAAATAGTTGATTTACCATGATTTAAACATGGCGATTTTCCATAGTTATGTGGCTGTTTACCAGAGGATCATGTGGCATATGATATCAAGATCGATAAGAAATCCATGACACATACTGTCATATACCTAGTAAGGAGATGGAGGGAGAGAGATATTGCATATGTAACCACATGCCCACCAACTTGATTGTCAAAATATATCTCTTCCAAGAAGTTCAATTCGACTGGAATGTACACACTACATGTATCACTTTTCTTGGCAACCGTAACCAGTGGGGTCGGAGCGTACAAACTAGATTTCTCACAATGTGATGAGCGTCACCAGGCTAGCAGAAATCCAAGCATATGTTTGAACGAGCTTGACAATGTAGCTCACTGTTGGACAGAGCTGTGCACGTTGCATTGAGCTGCCCCTGAATCAGCTCTTCTATACTCTTCTCGATGAATAGTTGCAAAGACAATGAGGCTTTCTAGATTGACTGCGGTGGATTCTTTTTTTTTGACATGTCAATGTCCATAATGTCCCTTCCAGACACACACACACAGATATCTATAAATAAATATATATATATATATACATATATATATATATATATTATACACATATACTGTATATATATGTTTATAGAATCAGAAAACAGATTTGATCTGGGGCAGCAGCTCAAGATTTGCACATCGTGCCTTCCAGTTGTACCGGCGGCTCAGGGCACAGGCCAAGCAGTCTTGACAGATTTAAAGCGGCTGAAATGTAAAGCGGATGACGAGTAGCCAAGGGATTCCAGTGCTTTTTTTTTGCACCCTTTGAAGTCCCTTGATGCTGCTAAGAGCTTGGGCGATCTCTTTAAAAAACCTCATGATCCTCATGGGAGCCAAGCTACAGCTTGGGATATGGTCCTATCATGTTGTGACCATTGTGAACCACTGAAGGGAGAGACCACCCTGTCAATCCGTGGCATTCAGCTACTGCAGGGCCTTGATGTGCACGTTTCATTTTCAGCGCGGGCTGTTGGCTCCTGCGCCCGAGATCTGTGGAGCATCCGGTAGCCAACTTTCACGCGTAGCGGCGTAGCTAAGCAGGAGCCAACAAAACGAACTCTCGTTATGAAACCCTTCATCCACGCTGGGCCAAAATAACCGGGCTCATTCCGCCTTTGCCTCAGCGGCGGGTGCTCAAACAGCATCAAACAGTGACGAAGAATGGGTCGAGCTATCAATTTCAGCATTGTTCACTGCACCCACCCGTACAATCCCAGAAAACTGGCACCTTTTTTCTCTCACACGAAGTGTAGCTGCTCAGCTGACTTCGCTACTCTCCTCGACCGCGGCGGGCAATGATCCTGGAGTTCAGGTGGATGAAGTTGGTTTTCGTGCCTATCGCTGTGCCACGTTGAGTACAGGCAAGTCACGGGGACCAAACCCTTCGCTTCGGTGAAAAAGGAACATATCAACGATTGCCTCGTGCAGTGAAGGATGCCTTAAGTTGCAGATCACGAAAGCCAGCCGCTAGGCTAGGCGAAGTTCTTTTTGCGAACAAAGTGAGTTAAGGGGGTCTGGGGGCAGAGCGCCCCCAACTGGCCAAAAATCGGGAAATTAGGTGGTAAAAAAGGTGGCCACAGGTAAAGTTTTTTAGGGTTATGTACCAGGTGGCAATTGGGTGACGGTGGGGTATCGATTCCCCCCTGGTCCGCCCTCCGAGGTGGACTTGGGGATTGCAATGGAGGGGAAAATGATGAGAAAAACAATGGAAAAAATGAGGGAATATGATATAAAACAATGGGAAAAAAATGGGAAAGGAGGGGAAAATGATGGAAAATCATGAGAAAAACAATGGAAAAATGAGGGAATATGACATAAAACAATGGGAAAAAAATGGGAAAGGAGGGGAACATGATGAGAAAAACAATGGAAAAAATGAGAGACTATGATATAAAACAATGGGAAAAAATGGGAAAGCAATGGAAAATTTGAGTAGAACGCTTGGAAAATTGATACGCGAGGAAAAACGGTGGAAAGAATAGGGAGAGGGTAAAATGATGCCAAGTAAAATTGAGGCTCCGATGTGGGACCATTATCGCGTAATGGAAAAGCAATGGAAAAATTGCAGTTTCGATATGAGGAGATGACACACATGTCATGTGATGTGCAGAAGTTCAGTTTTTGCCCAAATTTTGTAAGCAATGCAATCTTCATTCTGAAATTTGGGATAAACAATGAACAATGGGAAAAGAATGGGAAAGCAATGGCAAATTTGAGTAGAACGCTTGGAAAATTGATTACAACGGTGGAAACAATGAGGAGAGGGTAAAATGATGCCAAGTCACGTAAAGCACGCGTGAAACATTGGAAAAGCAATGGAAAAATGGCCGTTTTGATTAACACCATGTGATGTGCAGAAGTTCCATGATGGTACTTTTTAGCAAGATGGGCAGCATACCTTATTTGCTCAAGATTTAGTGCATTCTTATGGTCCTGTATCGCGTAATGGAAAAGCAATGGAAAAATTGCAGTTTCGATATGAGGAGATGACACACATGTGATGTGCAGAAGTTCAGTTTTTGCCCAAATTTTGTAAGCAATGCAATCTTCATGCCATATGTCTGAAATTTGGGATAAACAATGAACAAATGAGGGAATATGACGTAAAACAATGGGAAAAGAATGGGAAAGCAATGGCAAATTTGAGTAGAACGCTTGGAAAATTGCTTCCAACGGTGGAAACAATGAGGAGACGGTAAAATGATGCCAAGTCACGTAAAGCACGCGTGAAACATTGGAAAAGCAATGGAAAAATGGCCGTTTTGATTTACACCATGTGATGTGCAGAAGTTCCATGATGGTACTTTTTAGCAAGATGGACAGCATACCTTATTCGCTGAAGATTTAGTGCATTCTTATGGTCCTTTGCTGCCTCGCCGATTGACCTAACTTCAAATACTGAGAAATCATATTTTTGACCATCTATTATAAATCTCATTCTTTTAGTTTGTTGTGGTATCCAAGAAGAGATGACACACATGTGATGTGCAGAAGTTCAGTTTTTGCCACAATTTTGTAAGCAATGCAATCTTCATGCCATAATAAACAATGAACAAATGAGGGAATATGACGTAAAACAATGGGAACACGAAAGCCAGCCGCTAGGCTAGGCGAAGTTCTTTTTGCGAACAAAGTGAGTTAAGGGGGTCTGGGGGCAGAGCGCCCCCAACTGGCCAAAAATCGGGAAATTAGGTGGTAAAAAAGGTGGCCACAGGTAAAGTTTTTTAGGCTTATGTACCAGGTGGCAATTGGGTGACGGTGGGGTATCGATTCCCCCCTGGTCCGCCCTCCGAGGTGGACTTGGGGAGATTGCAATGAAGGGGAAAATGATGAGAAAAACAATGGAAAAAATGAGGGAATATGATATAAAACAATGGGAAAAAAATGGGAAAGGAGGGGAAAATGATGGAAAATCATGAGAAAAACAATGGAAAAATGAGGGAATATGACATAAAACAATGGGAAAAAAATGGGAAAGGAGGGGAAAATGATGGAAAATCATGAGAAAAACAATGGAAAAATGAGAGACTATGATATAAAACAATGGGAAAAAATGGGAAAGCAATGGAAAATTTGAGTAGAACGCTTGGAAAATTGATACGCGAGGAAAAACGGTGGAAAGAATAGGGAGAGGGTAAAATGATGCCAAGTAAAATTGAGGCTCCGACGTGGGACCATTATCGCGTAATGGAAAAGCAATGGAAAAATTGCAGTTTCGATATGAGGAGATGACGCACATGTGATGTGCAGAAGTTCAGTTTTTGCCCAAATTTTGTAAGCAATGCAATCTTCATTCTGAAATTTGGGATAAACAATGAACAATGGGAAAAGAATGGGAAAGCAATGGCAAATTTGAGTAGAACGCTTGGAAAATTGATTACAACGGTGGAAACAATGAGGAGAGGGTAAAATGATGCCAAGTCACGTAAAGCACGCGTGAAACATGGGAAAAGCAATGGAAAAATGGCCGTTTTGATTAACACCATGTGATGTGCAGAAGTTCCATGATGGTACTTTTTAGCAAGATGGGCAGCATACCTTATTCGCTCAAGATTTAGTGCATTCTTATGGTCCTGCATCGCGTAATGGAAAAGCAATGGAAAAAATGCAGTTTCGATATGAGGAGATGACACACATGTGATGTGCAGAAGTTCAGTTTTTGCCCAAATTTTGTAAGCAATGCAATCTTCATGCCATATGTCTGAAATTTGGGATAAACAATGAACAAATGAGGGAATATGACGTAAAACAATGGGAAAAGAATGAGAAAGCAATGGCAAATTTGAGTAGAACGCTTGGAAAATTGATTGCAACGGTGGAAACAATGAGGAGAGGGTAAAATGATGCCAAGTCACGTAAAGCACGCGTGAAACATTGGAAAAGCAATGGAAAAATTGCCGTTTTGATTAACACCATGTGATGTGCAGAAGTTCCATGATGGTACTTTTTGGCAAGATGGGCAGCATACCTTATTCGCTCAAGATTTAGTGCATTCTTATGGTCCTTTGCTGCCTCGCCGATTGACCTAACTTCAAATACTGAGAAATCATATTTTTGTTCTCTGGGTGAAAAGTATCTGGGTGAAAAGTATGTGCAAGAAGAGTTTCTGGGTGAAGTCTCTGGGTAAAAAGTATATATGGGTGAAAAGTATGTGCAAGAAGAGTTTCTGGGTGAAGAGTCTCTGGGTGAAAAGTCTGTGCAAGAAGAGTTTCTGGGTGAAGAATCTCTGGGTGAAAAGTATATGGGCGAAAAGTATGTGCAAGAAAAAAAATTGGGTGAAGAGTCTCTTTGTGAAAAGTATATGGGTGAAAAGTCTGTGCAAGAAGAGTTTCTGGGTGAAAAATCTCTGGGTGAAAAGTATATGGGTGAAATGTATTGAAGAGTCTCTGGGTGAAAAGTATGGTGGAAAATAGGGGTAGATGGGATGCTGGCTTTCGTTCCCCCCTTCTCAGGTTTTTTTGCTGAGGCTGCTGACATTCGAATGATTGGACATATTGTGCTGGGAAGCTGCTTTTATCAGCCAAGATGAGGGCAAACATGGGCAAACACATGCTTGATGTAGCTGGATTTTGGCAGTCTGGGAAAAGCGGCCCAACATGTAGGCCTGCATCGATCGCATTAACTTAAGCACCAACTTGTTCTCATGATTGACATGGAATACTGGTGAATGCTGGAAGGGCTTTGAAATTCAAACATGGACATGGAGAGAGCTGAACCATGCCAAAGACAATCTCCACTGGCCGTTGAAAACACCGCATTTAGAAGCACAGTGATTGGCACCTATCCTGCCCATCCTTGTTGATCCTTGTTGCTGATATTTGGAAGCGGAAAACACCAACCCTTCGAAAACGCATGGAGTAGTAGAGCAGGTTTGCATTAGAGTCATTAGAGCTGCAGCTGGAGCATGTCAGAAGTGATCTTTAGGGGCCAAGTGACATGTTCCAGACGCTACTGGGCAGAATCTGGAGGGTATTTACGGTAAAATGTGAGACACATTTTGAGATGCCTTGTGGTTTTTCATGCGCAATTTGCATAAATTTGCACCATCATCAATCATGCACCATCCATCACCATCCTTTCTTTTTGGATTTGACATTTTGAGCCACCTGAGTCATGTGAATCACCCTAGGCTGTCATGCCATCAGAAGGAGTTCGATTTGGCCAGCAGCGATGCCAGTGATGTGGAGCCCGGTGAACCAGCAGCTCCAGCTCCATCGACCCCCAAGGTGCAGCCTGCGGTCGCGCGGGTCGCGCGGCACGGCAGCGATGACGAGATGGTGGTGATCAGTGCTCTGGTCACGGCGACATCGCCGGTATCGCCGGTATCGCCCACGAAGTTCGCCTTTGCTCAGCGCTGCCGGAGAATGGCCGAGGCCAAGTCACCCAAGGTGAAATCGCCCAAGGTGAAGAAAGCACGGCTGGAAGTGGAAGGTGCCAACAGCTGGCTGCCAACGTGTGCCAACTCAGTTAGGCTTTGAACGTTTTGAACGATGTTGAACACATATAGCAAATGTTGAGCAATGTTGAGGCATGATTAATCAGACTTGTAGCATCTTGTGCCAAGAGTGTTGTTGCTGTTGGATTCGGACTCAGAGTTGCACTTGGAACCTTTTCAGAACTTTTCAGGACTTCCTTCTTGCACCCTGCAGTGCCCTGCAGTGCCCTGCAGTGCCCTGCAGGTGATGGAGAATGGCTCTATCCTGCGTGGCCCAAGGGGCGCCGTACTGGTGAAGTGCGCCACGGAGCCCTCCGGCATGGCACAGCCGACTTGGAACCAGAGGCCCAGGGCTTCGTCATGGCCATGGCTTCCCATCCAACAAAAATCTGGATCAGTGCTGAGTTTTGCATCACATTTCATCATATTTCAGCATACTTTTATCATCTTTCTTCAACTCATTTCAAAACATATTTTGTCACCCAGTTGGCTACATGGTAGTTCCCTCAAAAAGATCAAAAGGCATCTTGCTTGGTCACCAGAACTCTTCTTTTGGTGGCCACATAGCATGGCCTTCCCAGGGCGACGAGGACCCAGAGGCTGAAGTGCCACAGCAGCGCATGGTGCTGTTCCAGCGCAGCTCGTTGCTACCGGAGGACCTAGGCGCGGCAGGGAGATCAGTGTATGGTTGAGATGTCCATAGGAAAAATGCCTGGAAAAATGGATGGAACATGCTTGGGGAGTGCGGCTGCTGGCTTTTTTTGGGGACATGACACATGAGAAAAGTTGTAATTACAGTTTCATAAAATTGGAGGATGGGCAAGTTGATTTCAAAAAAGCACTTGAATAGGCATCGGCCAAAGCGCAAGGAACACGCCATCATACGCCATCGGCCTATGTTGCAAATAGACTCGGGCTGGACTCGGGTGACTCAGATGACTTAACCGTAGCAAAGCGGTCTCGGTATGTCAGGTGTAAGTCATCCAGATCCCCTCTGTGAGCCCCAAGCGATTCGTGATACCATGCCACCACCCTTCGAGCCGGAGGACGCCGGGGGAGCCGGTGGAGCATGTTGAACATACTATACCGGGGGACCCTGGAAGAATCATTAAGAATCAATGAAGCTTTGGGGGATAGATAGATCTATTATATATATATATATACATATTATATATTTGTTTATCTATTTATTTAAGATATTTAAGATACATATTCTATCTTTGCCTTTTTTGGGCGTAGGTTTTGTTTGGGCCCGCATTTCCATTCTTGCAGCGTACAGGACGAGGTGCGGATACCTCAGCAACTGGTCCGGGACGGTCTTCTCTCTTCCCCTCAGTTGGAGGCAGGGACCCCGTCGTATGTCTCCAGATAGATGTTGTGATGTTTAGGGCTCAAGACATATAATATCATTAATATCATTTTTTAATATTTTTTATATCATATAATATTAATGCACATGTCAATTTCATTGGCAGCACGTCCTGTACCCCAAGAATCTCCAAGATCTGCCAGGCCATTGCGCTGGCAGCAAGGCGCTTTGGCTGTAGCCTTTCGACTGGCGCACGCTGTGGCTTCTTGCTTGGTGATGGCACTGGTTGTGGAAAAGGCACGTGGCAATTTGCAGATTTCTGGGAATTTTATGGAATTTTCAGATTTGCCGGGATTGGATTAGGTTCAATATTGGATATGGAAAAAACTCTGGTCTCCAAATCTGAACAGTGGACTGGTATGTCCCAAACAAATACCCAACAAAAACAGCAAAATGACGCGCAGGTCGTTGCATTGCAGCCTTGCTCCTTGACCAATGGAATCGTGGCAATCGGAGACATGTGTGGATCTCTGCCACGACAGATTTGTATCAAGATGCCGTTCGGGACTTGCAGGAGAAACTGGCGGCAACTGCAGGTAATTAGAAAGAACTACTGTCCCCTTCAGAGCATGAATTCACAATAGATGTTTGGTGGAGAAAACCAAACCGGAGGTTTTGTCAGCATCTTTGGTCATGCTGTGGATGGTCGAAAAGAGGCTCCTTCATGGGCTCCTTCATGGGCTCCCTTTTTTCCACCGTTCATCGGTTCATCGGTTCATCCGGTTAGCACAGGACCTGAGGAGTGGCATTCCAATCTGCAACTTGGCGCGGGTCAAGTGCCGAGATCTGGACCTGGAGAAATCGGATGAGCTGCAGAAGCTCGGGAAGAACAAGGCGCCAAGCTGCGCCAAGCTGCGCCAAGCGGCGCTGCCGCTCCCAAAAGGGTGGTGCGTTTGGTCACAAGACATATTTAAACCATTTTAAGCCAGTGAAACATCACTCAATTTTATAGTGGATGAATATGTTAATATGTACATGATTGTGCATGGTTCATTCATGGAAAAAAGCCGCCATACTTGGTGGGTAATGGTCAGCTTTCCACAGGATGGAGTGCTTTTCCTTACCTACTCGCTCCTGGTATCCCAAGGACGGCCGTCAGTTTTCGATCATTTTGAGCCTTTGATGTTCAAATTTTGGAGACACCATGAGACACCCATGTTTCATGATGCGATCCTTGGATTCTCCATGATTCTCCTCGCGAAATCTCGAGCATCACAGCGACGACTTTGGTTGGTTCAGAACCATGGGATGACTCTCCAAATCAGCAAACAACCCAAATGCAGGAAACCACATGATGATTTTGCCATATTTTGCCAGCCAAAAAACATCATGGGTTCCCTCTTAGTGTTCCCTCCATTTTCGCCCCCCCCAGGACGTTCAGGTGGCGCCACACGCTTCGAACAGTTGCAGACCTGGCTCTGTCATCACCAGGAGAACGGCAGTGGTTTGATCGTTTTGGACGAGGCGCACAAGGCCAAGAACTTGGACGCCGGGTCACGTTGCGCGGCGCTGGTGGAGGAACTGCAAGGTGCGGATGGCTGGTGGATGGTTGGTTGGTTGATGATGGTTGATGATGTGTTGGAATTGGGTGGTTTAACAGTTTAACATGGTTTGACCACTAAAACTCATTAAGACCATCGGGGATCATCATATTATTCAATGGGGTGTGAATGGGAAATTTCATGGTAGAACCAACTTACCATGATGGTTGATGTGTTTTTTCCCCTCACTTCTCAGAGAATGACGCAATAGTTAGCCCAACATCGAATCTCAAAAAGAACAGTGCGTCAGTGGCAATAATTGGCCGTATATAATGATTAATACTAAGAACAATGATTGCAATAGTCATGGCGATAAAGGAAAAATAACATGCTAGTATTTGTAATGGTTAACAGATAGTCTGCATGCTCGCAGCTGCCGCCAACGCCGGCAGTCTTGTCGAGAGAGAGGTTGGTTGAGATTTTGGTAGGGAAACCATGGGAAACCTTGTTTTTTGGAGGGAACATATGTAATTTCTGGCGCCGGTCATTTTGCACCACTTCCATGGCAGGAAAATGTTCCAACTGTCCCATGCTCTACGCCACAGCCACCGGAGCCACGGAAGTGTCGCATATGCAGTACATGCTGCGGCTGGGCCTCTGGGACCATAAAGCCTTTGGAAAAGGCGGAGATGGCGGCCCCGAGGTGGCCAAGGTGCAGGAGGTTAAGGCGCCATTCCCCAACTTCTGGGCCTTCAAGAAGGTGGTGGAGAGAGGTGACTTGTCATGACTTGTCAGGAAACCAACGATGACCTTTGCTGGCCGTGCAATTCACAATGTATACCGACGGACCGAAAGTTAGAATGACGTTTTGGTGGAAAGATGTGGACGTCAAAAAAAACACCCGCGTACCGCGTGAGAAATTCGGGAGGCATTCTAACCCTATTTATTTAGTCCTGAAACCTCTAAACAAATCCGGGACGGCATTCTAACCCTATTTATGTAGTCCTGAAGACCCCAAAACTCCAAAATTTCGAATTTTCGACCGTCCCGTGTCTTCCATGTACTACAAATATGCAGAATATGCATGAAATCTACCCAACAATACAATGAAAAATAATGAAAAACATCTTTAAAACATTGAACAATTAATGAAAAATGATGAAGAACATGTAAACACATTGAACAATCAATGAAAAATAACTAAAAACATCTTGAACATAATAAAAAATCATTGAAACATAATGAACAACATCTTCAAAATAATGAAACACCAATGACACATAATTAAAAAATCAATGCCGCTTTGGTGGCCCCAAGTGGATTTCAAGAAAAGACCCGCGTACAGCGTGAGAAATCCGGGAGGCATTCTAACCCTATTTATTTAGTCCTGAAGCATTCTAATCCTGTTTATTTATTCCTGAAACTCTTAAAACTCCAAAATTCTTGTCGCATTTTCGACCGTCCCGTGCATGCATATGGTGCTGCAAATATGCAGAAAATGCATGTAAATTGCAAACCATCCACCCAAAAGATAATGAATATAATAATGAAAAACATATCTAAAACTCTGAAATATCAATGAAAAATAATGAAACACATGTAACAACATTCAAAAATCAATGAAAAATAATGGCACCTTGAAAATAATGAAAAATCACTGAAAAATAATGAACAACATCTTGAACATAATGAACAATCACCGAATGCCGTACCGGTTTTTTTAAAAGGGGTTTCAGGACTAAATAAATAAGGTTAGAATGCCTCCCAGATTTCTCACGCGGTACACGGTTTTTTTCCTTGAAATCCATGTCTTTCCACCAAGGTGGCATTATAACTTTCGGTTGTACCATATAAACAATGAAAACTATTGAAAACCATCGTCAAAAAAATAAAAAACCAATGAAAACTAATGGATCTACCCATGATGAATAAAGCATAACAAAATATGCAAAAAAAAAAATATCTCAACCGCCGATCCAAGAACACCTCGTTTACTCACATCTAATATGTATGTACATGATTGTAGATGTACATACTGTAATTGCAGTGAATATATATGTGTGTGTATAATGCCGTTTTTGGAGGTTACCATCCTATTTAGTCCTGAAACCCCAGAAAAAATCCGGGACGGCATTAAAAAAAGACTATTTATTTAGTCCTGAAACCCCTAAAAATCCAAAAAGTTTGATGCATTTTTCGACCGTCCCGTGTCTTCCATGTATATGGTACTGCAAATATGCAGAATATGCATGTAAATTTCAAACAAATCTTTCCATGAACAATAAAACAATGTCGAAATATGCAGACAAATTCAATATCGTATTATAAATATGTAGAATATGCAGGTATTCGCCAAAAAACATGCTCAAGATCAGCAAAAAAGTAAATGACCACTAAAATTGACAGAATATGCAGAAAAAATGCAATATCATCATCTGCCGATCCAAGAACACCTCGTTTACTCACATCTCAAATGAATGTACATGATTGTAAATGTGCATATATGCACTATATACTGAGCATATATATATATGTATGTATAATATATATATATATAATGCCGTTTTTGGAGGTTACCATCCTGTTTAATCAACATTTCATTATCGTGGAGAATATCGTGGGAAAATTCCGGACGGGCATTCTAACCCTATTTATTTAGTCCTGAAATCCCTTAAAAAATCCGGCACGGCATTCTAACTCTATTTATTTAGTCCTGAAACCCTTAAAACTCCAACATGTTTGGCGCATTTTCGACCGTCCCGTCTTTTCCATGTACTGCAAATATGCAGAATATGCATGTAAATTGCAAACAAAGCTTTCCATGAACAATAAACAATGGCATAATATGCAGAAAAATGGACTATCGTATTTTAAATATGTAGAATATGCAGGTATTCGCCAAAAAAACATGCTCATGAACAGCAAAAAACTACATGATCACTAAAATTGACAGAATATGCAGAAAAAATGCAATATCGTCATCCGCCGATCCAAGACACCTCGTTTACTCACATCTACATATTATATGTAATATACAGCGCATGTATATGTGTGTATAATGCCATTTTCGGAGGTTACCGTCCTGTTTATAATCAATATGTAATTATCGTGGGGTATCGTGGGAAAATCCCCGACGGGCATTCTAACCCTATTTATTTAGTCCTGAGACCCCTAAAACTCCAAAATTCTTGGCGCATTTTCGACCGTCCCGTGTCTTCCATGTACTGCAAATATGCAGAACATGCATGTAAATTGCAAACATTTTTTCCATGAACAATAAACAATGTTCTAATATGAGGAAAACATGTAATATCGTATTATAAATAAGTAGAATATGCAGGTATTCGCCCAAAAAACACGCTCATGATCAGCAAAAACAAACATGATCAACAAAAAATGACAGAGTATTAGAAAAATGATAAAGATGCAATATCGTTTGTGTATAATGCCTTTTTTGGAGGTTACCATCCTGTTATCAGCATTTACATTATCGTGGGAAATACCGTGGGAAAATCCCCGACGGGCATTCTAACCCTATTTATTCAGTCCTGAAACTCCTAAACTCCAAAATTCTTGACACATTTTCGACCGTCCGGTGTCTTCCATGTACTGCAAATATGCAGAATATGCATGTAAATTGCAAACAAATCTTTCCATGAACAATAAACACTGTAATGATATGCAGAGAAAATGCAACATCGTATTGTTATTTTCAAAATGCAGAATATACATGAATATACAGCATTTGCCAAAAAACATGCTCATGATCAGCAAAAAAACATGATCAATAAAACATGACAGAATATTGGAAAAATGCCACATCGTTTGTGTATAATGCCCTTTTTGGAGGTTACCATCCTGTTTAATCAACATTTCACTATCGTGGGAAATACCGTGGGAAAATCCCCGACGGGCATTCTAACCCTAGGTATTTAGTCCTGAAACCCCTAAAACTCCAAAATTCTTGACGAATTTTCGACCGTCCCGTGTCTTCCATGTAGCGCAAATATGCAGAATATGCATGTAAATTGCAAAAATATCTACCCATGATAAAATAATACATGTCACAATATGCAGAAAAATGGACTATCGTATTTTGAATATGTAGAATATGGAGGTATTCGCAAAAAAAACATGCTCATGATCAGCAAAAAAAATAATGACCACTAAAATATGTTAAAATTAACAGAATATGCAGAAACATGCAATATCATGCAATATCGTCATCCGCCGATCCAAGACACCTCGTTTACTCACATCTAATATGCATGTACATGTATACATATATCTTTATATGTGTGTGTAATATATACAGCACATATATACTGCCGTTTTCGGAGGTTACCGTCCTGTTTAATCAACATTTCATTATCGTGGAGAATATCGTGGGAAAATCACTGACGGGCATTCTAACCCTATTTATTTAGTCCTGAAACCCTTAAAACTCCAAAATTCTTGGCGCAATTTCGACCGTCCCGTCTTTTCCATGTACTGCAAATATGCAGAATATGCATGTAAATTGCAAACAAATCTACCCATGACCAACAATACATGTCACTATATGCAGAAAAAATGCAATATCGTATTATGAATATGTAGAATATGCATGTATGGGCCAAAAAAAACATGCTCATGATCAGCAAAAAAACATAATCAATAAAAAATGACAGAATATGAAAAAAAAATGCAACATTGTCTGTGTGTAATGCCGTTTTCAGAGGTTACCGTCCTGTTTAATCAACATTTCATTTTCGTGGGGAATACCGTGGGAAAATCCCCGACGGGCATTCTAACCTGTTTAGTCCTGAAACCCCTAAAATTCCAAAATTCTTGACGAATTTTTGACCATCCCGTGTCTTCCATGTATTGCAAATATGAAGAATATGCATGCAAATTGCAAACAAATCTTTTCATGAACAATAAACACTGTCATGATATGCAGAAAAATGCCATATCGTATTTAAATATGTAGAATATGCAGGTATTCGCCAAAAAACATGCTCATGAACAGCAAAAAAAAGGATCAATAAAATTGTCAGAATATGCAGAAAAATGCAATATCGTCATCCGCCGATCCAAGAACACGTCGTTTACCCACATCTAGATTTCATTATTTATTTAAGATCTATATAGAATTCAGAAGTTTTGGGGGCATATGCTGCGGAGGCATTCTAACCCTACAAAAAACAAGGTTTGGTGGCCCCGGCAAACCAAGCTTTTGGTCGGTTTTGGACTACGGTTTTTTAAGGGCTTTTATGGGTGTTGATGAGTTTTTACAGGTTTTGGACGGTTTTCTACGGGTTGTGGCGAAGCTGCTTCATCAAAAACCTGGTTTTGTTGACCAAACCTTTTTTTTTTAATGCAAAAACTAGTTCAAAACCGGGTTTTGATACCTCGACCAGTTTTTTTCAGTGATTTGGTTGATACAGGGTATAAATTATATATACAGTATATATATATATATACTCACATATTTATCATCTATATAGAATTCAGATGTTTTGGGGGCATATGCTGCGGAGGCATTCTAACCCTACAAAAAGATAAAGGTTTGGTGGCCCCGGCACAACAGGTAGGCAAGTTTGATCAAACAACTTTTGAATATTTTTATCCACATTTACCAGCATAATACGGACTGAAAGGTAGAATTTTAGTAGAATTTCTACGTCCATTTGGGTACGTCATTCTAACTTTCAAAGGAAAAATTTTGGTGGAAAGCACGACATTCTAACTTTCGGTCCGTCGGTATAATGGGATGTAATGGGATGTAATGGGGATACTGGGGTTAGTGCAGTGCCATAGCAATAGGATCAACGCTTCAATTCCTGGAAAGACAGGAACAAATAGGCCGGAGTTCTATCCATTCTCAAAGGCGCAAGTCAAAGATTGGGTCGGAATTGGCAACTCTCCACAATTTTCCACCATTTTCCACAATTTCATAAACATATTATTTCAGTTTTCGATGTTTCCTCCCCCACGGGGGACACCTGGTAACCATCCCCTCACCAGCGTTCAGGTGGTGTCACTGCCATGGAACTGGTAGCGGTTCAGCTCCGCCTGAGTGGCAGCTTGTCCTGCCGTTCCTTGGCGTTCTCCGGCACCGAATTCCAACTGGTCACGGCGGAACTCACCAGCAGCGAAGTGGAACAGCAGCTTGGGCGAAGCGATCGAAGCCGCTTCAGCCGATTGGATGGGCGAGAGGTGCAACATTTTCATGGCAAGAGTTCTATGAGGTAATGTGATGTATGGGATATATACTACAGTATGGCATTTTTTTTGGATGGAGGACCAGGATCAGTGCAGTTTGAACATGACACGTGTGGGGAAAAAAGGCTTTGATGGTCTCCATATGGTACCCATTTGATGTTCCATGCGCTTCCATGTGGTGTGCGTAGGAGTTCGTAGATGAAACATGATGAAGCCATACAGGGTCCCGTAGAGAAACAAAATGAAGTAACCTTGGGAAACCTATCAGTAACTGACAGTAACAGCACCAGATAGCCATGGCGTGTGGTGAAAGGTATGATGCAGCCGCCCAACTTTGGGTTGACTTGCGGCAGCATATCGAGCTGCTGAAGGACGCGGATATGTTGGGCGATGGCCGGGGGATCGAAGCCTTGTTTTGGGCCACCCAGCAGCGTCACCTTGATGCACTCGGGGCTCGGGGATGAAGATCATGCGGTGACGATTTCCTGGATAGAGCCCCATCCGATGTCCAGCCGTTGCATGCCGTTGCCGATTCAATGTGTTTTATCCATGTTTTATCCATGTTTTATCCATCCCATTGTTTTCAACAGGTTCCAGCCATTTCAACCATGGCCAAGGCTTCTTCAAAGGCCTATTGGTGGCGGCCAAAGTGGCAAAGGCTGTGCGACTGGCCAAGGATGCTGCTTCCAACAATGAAGCGGTGGTGCTGTCCTTGTGGACCACAAACGAGGCTGCCATCACAAGGCGGTAGAGATTGGGAAGATTTTTTTGGGGTCCCTGACAGTCCCTGATCTTTGGTATGTAGATGTATGTAGTCCTTTCCAGTCCTTTTCCAATGAAATCTTTGGTTTTTTTTCCAGGTGCCAGACATTTTGGTCATTTTCGTGGCTGAAGTTGATTCATCCTGCAGATCTGCCCAGGGCCGGCATCTACGACAGCTTCGCCTCAGGCCCTGAGTTGGCCTTTGAGCAGTGCCTGTGGCAAGACTTGAGAAAAAGCTGGACAATGCACAAGATGCACAAGTCAGATTCAGTCAGATGAGCATCTACTGAATCTAATGCTGTTGAAACCGGTTCCTTGCCATGCGGCACTACAGTCATCGAGTCATCGACAGTCACTATGTATTTCTGTGATTTGTTTTTTGTATATGTTCCATATTTTTCATATTTCGCCGAGGTTCCTACAGCATTTGCCCACTTCAAAGGGTGGCAAGGCCTGCAATGGCCCCTGAGATGCGCACCATCCCTAGTGGGGATGATATTTTCATATATTTTCCTTATATTATCCTCTGGTAAACTTTACTGTCACATAACTATGGAACATAACTAGGAACATCAGCATTTTTGGGAAAACTCACTATTTAAGGGCTGCCGCCCCTGCCGCCAACCCCGGAAAAAAAAAGAGGTTTGCAGTGCAATCCACAATCTTCGCAGGTCAGATGGATGGATGTTTGTCCTAGACTCTTAGACCTGTGCTTTTGTTGTCCTCCTAGCCTCCTTTCCGTTAGGATTGAGACATTGCATTTGCGGCCAGTAAGATGTTCATTCATTTCAAGCACCAATTGAGCACGCGTTCATCCAGTGTGGTTTCCAAGATATAAGAATATAGCTGTGCTGAGGTGCTGATATTATCTGTAAGGTATTGGTCATTTTGTTTTGAAGAAGCGTTCTATCATGTTGCGCATTTCGGAATCGATCTATGTATCTTTCCAGCCCATCAAAAACAGCACGGCTCAAACCAGGCCTGACTGTGAAATATCGCCAGCACTGATTGTTGAAGTTGAAAGGTGACCACGGACAATTACACTGCACTCAGACTTACCAGGCGATTTTTGTGTAAAACTGCGATGTGCATAGAGGTCACCACATATGTCCTGTTTGCGCTCAACCTGTTTCCAGCCCCGTGCGCACTGGGCGAGTTGATCATCGCCATACTTGCGGCTATCAATTTCGCGTTGTGAACGGGTCTGTTGTAGGCAAGAAGCACAAACATACATGTCCGACCTGTGGAACAACGGTCCTCTCCACCAAGGCGGCAGGACGAATTCAAGTCCAACATAAACATCCCAGCGGACGCATGTGTCGGTGTACCCGATGGCAAGCCAAGCCTGCGCCACACTGAAACACCATGGCACTGAAGAACTCTCTAACGCGCTCCAAACCACCAGAACCCTATTAAAACTAGCCTTTTGCCAATTTTGCCAACCTTTTCCCGTTGCCTTTTGCCAATTTTGCCACTTTTGCCAACCTTTTCCCGTTTTACTGCCTCCGGTGCTGAAAACAGCCCTCCACCACACCAAAACACCATGGCAGTGAAGGACAGACACGCCACGAAATCGCACCAAAAAACTGTCTAACGTTCCTTCTGAAACCCTATTAAAAATAGTCTTTGGCCAATATTAAAAATAGTCTTTTGCCAATTTTGCCAACCTTTTCCCGTTGTACTGCTTCCGGTGCTGAAAACATCCCTCCGCCACACCAAAACACCATGGCAGTGAAAGACGGACACGCCACGAAATCGCAGCAAAAAACTGTCTAACGTCCCTTCTGAAACCCTATTAAAAATAGTCTTTTGCCAAAATTAGAAATAGTCTTTTGCCAATTTTGCCAACCTTTTCCCGTTTTACTGCCTCCGGTGCTGAAAACAGCCCTCCACCACACCAAAACACCATGGCAGTGAAGGACAGACACGCCACGAAATCGCACCAAAAAACTGTCTAACGTTCCTTCTGAAACCCTATTAAAAATAGTCTTTGGCCAATATTAAAAATAGTCTTTTGCCAATTTTGCCAACCTTTTCCCGTTGTACTGCTTCCGGTGCTGAAAACATCCCTCCGCCACACCAAAACACCATGGCAGTGAAAGACGGACACGCCACGAAATCGCACCAAAAAACTGTCTAACGTTCCTTCTGAAACTCTATTAAAAATAGTCTTTGGCCAATATTAAAAATAGTCTTTTGCCAATTTTGCGAACCTTTTCCCGTTGTACTGCTTCCGGTGCTGAAAACATCCCTCCGCCACACCAAAACACCATGGCAGTGAAAGACGGACACGCCACGAAATCACAGCAAAAAACTGTCTAACGTCCCTTCCGAAACCCTATTAAAAATAGTCTTTTGCCAAAATTAAAAATAGTCTTTTGCCAATTTTGCCAACCTTTTCCCGTTGTATTGCCTCCGGTGCTGAAAACAGCCCTCCGCCACACCAAAACACCATGGCAGTGAAGGACGGACACGCCACGAAATCGCACCAAAAAACTGTCTAATGTCCCTTCTGAAACCTTATTGAAAATAGATAAAAATAGTCTTTTGCCAATACTCCGCCACACCAAAACACCATGGCAGTGAAGGACGGACACGCCACGAAATCGCACCAAAAAAGTGTCTAACGTCCCTTCTGAAATCCTATTAAAAATAAAGTGTCTAACGTCCCTTTTGAAATCCTATTAAAAATAGCCTTTTGCCAATTTTGCGAACCTTTTCCCGTTGTACTGCCTCCGGTGCCAATGTTAAAAATAGTCTTTTGCCAATTTTGCCAACCTTTTCCCGTTGTACTGCCTCCAGTGCTGAAAACAGCCCTCCGCCACATCAAAACGCCATGGCAGTGAAGGACGGACACGCCACGAAATCGCATCAAAAAACTGTCTAACATTCCTTCTGAAACCCTATGAAAAATAGTTTTTTGCCAATATTGAAAATAGTCTTTTGCCAATTTTGCCAACTTTTTCCCGGTGCTGAAAACAGCCCTCCGCCACACCAAAACACCATGGCAGTGAAGGACGGAGACGCCACGAAATCGCACCAAAAAACTGTCTAACGTCCCTTCTGAAACCCTATTAAAAATAGTCTTTTGCCAATATTCCACCACACCAAAACACCATGGCAGTGAAGGACGGACACGCCACGAAATCGCACCAAAAAAGTGTCTAACGTCCCTTCTGAAATCCTATTAAAAATAGCCTTTTGCCAATTTTGCGAACCTCTTCCCGTTGTACTGCCTCCGGTGCCAATATTAAAAATAGTCTTTTGTCAATTTTGCCAACCTTTTCCCGTTGTACTGCCTCCGGTGCTGAAAACATCCCTCCGCCACACCAAAACACCATGGCAGTGAAGGACGGACACGCCACGAAATCGCACCAAAAAAGTGTCTAACGTCCCTTCTGAAATCCTATTAAAAATAGTCTTTTGCCAATACTCCGCCACACCAAAACACCATGGCAGTGAAGGACGGACACGCCACGAAATCGCACCAAAAAAGTGTCTAACGTCCCTTCTGAAATCCTATTAAAATAGCCTTTTGCCAATTCTGCGAACCTTTTCCCGTTGTACTGCCTCCGGTGCCAATATTAAAAA